TATACTTATCTTTATCGAAGGATCTCTATAGTAATATATCGAAGATATTAAGGAAGTCTTTAAGTAACTTTCTAAAACTAGCTTTAAGACTATATCTAAGAAGTATAAGTTCTATAAGAAAGAAGTTAAGTTCCTTAGATTTGTTATTAGAATCTATAGTATATAAATTAGTCTAGACAAGATTATATCTATATAGGAATAGCTATAACTAAAGACTATTAAGAAGATCTAAGTATTTTTAGAACTTATAAACTATAATCGAAAGTTTATTTTAGGATACTCTAAGATATTAGAACCGCTAATATATCTAATAAAGAAGGACGAAGCCTTTAATTAGACTAAAGTATAAAGTAAAGCTTTTATATTAATTAAGAAATAATATATCGAAGCGCTAGTTCTATAGATATTTAATACTACTAAATCTATATAAATCGAGATAGATATCTCTAACTATATAATCGGAGTATACTTTACTTAAGAAGATAATAGATAAAGATATTTAGTAGCGTACTACTCGAGGAAATTAAGTCTAGTAGAAGCAAACTACGATATCTATAATAAGGAACTCTTAGCTATTATTATAAGCCTAAGATACTAGAGAATCTATATAGAAGAAGTACTAAAGATTATAATCTTCTCTAACTATAAGAACTTAACGTACTTTACTACTACTAAAGAGTTAAACTAATAGTAGGCCTAATAGTTAGAACTCTTAGAATAGTATAAGTTTATTATCTAATATATTCTAGGAAAAGACAATACTAGAGTAGATACTCTTAGTCGATAATCCGACTATATAGAAGGATATATTATATAATAGTATCGAATCCTTAAGGCAAATAAAGATAGAATACTATCTACTAATATATAGAAGTTTAATACTATAATATAGATACTAGATAACTATAATAAAGAGTTTCTAGTTAACGAATAGAAGAAGTTCGTTATATCCGAGAAGTAGATTAGTAAAGTAATTATATATTACTATAACCCGCTAGAAAGAGGATATCTAGAAGTTACTAAGACAATAAAGCTAATATAATAACGCTTCGTATTCCTATATATAAAGAAATATATAGCGAACTATATTAAGAAATATATCGAATACTAAACAAACAAGTTAGTAAGATATATAACTTATAGAGAACTAATAGTATAATACCTACTAATAAGACTATAGAAAGAAGTTACTATAGACTTTATTAGACTACTACTAAGATTATAGGATCTAATAATAAAAGCGACTTATAACTCGATACTCGTTATAGTTAATAGGTTAATAAAGTATATATACTTTATTATATATACTACTATAATTACCTCGGAATAGTAAGCGTATCTTATTATAGATAGACTATTCTACTACTATAGATATCTAAAGGTTATTATCTCGGATAGAGAGCTAACGTTTTACTCTAACTACTAGTAAATATTTATCTCTAACCTCGGAGTTAGCTATAAGCTCTCTATAGCCTTTCGACTATAGATAGATAGATAGACAGAATATATAAACTAAATATTAGAAGTATATCTATAAGCTTATATTAACTATATATAGAATAACTAGTTAAGATTACTCCTAATAGTATAAATAGTACTAAATAGCTATATATCGGATATAACGAAAGTATTACCTTATAAAGCGAACTTTATATATCTACTAAGACTAGATATAATACTAGTCTTAAGACCGAATATAGAGGCTATAAAACAATATATAAAAGATTTATAACGACTCTACTATAAGAATATTTATATATCTTCTATAGAGATAGTAGCGAGATCGAAATCGATTATAGGTCCTTAGCTTAAAAGGAGGGATAAGGTCTATCTCCTTATAAAGAACCTTAAGACTAAGAGAAATAGTAAAAAGCTTAACTAGGTTAAAGTCGGACCTTTTATAATCTCTAAGAAATAGTCGCTAGTAAACTACTAGCTTAAACTTCCGAAAGATACTAGAATATACCTAGTATTCTATATCTCTCTTTTAGAACTAGTAGACCCCGAGATATTCTACTAAACTACGTTCTACTATAAAGACTAAGAAGAAACTAAATAGAAAGTCGAGAAGATCCTAAAATAAGAAGATTAAAACTATCTTATTAAGTAGAAGAGATATCCGGACTCGGATAATATCTAGGAACTACTTACTAATCTTAAGAACTACTAGATACTTCTATACTAGTTCTACTAGAATTAGAAGGGAAGTCCTAGAAGTCGCTCTTAAGATTAAGACTACTATTAAGGGCGTTCTAAGTCTTAGGACTTAACTAAAGAAATAAACTATTCTTAGCTAGAACTAGGCTATAAGAAAGGTCTAACGACTCTAGCGCTTCTTAATCTTAAATACTTATATCCTCTATAGTAATTATATTTGCCTTCTATATTTCTAGTAAGTCTAGTTACTACTATAAATATATCTCCTTTATAAAACTTATATTTAGAACCTTATAAGCTTTCTCTTAAGCCTTATATACCTCCTTAATACTCTTACGAAGATAGACTCGCTCTTTCTTTAACTGCTCCTATTCCGACTATATTATATATAGGTTATAATATTAACTATACTAGATATACTCGCTATATCTTCTAGAACGAATATAGATATAATAGACTCGCTTATACTTTATATAAGTAGTATACGGCTTTACTATAGTATTCCTACGACTATCGATAAATTCTATAAGATAATAATAGCGAATAATACTTAATTTAGGATAACCTCTAGATATAACGAAAGGCTATAAGAAAGAAAGTTCTTACGTTAGAGCGATATAGAGTAAAGAGGGAATAGTATTATAGCCCGCTAGTACCTAGAGTACTTAGCTAGACGAACAATATAGAATAATTAGATAGCGGAATAAGCCGTAGTACTAATTAGAACTTTAATTAGTTAATTAGCTTAATTAGGGACACTAATTATATTAATTGTACTAATCTAAGAATAATAGGCATAAATCTCCTTTATATATAGCTATAATAGATTTTATAGTTAGGAGTTTATATTTAACTTATATTATAAACCGACTAATTAGAATTAACTTATTACCTTATTCCGATCTCTTATATCGATTATACTTTAGCTAAGTAACACTTTACTATCGACTACTAGACTACTAATAAGTACTAACTACTTATAACGAAGGAATTACCTAATCTATATTATATAAGTATAATAGTATATAATAATAGGCTATTAAGATACTAGAATATAGTAGAGAGCTTTAGCCTTATTCTATACTACTACGAATAGAGAGCTATATTACTAATATTCGTTCTATACTAATAGTTATAATACTAGCCTATTAAACGTTAAGATATCGATAGACTTTTATGTCGCTAGAAATATATAGATATAAATAGGTAATACGGCATATTAGATTATACTACTAGCAGAGTCGGCTATCCCGCTATCTATCCTCTAGCTTCTCCTCTTTTAAGCTATATTATGTAGCGGCTATACGGCCGCTTAAACATGCGCTAGATACGGTTTCTACGCTGCTTGAAATAACATGTAGGAGAGTACAATAAGGAGTTCGTCGTTGCGTGCCAATGAAATCGTCCCCTGGATGGCTGTTTGACTAACAGCATAGCGGCATGAACTTCGTTACGAATCGAGCATCATGGTATCGTGCAGGACGCTTTTGCTGCGCCCGTACTGCATTGAGCAGTCCAGTGATGTTGTCGCGTCGCTACCATCGACTTCGCGTGCGCTCCAGTCCACTGGCTACAGATGACTGCGGTCGGTAGTAATATCGCATGTCTTGACAATGACTGCCCTGCCGCACCTGACAGCGTTTTACGGGCTACCGCGTATCGATGCTAAGTCCCGGAGATCCAGAATGGCTTGTCGTCCCACCGTATTGGTCCGTTAGCCTTTCACCCTGCAGCATATTTCGCCGCGCTGGACAGAAGAGATGCCGTCACTTGACCCTCTGCTTGAGAAGTGTTACTGCACGCAGTTAAGCCGACGTACATAGGGTCTGGCATTGTGCGCAGGGTGCGTTCAGCACAAATGCAGCTGTATATGGGTTGGTTCCGCTCGTGGAAGTGAGTTCATACTGTAGCGTCGATCCGCCCATGCGCCCGGAGCTCTTCGGTCCAGAGACACTGTTGCGAGCGCCACCAACAGGCCCGTCTGCTTGAATTCGGTGAGACAGAACGAGAGTACTCGCTCCGCTACACTTCGATGGTAGGTATGTCTGGAACGTTGTCTCCGGGCCATCTTGAGCATTAACGTGACGTGTGCGACCGGCAGGATTGTCAGTCTGTTCCGCCCATGCAGCAATTCTCTTGCCGCCCATCTCCTCCCCATACGTTCCTTTCCCGTTCAGCGAGTGGAAGAGTATGTGGCGCGGATGGCACGCAGCAGACAAGTGCGTGTCGTTGTACAGTCAATGAGGCGTACCTTTGAGCTAACAGTGCTGGGTTGATGCAGGATATGGGTAGTGTTCGGTCTGGAGCGCCGCATTACTGCTATGGAGTGCGTGGTTGTTAGCGACGTGGTTGCAGGCTACCGGCCCACTGTTACGTCTCTACTGGCGCTAGCGCCCGCAGAGGAGCGGGCTCCACCGGCACCCGTCGCTCTCCCTCCCACGTCTGCGACGCCGTCCGCTTGCGTTATAGCTGCTTCTTCGCCGTCGTTCAAGAGCCTCTTGGTCGGTCGCATGTACTTGAAGGTGGTACGGGACACGCTTGGACTGGAACATGCCTGGGGTGTCATTTTTGCGGCCGCGGTGCGGTTACTCGTTGTCCAGATCTCTGTCCGAGTATGGCGTGATCGGAGCGACTGGCAAAATTGTCATAGAGACGTATACCGATGCATTTTGGCGTAACCGCCATCGATCGGTATCATGTTCAGGCACTGCATCGCAACCAGGACCTCCCGCAGCATCACTGGATTCCTGCATGGTAAGAGGCGTTTGCGATGCTTCCAGCTTTTCCTTCGTTGGTTGAGTGATCCATGCTCAGACTTAATTTCGGCTTCGATCATCGTCTTCTCAATCAGCCATGCTCTCTGGATTACCCATGTGTAGAATAGGTACAAGGATGTGCTTTTCGAACCACGGCAGGTAGGTCTGATTTGCCCAGTAGGCGAGGTATTGTAACGCCTTCATGATTTGATAGATTCCCAAGGCACTGTCTGTCTTTCCTATTATCTCCCCTTGCCACAGGGTCTAACCACATTAGCCAGTACGCTGCACTGAAAGCTGCCTAGGGTACAACTCACGCCAGAAGTCATGTGATCTTCAATCCAGTAGAACCGCCACTCATGACCCACGACCATAAGCAGTGGCAGCGGGAGAATGGTGACAGTCGCGTTGCCGGCTTCACATAGGAGCCGTCTGAGGAACTTGATATGGGCCGTCGTCCACGTTGATAACTGTAGAGTAGCGTCTGCGCTTCCGGACATTGCTTTCTTGGTCTCGATACTGACGACGATGGGCTCCCATTTGATTCCGGTGTAGTCCGTATGATTGAGGCCGTCGATTCCACGTGCGTAGAGAAGCTGCTGGATACTCGTGTCTAACTTGAGTGCAATACAAAAGTCGACGCTCTTGGAATCGACTAGTCCACCCAAAGCGAACTCGGGTACTAAGTCCTTCGGGTGGATACGTGCCGTTGTTCTACTTAGCTGTCAGCAACGCCTACCAAAGTAGATGGTCTACGTAGTCATACGCACATGTCGTGCCAGGTCACTCGATCCACGAATGGCGAATGAGCGATTGCTGCCTCCAAAAGGTTACTATGAACCTCATTGTTCCACGCAGACTCCGAGGCACCAGTTGAATTCGCATGTTCGGCTCGTTCGACCTGCCGTGACGTCCATTTGAGCGACGGCACATCTCCAACTAAATCTCTTTCCTGTTCGGCAGCTCCGCGTGCAAACATAGCCTCGTCATCCTCGTCCATGCCCGTCGCTAACGCTTGCTTCCATTCGCTGTACCTCTCGGAGAGGATCTTCCTCCCTTTTGCGCAATCCCTGCTTGCAATGACCAGGTCGCGGATGGCTAACGAACAATGTTGTAGTCCCGTGAACGATCGATCCGAAACTGGATAGCTTGCAAATTGCCTTTCGTAGAGCCGCTTGGTGGGACTGCCGGTGCGCTTTCGTTTTGCTGTCGAGCTTGTGGCGTATTCGGACTCAGATCGCGAGGATATCGTCTGACTGCCGGAGATACCTGGAGTTAGGGGCGCAGTGAGCACCAGACGGTGGCCACGACGTGGCGTTTTGTCCATGTCCGTGTAGTCATTCGTCATCGCCATTGCAGTCTCTGCCGCGGCAGTGTCAGTCCGCCTTCTCTTTGCGCCTCGCGGTCTGTCGATGTTGGGATCGATTTCTACCAAAGCTCGCTTGCGTATCGGTCGGGTTGGCGTTACAGGACTCCCAGTGGTCTCGATCCAGTCTATGATAGCGGAGGCGCACCACATGTTAGCACCGATCGATGAAGCAGCCTTTGCTAGGCATGACTTGTGGTCATGTATGTTGCTAGCGCAGTGTGGTGCGTAATGCGAAGGCGTACGCGAGTCAGACAGGACATCCGCGGGTGGGAGTTGCTGGGGTAACACTACAAAGATCCGGGGCCGAGTCGGACCGAGCATACTTTGACCCTTCCGCCTAACCCTGATACACCGCACGAGCGCAACTGATTGTGGGACTGGATCTCTATGTGTCCCCTACAGCAACGAAGAATGCGAAGTCGAATGAAGACATTGGCAAGGTCCACCTAACGTGAGAAGTTCACTAGGAACGTTCGCGCACAGCCTCGAAAGCAAGCCAGGGCCTGAAATTGAGGAAGACCTCGCAGTTTCCCCGAAGCAGGAGAGAATGTTCAGCATGCATGTTCAGTCTACTAAGTGTGGTTGAAGCTACCCGTTTCATTCGCGGAGCTGCGTCATCCGTTCACTCCTATCACGTCTGAGCACCGAGCATGGCAAGCCAAGTTCCCCTCATAAGGGTACTCCACCAGGTGCATTGAAGTACGAAAGGTTCGATCAGATGAATGGTGAGCATAGGTTTCGCTGATCACTAACCCGGTCCTGCGATAGCGGGGAAAGCAGAAGGTGAGCACATGTGGTTTCAGAGATGCTCAGAACTGTACACTAAGTACTGAATAGGAGGATTGACACAGCCAAGTGATTCGTGGCCGGTGAACCTGGATCTTACTGCCTTGTCGCACAGCTGCGTCCTCTCACCCTGTTCAAGTGCCGCAATGTCTAGAGTAGACATCATCTGGCACCGCTAATCCGTTAGCTGCTCAAAGACAAGCAGACGCCTTTTGCCGTCAGTCCGGAACGTGGAGGTGGACATCACGGAATCGAAGCCACAGCGCAATCGGACGGAGCTCGATCGTGGTCCCCTCGTTAAGCACAGTGATACATATGTATTTTACCATTCTGCATGACGGGCGGATGGCGGCAACAGATGATGAGCCGCTTCGAAGACAAAACCTGCTCACTCGATCAAAGCGTGCCTCAAGTCATATCAGGCGGGGAAGATGAACAACTGCGTGTCATATTCATTTCGAGATGATTACACAACTCATAGCACCTACCCCGACCACTTCCCTGCTCAAAAGCCGCGTAGGCATGACGGACGACGTTGTCGACTCTGCTCGCTAGTGCCGGAGCTGCGTGAACTGACCTCTAGCCTTGTCCCATGACAAAGAGAATGCCGACAGTGCTCTTGCTGACCAACCTCACGCCTAACGCCACCACTGCGCCGCGATTGAATATTGCGCCAGACCTAGCGACCTTGGCGTTGATGTATGCGGTGTTTGTAGCGATGGAAACGGATCAGAGCGCATAGCCTTCTGCTTTCGGACGGGCTCATTGCCGATGCTTCCGTGGCCAGGTCGAATTGTGGTACGGTTCCGACCAACGCACTCCTGCCACATTTGCCGCGGTTGTGACGAGCCTTTGTTCCCGCCACAACGCCATGCAGCAATGACAAACCCTCAGAGTCTGGATAGAGTTGGAACAGTCAACCAGAGGTGCCAGTTCCATGCAGTCAGCAAGCCCCATGAAGGTGCCCACCTTGCATGCGATCAACAGCGGCGCTATTCTCACAACACTGGATCAAGTATGCCTGCCAGAGACGTACGGCTTCAAGGACTGGTGCACTGCTCCGCAGTGAGAATGAAGTTGGGGCTGCATCCCAAACCAGGTCGTTGGAGTATGAGGTGACCGACGTTATGGCACGGTTCGGTGGTGCTCGAGAATGGAGAAAGTACTGATTGGCAGTCACAGTCCATGGTGTGGTGCAGTGACGACAGTGCAGCGGGTAGGCGGCGATGCAACGAGTCCAAGGGTGGATGTACACTTGCGTTGTTGGCGGCAGGTACAAAGTGTCCAGATCGCTGTCTTCGTCTGCATCCCGCCGGACCGGTGGGAACCTCGCGACGTCGAGGTTGATGTGGTAATGACTTTGGATAACGACCCAGCCCCAGCAGCCATGTCCGCCGCAGAAGACGTGTCTGGAAAGGCGTTGTAGATCACAGCCGATCATAGCAGAAGTATCCTGCTGGGATTGGCTGAGATGGGAAATCTCATCCATACTGATTGCTGTGCGTACGATCGGTACGGGGGACATGGTCGGGAAGGACGTAGTCGGGGAGGACGTGGTCGAGACGGACGTGGTCGAGATGGACGTGGTCGAGATGGACGTGGTCGAGGAGGATGTGGTCGAGGAGGATGTGGTTGGGAAGGACGCGGTGGAGAAAGTTGACAACAGCGAGCGTTATGTTGGAGCGAATGTACGATGCAAAGGACCGACTATTCCAAGGTATGGACCGACTATACGAAGTATGGACCAACTGCGGAACGTGAGAATGCATCATGAACCAGAGTTGCTTTCCATGCGTCCACCCAGCACGCAATCGTGCCAATGACCGACTACAGCAGTCGAAAGCTAGCTGGTGATGGGAGCTGTAGGAAGTTAAGGATATGGACATTGACAGGTCGCTTACGCCTCATCTCAATCCCTGCTTCATCGCTGCGCATTGCTTTTCGATTCCGCATACATTGGCAGGCATCATGTGTGCAGAGAAATCGTTGTTCGTGGCAGTGGTTGTGAACGTCTTAGGTATTGAGAGCTCTTGGAGCATGCCTTGTGATGGCTTCAAAAGAGATGAAGTGGTTGTACGGATCCTCAAGCACGCGGGTTGTTGAGGAATCGGCCGCGGACCCTTCCTGAGGCTTGCAGCTCGTTAGGAACCGTGCCGCATCTACCAGGATTGCACCGTAACAATCCGCACGCATTGGTTCGCCGCAGAGTTGCATCGGTAGAAAAGCCGCAAAACCTTCGTCGGACTCTTCATTGCAAAGCAATTAGAACCTTGATGCCATTACATCAACCGAGAGAGCAAACCCATCACGCTCCGCAGTAGGGGTCGTGCTGAATTACGTGGGAAGCATCGAATACAAATCCGTCCTTCTATGTCAGCCACCGGCTCATGCGATAGATCACCGTATGCCGTGTACCGAATACGGCGTTCCTGCACAAGCAAGCTGCAGGTGCTAAGCACGCGTTCAACCATGCGATAGGCTGTTTTTCATACACGAGAGGAGATCAGAGTGCTCGTGGCGCCAACGACGTGCTGCATTCAGCAAGACGGACTCACCCTATTCCATGACAATGCTCTTCGGCCAGGGTGGCTGAGCTGACTTTGACCGCTGCACTGTCGGCCTTTATCCCGTTATTGCGTTACGAGGGTGACACGAGGTAATGGCGTCCACTGCAGCTGTCAGTCTCTGGCCTGCCAAGCACACCAGCACACCCTACCCGGGTTTGAGCGGCCACTCGGGCGGAGCGGCGTGGAGAGCGGCAAAGGTCATTGTGGCTGCCACGACACAAGTCACGTCATCTCTGTCAGGCCACTTGGGTCGTCCCTCGTCGCCCTGAGCTGGCGCATGAAGTACTGTTGCCACGACACTCGTATCGTTCGTAGCTAGCGCATGCTCATCTCAACGCATATTCGAGCCGAAGCGCGAAGCCGTACGAAGCCGTGCACCTTGAGCGGATCCTCTTTCAGCACGGAGGAGTCGATAGACGAAGAAGCTGGTTTGAGCTTGGGAGACCTGTGTTCCAGTGATCGGGCATTACCAGGCACGTCTACGAGAGCAGGATCGGGCTCTGAGACGTCGTCAACGGCCGTGAGAGTCAGTCGCCACGATGACCGATCTGCATTTAGTGGAGTATGAAGCCATTCATGATCACGTTAGCCGCACAGCTAGTGACCGACACAGGGCCGACCATCCACTGGTGCGTACGGTTCTGCAAGTGACCAAGCTCTAAACCGACAACACGTCCATCTCCCTAGCAAGACCGGAGGACATTATTATGGGCGCGGTCTCCCCTATGCATAGAGGCGGCAGAGAGCACCGGATGATCATCTTGCTCAAGGACGTGTATAGGATACCGCACGAGCTCTTGTGTGACAAAGAGGTTAAGTACGGCCATGCGGCTGTACTCAATAGAGCCATTTGGAAGCCGACGAAGGCTGCAAAGAGATCACAGACTACTGCTTCGATGTTAACAAGGCCTACCAACAACATAAGGCCTTGTCTCGCCTATGTTCCTGAGGCGGGTCCAGCACAATCTGCCTTCAAAATTTCTTGGTACTGAACCTGGATGGGACCTACAGCCCAATTGACTTCACGGAGAGCTGCCCGCTCGTACTGAAGAGGCATCCGCTGTAAAACGCCAGGAGCACGGTGCCGGTCAAGGTCAACATGACACCAAATGCAGAGTAATTGGTCAAGATTCAACTCGGGACTGCAGCGTGACAAGCTAACACCGACAGCGGCGAGCTGTGTCAATACAGACCCAGCTGCCAGGATGCAGTCATAGATCTGCAGGGGAAGTGAAAGGGTTTTGAACGGCGACTATGAACATCACGTGGAACACCCTTGAGCGCATAAGGTGTACGGATGGTAGCCAAGGCCAGAGGTAACACCGCAACCGGCAGCACGATATACAGCATGATTGCACCGGAGGAATGGTTGAGTACATAAGCAGGGACCTCTACATCAGCACAAATTTTAAGACGAAGAGCTGGCAAGTGTAGGGACCGACCTTAATCAGCCCCTCATGCTTGAGGAGGCTGCCCAACTGGTTTCTTGGGAGGCTCGCCCACAAGGTTGTGAGCAAGCACGGCCTCGGAACCCACATCTGGTCATGAGGACTCCATGATGGTGGGCGGAACGTAGTCACGAAGGAAACGCCACACCAAGCTCAGGACGAAGGTCAAGCTCCCGATCCCGCCCTTTGCTCGAGCACCAGAGCACAAAGCACGGCGCTGGACGTTGGCGCTGATGAAGGTAACTACGGTCAAGTGCCAGAATTGATTCAACGCAGTTAAGCACGGCAGCAGCCCGACCAGGATCATGGCTGTGCAGCAGACCATCGCCAACGTATCAAGCAATCATCTCACACGCAAAGTCACCGGCAACCGCGAGTACAGTGTGCTGGCGATACTGCTTGTTTCACCGGCGACCCAGTGCGTATGGCATCATCGCGGCATTCTCCATGTGGATCCTGCGAAAGCGTCTTCCATCATCCATCAATCAACATCGAGCTACTGGTGTCGTCAACTCGCTCCACTCCTCGGAGTCATCACCACATCGTCTTTCGCCCGCGCCCGACTCCCACTTCCTTCACGGTCAGCAACACCACAGTGTTTGCATCGTTCACACTTTCCGCTAATCTTGGCCCGTTCAAGTGCTTGTATATCCAGACTGCGCATTCCGTGTCAGAGTACAGCAAGGCGTCTGGGCGGCAATCAACAGTGACATGGGGGCACATGATCACGTCCCTCAAGGTTGCAAGGCGGCAGTGGTGAACGCACATGTCGAGCGCACGTATGGGCACCGGATATGCTGCTGTCTAGCTGACTAGATCCATAGACTGTATCTCTGATATGATCATCTCCACTTACAGTCCGGGTGTGCTTTCGCCAAGACCATCGCTGCTGCCCGTGTGTGGCACGCTTACTGCGCCGCTGTTGCTGTATTAGTCCCCAATACCTCGTCAGCCGGAGTGTAGCAGTTGGATCAGGGACACGCCAGGCTTTTAGTACCGCAGACCGTATGGTTGACGAACGCACATAAGTTCGCATCCGTGGATCAGTGAGCTCGCATTCGAATTGCAGAAGCCGGGAGGTAGAGCAACGAAGATCACGAACGTCGAACGAATAGCATCGGGCAACTTGAAGGCACGAAGCCATCAACCGGACGGTGTATGGTTGAGCAGCGGCTTCACGGTTTCAGCCGCAGACGGATCACGCAGATGGACCACGCAGTCTCCGCCTGCCCTCTCAGGATGACCTGAGGCCAACCATTTCCGACGAACTGCCGAGTTGGCTTGTGCTTTCATACCGTCGCGCTGCGGTTGCAAAGACTACATGGTCAGCTCACGCAAGAGACACCTACGCCACTGTCATGCCAACCCATACCGCACGTGGCGCTGTCCTCTCCAGTCGCTAATTCGCAAGAAACCTTCCTTAAGGTCTAAGATGTAGTAACGGCGTTGTTGGTCAACGTGCGGTACGTCAAGCGAAAGTGTCCTCCGTTAGCGCACCGCGGCAGCTTCGACAAAACGCTTCGTATCCCCAAGACGGGCGGGATATGCAAAGGTAGAGGTTATCGACGCACAAGTCACCGTGACCCCATCCCAAATGCATCCGTGGCCGGCTTCAGCCACGACGTCACTGCTTGCCAAGATGTTCGATATCTGCCCAACGCTCCACGTCGGCCGGATAGTTGCAACGGAAAGGCGGGATAGTGCGAGCGCGCTCCTTACACCGCGCAGACGTGCTCCGGACAATTGCGAACGAAGTGCTATTGTTCTCGACCATGGCGGGGCCAATCTGCACACACAAGAGAAAGCTCCCAGGCCACCTCCAGCAGCTTGCCATCCTCGCATCCGCACTCATAGCAACTTACTCCATGGATGACCGCAAAAGACCTGCAAACACGGAATGACAGGCTGGAGTTGCGAAAATCCACCCGTCAACAGCTCTCTCATGACCGGATTGGCTGCGACCCGAAACCTGTGGCTGCTGTCCAGCTTTATCCGGGTAGGATGACCATACATTTGACCAGATATCACAGCTGATGGAAGCTCCACACCGGCCGGATGGTCATCCAACTGGAGCGAGATTCAGGGGTACTCATCGCCCCTGCTGCTTCCAGTCTTGCACACGCCGTCAACTCCGGCTGAGGTCGTCTCGTGCTCATCCCCGTTGGCGTACGTGTTCTGCGCGCTGACTCTGCTAGCATGGCGATATGCGGTCTCTACCTTGCTTTCATGTGATGCAAACAAGTCAGGCCATCGTGATGGACAAAGAGGATGATGTGACCCAAGCGCGCAAGCCGCGCTGCCAGCCAGTCGTCGTTAACCTGGAGTTGAGGAGGCGGAAGTACCAAGCTCAGATAGATTTGGAGAAACGCGGCGGTTCACCGAAGTTCCACCGAGCGTCTCCGGCGCGTTCTCACATAGTGTCTTGCATTCTGTGAGGGCACAATCATAAGGTACTGTGCTTTCTCCTCCTCACTCCGCTTTGCAGTGGCGGCGAAGCATCTCTTGCTCGACTCCGTCAGGCTCTTGGTAGTTGGTCTTGTAGTTCGAGTACGCAAGTCTGTCTTGCGTTTGCGTGGCGCGGTGCAAGTCATGCAACGGTCTTACGAGAATGACGGTTGTGATTGTTCTCCAGAGACTATGACAAGCCTGCGGAGGTTTGTCAAGCGTCGAAGCGCCAGCATGAGGCGGACGACGATGGTGTAAATCCAATGGAAGCCGGCTTGGAGGGGGCGCAGGATCTCATGGCTCGGTTTAGGAGCGCAAACCCAGGTCACCCAGCCTATCGCCAACACGACTGACCGACTGCCAACATTCAATCCATACTACCGGAGCATGGTATGACGAGCAGCTGCGGATGCTATACGAGGCGGTTATCAACGTGGCTTCATTCCTCCCTGAATGGCCGGGAAAGAGGGTCAAGCTTGCTACTACATTGATTCGGATGACAACGGAGTTACTAGAGTAGCATAGGAGCTATCGTGCGAGCGCATACTGGCATATGGAGGTAGATGCGGTTGTCGTGAGCCAGAGTAGTACCAAGGATTCGTGGCGTCAGTGCCCACCCAAGTTGCCGGCCGGCGTAGTTGCGCGAGGGCCAGACCGCTGAGTCTTGCGGAACTCCTGTCGCCAGCGATGGCGATGGCATGCTTTGTTCTCTGGTCACTCTGTGAACGGCATGCACTGGGCGACATAGGCGGTGGTGTTAGTGTTCCGACATCATTCATTGTCGCTCACTCACGTCCCATGTTCATTCATCGAAAGGATGGACTCGCAGATCATCAGCCGCAGTCGGGATTGCAGTCGGTGATTCGCAAGCTTCTCTGCATTACGATACATCACTCTCCGCTGCAGTACCACCACTAGAGTTATCCGGAGATGCAGGCTTACCCACCTTCGGTTTGATCATTTGCAAACTACGCCTATCGAAAGTGTCTCCAGTGCGACCTGCTTGAGCGCAACTATTTCTCTGACTTGGCATCCATATCCTGGGCCTTGAGCATGCACGTTGGCGAATAGCTCGGCTTTGACAAGAAGGCTGGCTCTGAGCATCATACTAAGCGATCGCTTGAGCGTATCTCTACTGGCATGTGCGTTTCCACCGAGTTCTCGTCCTCGCGCCCTTGCTTCCTCCTGCCCTTGCTTCCTCCTAACGACATCCAAGGAGCTGTGTGGTGTGCGGAGAACAGTGGCAAGGTTCAGGCAACAGTCCGCACCAAGCCAGAACGTTCAATGCAGCACCGCGAAGACGGTACTAGCCTGACAACATACTCTGCGAACATCAAACCTATCCTTTGAACCAGCAACTTCGTAGCGAAAGTGGCGGCTCGATGTCTGCGGCATGAGGTTATCCGCAGACTCTCTTCCCATCGTTACCAGCGACTCGCTCTCATAGCAGTATCTTCTAAGCTACCCTACCAAGCCCTCACCTGCGCGAACTTGCGCAGACTATCCTCGATGGCGGTCATGTGCAGACTCGGAGGCTAGCATATCCGCGTTCGTCGCCGAAGCCGACAGCGAACGGAGCCGTTGCGCCGCCGACCGGAGTTGCTGGAAAGAAACGAACACGTCATCGCCTACGGCCGTGCACTGGCACCAGCCAGTGACCGGAAGACCACTCTGCAGTGTCGCGTCGTTCCACAAAGGCATGGTGCCACACCATCACCGAAGCGCTGACTCGGTACGAGTCTGTTCCGATCCGGCGTGGTTGGACAATGGCGTCCATGTCACTATTCCCTGGACAATGGCGGGGAGGTGATGCTGGGTGCGAGCGAGGTCTGGACTTCGCAAAGCGCGCATAGCGTCTGGGAGGGTGGTGTTACTGGCGTGTGGAAGCACATGGCGCATTGCATTCGCATTGTTTCTTGGCGCGATGAGCGGAAAGAAGCGCGAGCGTGGACGTGGGGCAAAGCTGCCCGGAGTGACACGTGGGGTACGGCTTTCGCGCTTTCCTTTTGCAGCTTTCGCCCCACCCTGAGGATGTTAAGAGTCCAGCGACGCAGTGCATCTGCCTGAGTCCATGAGGAGCTTCACCTGCAGCTGATACGATCCTCGGTAGGTTTGCTGCTTCCCGTCCATGTAGATATCTTCTTCCTTCCGTCATTACACTCACTGTTCCCTTAGCACTCACTCTTCCTATTGCACTTACTGTTTTACCATCGCTTCCCGTTGACCAAGGTAATGCGTGAGCAAGTCGTCTGAAACTGGCGTGAAGCCAAAAGTACGACATCGACGACGAGCAGATACCGGGTGTCCCACATCAACGTTGGGACTCGCAGTTCTACGCACACGCCGACCCAAATTCGCACATACCGACCCAACGCAGTAGCAGACATGAGGATGGACAGCCGGAGACACAAGCCAGTCGCCATGGCCGGAGCAGCAGTGCAAGATGAAGGATGTACGGAGTAAACTGTAGACCGAGCTGGGCTGAGATACACAATGTAACGGGATCTGCTGGTGCAAAGAGCGTTGGGTTGCCTGGAATGTGAGAGTGTTGGACAGAAATGTCGTGCTGGCATGACGCCACGCTGAGCGACGTTGAACAAAGGCTCGGAGCATGGACGACAATCAAGTGTTGGTTGTGGTGGACATATCGAGCATCCAGACGGCCAACCCTCGAACTTCCGGGTTCCAGAGGTCAAGTAGCCTTTGGTAGCCACGTTCAGATTCACCGACCCAATGGACTCGGTCCTGCCCATTGCCGAGGATGAAGCCGACAGCATCTTCGCAATTCCGACACTTCCATTACCTGGTGTTGAGCGCCCGCCAGCCGCGCGTGCATGCAGAATGATGTTTGGGCGCTGCATACGCCGTGTCCACGTCTTCAGGCCGGGAAGCTAGCTACGGCCGGTATGCGGCAGGGCCTCAGCGCTTTTAAGGACTCGTAGAGATTAGCTTTATGTCCCTAAGCACGCGCCCGGGAACGACATCGTGACCTGAGTTCGTGTCGACAGACAACCAGAGCCGGTTTCGAGATGGTGAACGTCAGGTTGAGTGGCACTTTGCAACATCCCAAGCTCCCGGTGCCGTCTTGCGCATATGGTGTAGCCAAACGGTTCAGATCAAGGCAATTGCATGCGCGCGCCTCGCCTTGGCGTCGTAGCTGAGTCATCCTCGCCGTCTTGAACGTTACCAGGCGCGCGCATGCCGTAGCCTTGATCTTGAAGGTTCGAGCGCGCCGGCGGCCGTAGCAGGGTTGTTGTGGGAAACCGTGATAAGGAAGGTGGCGTGCTCGACGAGCTGAGCGCAGAGAGGGCTCGCTAGGCTGTAGCGAGAGGAGTAGTGGTTGTATTCGCTGATGACAAGCCCACCAGCACGACGAGCCTAATATCACCAATACTACCACCACCACCGTCAAAGCTAAGGCATCAGTGACCATGTGCGTCCACACTACGAACATCTCGGAATGCTACTTCGACCGAGCACGACTGCTAGAGCTAGCCAGCCACTGACGGGCTGCCAGGCAATCTGAGCATGGCAGGGGTGTATCCGGTATCCCTGCTGTACCGATATTGCTCGCATCTCGAAATGACAAGGCCCGCTGTTGATCCAGCGTCCTGCCAATGCCTGCTTGAGCGGCAAATACGGACGCCACTGGCGTCCTACGAAGCCATCTCGACATGGCCATTGGGCTAGGGCGATGAAACGAACAACCAAATCGCTTACTGTGAAGACTGCACCTAGTCGCACTTAAGACAGTTCATCGAGCAGATGTAGACACATCAGACAGATCTGCTTCACTCTAAGCGTAGATAACACGGCCCAAGTCATCCACCGTGTTCAAGGACGGGCTGTACAGCACGGTGACACGTCAAGGTCACTTGCACTGTCTTCGACTGCATATCTCAGGATCCCAACTTGGACGCCGATATCACGCACTCGAGTGTGACTTCGGCATTGCTGTCGAAGTGGAGTTTACGCAATAGCTCCGGGATAGGAAACAAGAAGGGCCCAGCAGCTCCATGGCCCGCTATCTCATGCATAGCAAGGATGTGAGACTTGGCATGATTCCCTGGACAATCTCTATCAACACAATTCCAGGGATAAGTATAGCTAGCGGGTGAGACTGAGCGGCCGATTCATGGCCACCTCGGTCCGCCGGAGTGCTGTGCGGGGCGCCTATTGTTCGTTACACTAAGTTGTATAGGAACATAAAAGCCATGGTTGATCAGCTCGACGACAAGATTGACTCCTTTTGCAAGCCGTCGGAGGGAGTGCTCGGACTGACCTAACCGGCGAAGGCCAAGATCAAGTTGAGTCCAAGGTTAGCGAGAACCCCCAAAACTACCATGTCATGTGGAGGTCTACCGTGCAATGGAAACGCCAGTCAGCTCCAGCTAAAGGTATTCACCGTACTGTCGAACGCAGCCGTTCTCTTTGCCTCAATCGACCGACGTACGATAACGCGAAGCCTAGCGCGCGCTCTCATCGACATCGGTCAGTTCAACCGGCATGCTGGACGTGGGAGCGGACGGCGACTATAGCATACCAACCTGATGTACACTCCGTGCCGAAGCACCGCAGCCCGTGCGCTCGGCCTTTTAGGTGGCCTAGCTGCTCTGACGAACGAGGAGTGTCCGCCAGATTGCCAGCCGGCACTCCCGGACCCATCAGAGCTGCAGCGTATGCCGCAGTAAGCTATATTATAATGGGTGGTGAGGCCAGTCGCAGCGACCCTGCCTTTCGACGACCCCGCATCCGAAGCCTTGAGACATGCCGAACTTGACGGTCGGCAAGATAGTCAAGCAGAGGATCTCTCATCCGTCGAAGACTAAGTAGTGCCGGCAGATTTCGCCTGCCGCAATTGGCTACCCAGCGTCGTCACTCCAATGGCAGGCTCTTCGACTGCCATCATGACGGCCCGACTTTTCGAGCTTCCGGAAACCCCTTCCACGCCGCTACAAACGGTTGATCCAAACAACGCACCTTGTCGACCAGCTTGCTCAGACCTTGCAGTGCACTACGGGAATGTCAGAGCAGTGATCGAACAGCACAAGTCCAATGACCTCTTCACGAGTGATCGGCAGTGACTCGCGGGACTTGCCGGATGTTGAGACGAATTTGCGAGGTGCGTTGCGGATGCTGCCGGATTGCGACCGTGATGGTGGATGCAGTGACCAAGCAGAAACGCAGCCAACAATGCTGCTCCGTCTATCTATCTGATTTGCAGGAGCACACAACAGCGCTCTGACGTGCCCGCGGACATGCCTACAGGTGGAGAGCTGGCGACAAAGGCAGCCATATTACCGCCGAGCGTGGAGCGTTGAAGCTACGCCGCATGAGAGGAGGAGAAAGCTGCAGGCGGGCAACAGGACATGTACGAAAGTGAATCCGACATGTGATCGACACGAGAGAGTGGTTGCAGGCAGGCCGAATGCACTGCCTCCGTCCGCCCGGATAACCTCCATCTCTTGTATTACGTGGAGCTGTCTTTTCGCACCAGGGCAAGCTAGCACTGCGCTTAAGACGACATCACCGCACCGCGAACCGAAAGCTTTTGGTTCCGCACATTGTCGACCTAAAGAGATAGTTGTTGTTCAGAACGCGGTAATCTCACACTTGTAGAAGCGGTCGTAGACGTTTAGTGCCTTCCTCGCGGAAGCGAAAGTGTCGACCGCGGACGGCGAGCGCTACACGGCTGTCCAGCATGAAGTGCGGTCGACCTGGCGCCATTGAGTAGGCGTATTCATACGCTTCGAGAGCCACCTGCTGGAAATGGAAAGGACGGACTGACCCTCGAAAACAACCGCCGATCAATCTGGGACCCGAAGGCGTAGACTCAGAATCCTATCCACAGTATAACAACGGGCCTGTTGCGGTGAACAGAAACGTGCACATGTTGCTTAAGCTTTGCTAGGGAGCACAAGCTATGCAACTGCCGACGGTGAAGTCGGAGGGAAAGAGGAAGGCTACTCTCATGATGCCCTGGACGTTGGAGACTTTCATCGGTCAGCATTCTAGCGTGCTCATCAGGATACGCTGATCGGCTATCTACGCCGTTTATGAAGATGTGGCTTCGAACACTGATGGCTACCTCCGGTCTCCCATCGGCACATAAGCCGGTTCTACGTTGATGCTTGGCTTCTGTCAGCACTACTTCCGCTTCATTCGATCGCTTTACGGATCAGCAATGAACGAGGAGTATGCGCTTGACAAATTGGGCAGAAGTTATTGATCGGCCGATAGCACAGTAGATACTCACGACCTACTACCTCCTGCGTACTTCATTATGACTGGCTTGGCGCAAGAAGACTGAGTGCAGATGACGTTGGTTTACAAAGCGATGTTGCAGACGCAGATAGTGTATATACTTCATAACGTCAGTCTCGATGCGCCCGTTAACAATGCCGACAGCGTCGTCCTTCATATCTCATGCATATTATAATTCGGTGCGTTGAAGGCTGCAAGACATTCAAAGACAGCTTAGCCCAAGCGAAGCTTTCATCGATCACAAAGTTCCCCAGCCTTGCAGTTGAAGCGCTCGTCCTCCACTGTGTCGGTGAAGTCAGTGAGGTCAAGCTTCTCACCCTGAACGCCTGCCGGGATACCCCACGCTGGACTATAGACAACTGAGTCCGGCTCAGTCAACAAAAGTGCTTGTGGAAGCGGCTGTGGTGCAGACCTCAGGTAACACGTTTCGGGGAGCATGTGGTCGTGAAAGCGACAACGGTGGCCGGCTCTGAGATTCGCTCGCAACTCCTCGCCGTTGCGCTCGCGGTCTTCGTCGAACTGGACGCAGAACGCCATCCAGCGCCACTTAGACAGCGTGTTGAAGGTGCCAGAGCGCTCGCGGACGTCCTCAGGCTGTGAGGTTACCAAGAGGGCAGCAAACGGCCAGATACGCCTGCTGGACTCTAAGTCACGCAGCACGGCTTCGCATAATTGCCACATGTAGGAGCGAGTAAGAGAATCGTCGATGGTCCTATTAAGTATAGCACGCAGAGTCGCCAAAGCTTCTTTGATGACCTTGTCCTTGTAGGCTGTGTCGCGCATGTAAAGGCCCATTTCGTAGGCAGATGAAAGACGATCCACTGGAATATTGCCGAGAAGCGCACGCTTGAACGCTCGGTAAAACTCCATGTCGACAGAGTCGCACCACCCTTCATCCTTCAAATACACCGATTTGGAGGCAGCCAGTAGATTCGTGTTGTCGGGAAAGACTACTCTCGTCTTCGGGTCCCTGGACTAGAACGTACTGACATCTACAGATATTAGTACTAGCTCCAAGTAGGCTCAATCTCGCAAGCACTCACATGCATTGCTTGCCAGGAGTGGTGTGCCCAACGGACTGCTTGGTCGTAGAGTGGAAAGCCGCTGCAGCTAAGGGCATCAGGTCGCTAGAAGAGGAGCGTGATCACAGTTGCGGGTTGCAGGATGCGGTTCGGGAGAGGGAGAGGAGTTCATATCTACGACAAACTGTCGGATTGCACTCCCGCGGGCATGGCGCCCCAACGTTCCGACAGTATGGATCAAGGATGCCGGTGTGGTAACACAAAGCAATATTGAATGCCTGCAGAATCCTGGCGAAGTGGAAGCTCGGTAAGGGCAGGCCGTGAATCGGTCACATTTCGAACTGTACGTATGTGATGAGCATCATTATCGTGAAATGCGTAGACCATCAGTCGTCGCCCTTGTGGAAGCGAGCCTCGCCAGTGGATTCTTCATGCAGGTCAAGTAAACGGGTGGCAGCGCTGCAATGCACGAAAAGCCACGGCTACCTTCGTGCGGGTGCAGTCGCAACAGCGGGATCGATCGAGTCGTCTATTGCGAGGGAGTCGGCACCAAGTCACTAGGAACAGACAGACACCTGCTCCCATCGGTGTCTCTTATGTTGCTGACCCCCTTAGCCATGTCGTGGCGCTGACTTGTGTCACATTGCCGTGCAGCCAAGGACGAGCGGACAATCTGCGGCAGGAGCGCTGTGATTGGCGCGCTGGGCCGTCTCCCAATCTTTTGGCCGGACAAACATAGCATAACAGGTCGCAGAAGCTGCAGATTGATGTAGATGTAGACCGTCTCACGACTACTGCAGCCATCTCCGCAAAGGCGCAAGGCTTTCCTGCCATTGGGGACAGCGATCACATTCTCCAATAAATGGCGTGCGTGTCGCAACGACTTTCCGGCATACTCTACTAGCTACAGTACTTCCAATGGCTTCGGCTTTCGAAAGACGAAACTCACCTCCGCCATCCAGGTCGCGCCATGTATATCCATGCAGCAGACCCAATCCTTGGCTCGGGCAGCGCAGCTTGCCAACTTGTGTCTGGCATTGTAAGCGCTCAAGCAGCAAGTGTTGAGGACATGACAAGGCTGCGGAGCTGTGACAGAGCTGTGCAGCAGGAGGAAGGACGGTGAGAAGTGCAATCCGCTTTCTGCGCTGCTAATCCGAAGGAGAGGTACAGTAGCATTTCAGAAATGTGCCGCGTCACGTCACAGCTGTCATGCTTGCGGCTTGGGCAGAGCTGCATTTCTCTGCATGCAGGCTCGGCTACCATCTTCGACGATCTGCCAACATCAGTCCAACAGACGTCCCCTGGCCCACGGTATGCTGCGTAGAGGACAGCCTGACAAGCGTGTTCTCCTGTGTAACAACTATCACGGGTCGCTGCACGACGCACTACGGACTTGTTGATGTGGAGATGAACAGAGACTTCAGCTTGCGTACTGAACGTTTCACAAACCTTGACCCGCCCTTAACGATTCCATCGTCTTTTTGGGAGCAGACACCGCATCATTTTCTTTTGGTTGGGCTGCTACGACCGTGGTCAAACATGCGCCTTATCCACGGGAGGTTAGGGATGGCAGTTTGAGTACGATCTGCTGTCAAGCTTGCCGTTCGACTGGCACGTAAACGTACTCGCACTTTCCCCCGAGTGCCAATCAGCACCACACGTCGAGCCCCAACATCTCGCATTGAACGGAGATGTATGCAGCTCTCCACATTCTGACAGCAGCGCTGCACACTCTAAACCTTACAATCCAAATGCTTGTGTCTTATCTTGGTAGCTGACCCACGATGTTGCACTTCGGAGTGCAATCAGCCATGTCTCCAATTATGGCTACATCTTGGAATCAAGCTTCGAACTTCAGATTGCAACCTCCCAACTCTCGGTGGCGCAACCGGACAACAACCCACCGCGGGCGCATTATAAAGGACAACCACAACGAAGGTAATGTCTTCACAGGGATAAAGCGCATGGCGAACGACATCAGCCACTTCAAACATCGAGATGATTAGCAAGCACTCCTCATTTGCGGCCACAGGCGGTAGGACGAGCGTGACGACACATGCTTTGGCTCTCGGTTCCCCAGCGTACGTGAACTGCTTGCCGCATTTGTTGCATTTGTATATCTGCCCTACAGTCGTAGTGGCTCGCGCAGTTGATCGATAATATAGGTTAGGGGCATGAGTGCGGCGAGTGTGGCAAGCCGCCCTCGTACACCAGAGACATTAGTGGACTCAAAGCATAGTGTCGCCCCTTAGGACTGGACCAGGGCACTTCACCTCCACCAAGTGACCTGGCGTGTTCAACTCTGCGAAACAGCTGGCGCGACACCCGCCTAAGACAGCTCTGATCACGTGTGAGCATGTATATATTTTGATCTGAGGGTGGATCTGAAGTGGGGCTGCTTAACACCACTGACCCAACGCCTCTACCTCCACCATCGACTCTACATACAAGGCTCATTACTTCGGCATCCGCATCTGTAAGACAAGTAGCTCAATGGATCCCCCAACCATCCACGTCTTCGCCGATCTCACCGACTTCGCTACACATTTGGTTATCGTTATCGGGGACGCCTGTCACATCTTGGCGGAATACATGAAGATATGGAACGGCTACAACTGGATCATTGCTCTCTGCATGACTGGTATCTCAGCACGTCACTCATCCTTCCAGTCTTCTCATCAATGGAGTTGACATACACGCCTTCCCGAACATCGGTCGCCGTGACCGGCACCATCTAGCCCACTAGGCCCTTCACCACGGTGAGGCACACATTGCTCGCATCATCAAGCTATGCGCCCGTACCGTCTCTCCCTTGCATACTGCGAAGATCTCCAGCTCGGCCTACAATGTCTATACCGAGCTAGCGCTGCCTACATATGCAGGGTGTTGTACATCAAGCGCACCTCTCTCAAGTCTGCCCTAGCCTTGCGCAATCTGCTTATACTGGCTTGTGCGTTGCGATGCGCAACATTAACGGCATGATGAATCACATTGTTAACTTCTTCAGTAAGTCTGTCTCAGCAATCTGCTCTCTGCGCATTGACGTGAACGTACATAAACCGAACTATTCATGACTATTTCATACGCTTTGTTGCCATCGTCGAAGAGGGGCCAGTGAAGCGAGCAGTCTTCAAATCACCAAAACTTCACGACGAGAGCGTCGCTACACACTACTTGGGATCGGCTGGTGCTGCGACCAACGGCCGTAGCAGCATTCGCGCCGCCGTCGTGATATCATGGAGCCAGATGGATCACTGACAGGCTGCGAAGCACGTACGGTGAAATGCTTCTTGTGCGTGCTGCCTGGCGCAACTGCATGGTATATCCCACCGAGTAGGGAGGTCCATGTCGGCTAGCGTGCGTATGCGGAGATTGTAGCATAGTTTCCAGCGGCGATGGCTATGAGATTCCGCTTCTTCGAGCGTCTGAGGTTTACATCGATACCAAATGCGAAATTATTTGAGCGCACCGACGGCTTCCGATGCGATGACGTGGGGATCCCCAATGACAATGTCGTGGGCGAGCCTGATCTGTGTTGAGTGGCCACAGTGACCGTAGCTATCACTAAACACAGACTCACGTTACGTGTACTTGCGGCATTGACGCAGTATGCTTATCATACGACTCCTCATCCAGCCTCCGGCCAGATGGTGGTGACACGCTTGCGTAAAGAGCTCGCAGTCATGTACTGCCGCATCTGATTGGATCAATTTGCGGGTAGTGGCCACACACATGAACGCCTCCGGAGTCGATCGAGCCCGGCGCATCATGGGGAGACAAAGCAGCCGTTGAGCGCAACACCTATGTCAGCAAAGTGCACCCTATTGCTGGCGGAGGCGCCGGCGAAAGCCACGCCGCCGCCGAGTCAGCTGTCAGTCATGCACGGATGCATAGGTCAACGTGTGAGTATCTGCTTAGCAGCTGTAAGGAGACATTTCCGACAACGGCGAGCTCGAAACTACTTAGGCGCAAGGACACCGAGGAAGGCTTCGCTAACAGCCCCAATGTCTTTCACAGCGCATACCGCACAGGCACTTCGGCAAATCAAGCAGTTCGGTGGTTTGGCGGGACTTCAATGCTTTGACATCACGCCTTGAGTATTAGTCGACTTCCTCCGCCAGAGAAGCCGATCAGAGACAGTGTGGCGGAGTTAGCAAAGGACCACATTGGCCGGCAAACCGACGCCGCCGGCAGCAAACGGAACATTACGTTGCAGCAACCCCCATGAACTATTCTCGCTCCAGCCTCGGTCTAGAGAAGAAGTTTGACAAGCTGGCCCGAACATAGTATTGGCGCCAGAAACGGTAAGGAGTGCGTCGCGAGGGGCTGGGTTGCATCTGAGAAGGCGATGATGGTTACTGCATGGTGACGACATGGTTGTACATGCCGAGTAATGGGATTGGAGAATGTGGTACTGTGGGTGTATATGCTTTCGATAGAGGAGGTTGCGGCTTTCCAAGCGGCTGATGAGTGACGCTATGTCGTTGCTTCTGCTTGTCGCTCTTGCTTGAGAAACTCAGGCTGTCCTGATCCTTGGCCTCTTCACGGGCTTGAGCAGGGACTGCTGCCGCAAGCCCTGCGGCTCTAGACAGCTGCTTTGCAACACGAAAACTCCGCGACACCGCCTTCATCCGTGGCGCTGTCTTTGTGGTGCGGCTGTCGGTATCATCACGCGCTTGAATTTTCATGGGCAATGAAACCCTATCTGGTGTACGGGTTTAGTCGTCTTCGGACCAGTCGATCGTGCCGCTTCCAGTAAGACGACGCCCCTTGTACTCAAGTCGTACCTCTCGACCGCAACCATCCATGTTGCTGTCTTTGCGGTACGGCCGTTGGTAACATCACGCGCTTGAGCTTGGATCGCGAGTGCGTCTTCGCTTGCTGTAGGCTCTCAGGCGCCATGGACCTCCAATCAGCTGATCGTGCCTCGAGACTACTGTGGGCAGTTTGTCGCCTTTGTCCCTGGACCAGCTTAGCGTGTCCTGCGAAATTTCAGTCGCCTTCGGCCTTGGATGCCTGATCGTGCCCCTTGCAGTGACGCCCTACATTTAAAGCCGCGTCCAGTGAAATACCGCCCTTTCGACTTGGGTCGTACATCATGTCAGTTTCTTGTATCGCCTGCTGCGGCGACTGTGCCGCGCCCATCTTCGCTCTCAGATTCCCTGCCAGAGAAATTTCGACAAGACCTTGCTTCGGCTCTCACGTCGGACAAGGTGACCGGCGCTACCAGTGAAGATGCGACCTCAGTCTGCGCATTGGGACTAACACCGATCATCTCATGCGACGCATGAGCAAACAGCTTGTTTCTGCGGCATCGCGGAGTAGCCATGCTCCATACTTTCTCATCCTCGTCAATCTAGAGTGAGGAATGGCTAAGCAAGTCGGACAGGGAGCGCGCTGTAATGTTGAATTGATTATGCTAGCACCGACGTCCGCAGGTCAGGGATCATGTGTCGTCTTCGGTCGGGCTCGGGTTTTGGCTCAGGCCAAGCGGACCGACGAGGCGGGCCTCCTGCACAGTAGTAAAGACCGCCATATGGAGGCATAGTGACACAATCTTTGGAAAGGTGCGCTCGGACTATGGCTGTAATTTTTGCAATTACGCAGCTCGGTCGTGATGAACGAGCGCTTTTGACACCCGTCGTCGTGGATTCACTTGATGGTCTCTGCATGCTCTGATGTCCGCAAGATTGCACCGGCCTGGCAAAAGTGTATACCCTCTAGCGGCGCTGACGTCTCGCTAGTCCGTTGCAGATCGATAAGCTTCACAGCGGCACTCGCATAGACTCAGCCGTCGGTCGGCAATGCAGCTTGCGGCGGTGCTGTTGTTCAGTCAGCGAGCCTTCCACGATGCACTCGGCGGCGGAAGACTGATTGAACAACAGCACCCTCGTCACTGGTTGTATTGTATGATGGTCACCGGCGGCTCGGTGGCGATGGAGGTGGCAGCGTAAGAGTTATCTGCCCGATAACAAGAAGCTTATGGTCACGTACCTTTCAGGCCGCTATAAACTGCTCCCAAGAAGACACTTTCTGACTGGGTCAGATGCTCGAGACGGTCAAGGCACCGGGCTTGGTTATGCAAAGCGGATGCTCTCTCACAAGGCGAGGGTTCCAAAAGTTGTAAGACAAGGCGCGGAATAACCTAAGACGTCGATCGGCCATAGCTGACTCCTCAACGGTACTTGTAGCGGTCATGTCGCCTTCGCCACCAGTCACAAAGGCCGTCTCGCTGCTCTGTGTTAACTTTCTCGTGTTGGCCTCTACGCTTTGCCACTGAGACATGTGTTTGCGAATCGGAGTCGAGAAGCGAGCAAATGCTGAATGTCTCAAGTGGATTTGCCCGGGCTGGTGGAACGCGACAATGGTAAGCAATCGGGTGGTTTGGCAATGCGAGCGATTTAATTTGATGGGTCGCTCGTAGAACCACTAGGTAGGAAACATCATGTCCTTTGTGGCAGAAACCTTGTACATAAGGCAGCTTGTCCATTTGGTCTACGCCGGAAGATGTGACTACGCAGCACATATACTAGCGACCCTGGCGATGTCCTTGGCACCGGCAAAAACGCAAACGCAGCCAACGAGATCACCTCTGAAGACTTGCCGAAGGCCGTGGTCCTCTACTACGCGTCCCTCACATCGTGAGTGCTCTACGCAAGCTAGAAGCACAGTGTCCTTGCACATAGATCCTACGCTTGCCTCGCTTGATAGTCTGGATAAATTTGGCCTCCGTCGCGGTCGTCCTCCGCTGCTCACCGAGTGGGCATATATGGCGGAGCTCCAAAGCAAGCAAGTGCCTCGTAAGTATTGCACATGAGGCACGGCTGGCGGCTGGATCAAGACGCTTGCTGCGCAGAGATGAGAGATGGTTGGTGTGTTGGCTGGATAGCAGAGTCACATGCTGACCTGGAACATCGATCTTGCGAGGCAGCGACACGTACAAAAATACCAGGCTCCTGCAACCAGCACCATAACGGCAGTCCTGATGAGTAAGGATTAGTAGTGAACACATGGTTGAGACAGGACCATTGAGGTAGCAACATAGGCAAGCTCGTGGCAAGTGACGAGAGACGGCTGGGAACTGCATTCAGTCGCTTTACGATACACGCCCAACATGTGACCAATGACTCTCAGATGAAGCCAGGAAATATCGCAGATGGAGAATGCAACGCTAGAATTCCGTGTAAACAGCGCGGCTTGGGAGAACCTTCGGGGTGAACTTGTACTATCGCGGCCTTTCCCCTCTGGCATATCGCGCTCCGCTTCATCCGCCCACGTCTTTCGCGACGTCATCACACCCTCAATCCCATGAGAGATTTGTTTGTGAGTGCATCAGCGACCCTCGACCACGGCGGCGTTTCGCAAAAACAATAAGCTGCAGAGAAGACTGAACCCCGGAGAGTTATGCAGTATCGGATCGACAACTGCATTGCGGTAGTCAAACTCAATCGCCGATGCCGCGCAGCGGCCCGGAATGGAAGGGTAGCATCATGAACAGACTGCGGCAATATATTGTCCGACACTGGCGTCTGTCACACTTGCTTGAATCTTGTCGGGCGCGAATGTTGCCGTATGGAGTAGGTCTGCAATCGAAATGTTGACCTTCCGTAGATCGTCAAGCGTGTCGGTCCTCCTTGCGTCCATCGCCTGGAGCTCGCGGTCATAAAACGTCGCATCGAATTTCACCTGAGCCATGAGCGCACGCAAGAAGCTAAGGCCATTCTTTTCCATCGTCGAAGTTGCGTTCAGCCGTCGGAAATACTGCCATGTGATCCCCTCAGGTCGCAAGGGATCCTTCTCTGGCAGACTGATGGCCGCTTCATAAGTAGATGCGGCGTGCGACAGCAATGGGTGAGGAATACGCCGTGCTTGTACTTCTAGCGCCATTTCTGCTATACGTTCGACTTGCTGGACGGCGGTACGAAGTTTGGCGAAGCGCTCTGACCGCTCCTCCAGATCGACGAGTTGCGTCTTCAGGTCTACCAAGGAGCGGTTAAGCGTGTTCACGGCAGTATCGTTATAGGATATTGGAGCACCTTCGAAGGGCGGCACAGACATTGATATTGGGGGTTGTAACTCATCTTCAGGAGTCAACGAAGCGGACACAGCATGCGAGAGCGCTCGACGCCAAACATTTGCGTCTGGTTGGCGAAGACAGTGCTCCTTGTGTAGCCAGTGCATTGCGCAAACGATGGTGTAAATGCCGCAATTGGTCATGTCCGCCTGTGCAGGCAACATCTGAATGGAAGTCAGTTGGGAAGACTCGATAGGGCTCTCGAGAGCGTACTGACCTGAAAAGTTTTCCACTGCAGGGCCTCCACAGCGGTGATGCATGATGCAAAGGCACGCAGGTTATTCGAGGTACTCGTTAAAGCAGCCTGGCGGTTCATAGGATCGAACACGAAAGCACATTTCGTCTCTAAGTCTAGCATCCCCAGAGTCCAGTGGTTCTCGTTGAGACACATCGGAAGGATGATCCTCCGCAAGTCATTCCGCAATGGCTGGTAACGGCTCCTGACTTTTCCGGAGCCTGCGACGCCACAGTCTACGACATGCACATGGTCCGGATCCGGGTTCAAGGCATCAAGGAGCAAGTGCATGGACGAAGTACTGAGCCAAGCGTCCGGTTGCAGTGTCTGAAGCACTTTGAGCCGATCTTCATGGCTTGGGACTGGGCGGCCAGTGCGAAAGCAGAGAGGTTCCGGATTAATAGCTGTGTTCACGTCGCCTGGCTCTTGGCACACCCGTGAGATAGGAGCATCAAGAGGCTCCGCTCGGAAACGGTCGTAAGGTTGCCGGCCTGGAGATGGACCACGCTTAGACTCCGTATCGCTGACCTCCTCTATCGATGTTGCTTCGTTCGCAGACATGTCGATATGCGGAGCGTCATCATGCAATTTGGGTGAGGTGGCACGATGCGTTGGGGTCACGGTTCCAACCAAAGATTGTGGCGGTGTTGAAAAACCATTCTCGATCAGCCGTCGCTTCGGTGAGCGCTCAGGCGAACACCGAGTGCGACTTCGCTTGCGACTGACAGGCAACGTAACTTCTCCTTGGTCCACACGGTCTTCAGTGTTCCGGCTATTTGGCTTGATGTCGACAGCGGTAGCAACAGCTTTGCAAGGGTCGATCTCTTTCTCACCGTCAATCGATACGAGCACGTTACGTCCATGCGGATTCCTATGCTGCAGGAAAGTCTCGATGGTGGTCCTCATGTCAGCGACTTCGCTATTAGTGTCGTGGAACGTCGCGCCCGTTTCGACAGGCTGCCACTGGGCACTATCACCGTCATCGTCAGAGTAGGCGGGAATGCGATCATCAACACTATTTGGTGAGCTCCGATCGGCTTTTGCTGAAGCATCCCCACGTCCGAGCTCCACGGACTGCTCGGTCGCTTCGTCCTCTTCCTTGCTCGCGCCAACGGTCCGCGTCACTTCGCCGCCAGACGCATTCGCACGTAAGCTTGCCACAAAAGTGGCACAGTTCCCAGTGTCTTCATGCTGCTTGCGTGCGGTGACGGATGGACGTCCAGTGATTGTAGACGGAATCTGGCACGTCGCTTCGTCCACGTCCATGGCGGATGGTAATAAGGCGGTAGAGGACGCGGTAGAAGTACCGGTTTGCGCAAACTCTGCGGCTACGGCCTGTGTGTCGGCAGGCTGCCACTCTGCAGTACCAGAGGTTCCGCGTTTAGGCACGCCTTGCATACGTTGCTGCTGGTGCGCTCGCAGGCTCATGAAAGCACGCGGGAAGTCGTCGCACTGTTGCGAGACCTCGCGGAGACCGCGCAGAAACCGCTCGCTGCTAACCGCTTTGCCAAAGAGAGCGTACAATTCCGCAGCACTGATAGTCCATGGACATTCTAGCGAGTGGGTAAGGTAGTTGATGTGCTTGCGCGTCTGCGATGGCAGCTGACTGGTGATGAAGTGAGCAAGTAGCGCTGTAGTCTGTGGGTCGAGTGTCCGAGTAAGCTGTCCAGGGCTGTCGGGACCACCTGAGACGAGGATTGTTCCAATGCGTCTCAGTTGTTCTAGCGCTTCCGAGCGGCCTCTTTGTATGCTTTGATTCAGGCTATGAACAGCGGCGGCGAGGCTAGTCATGGTTCAGAAGTCACATTAGGCTATAAGCAAAATTTGCACCTCGTGTTGCTTTAAAGGTGAAGATGGATGCTGTGCAGAGGGGGTGACGTGTGCATGCGCGACGCACCGACTGGGAAGGAGCGCGCTTGTCCCCGCATTTGTCCACTTAGTTGTCGTCCGCCAGCGCTGACAAGTGACCCACCCTCTCGCTTCTACCATGACAATTGCTGAATTACACCAGACTCACCGTCAATGTGATTCGCCAGCTCATGATCTGGACCGTGAAACACCATGACACCGTTCATGTTCAGCAGGTCCTGCATTCGCCGTGCTGGACTTGCCATTCCAGTCGCGCAATGTTCGGAGTTGGGAGATCGCATTGTATTCCTGGTAGCCGGTTATGATGCAGCAAAGATCATAGGCTAACGACGCGTGACAGTCGATGGCCTCAGCGGGGATGGGTCGTTGTGTTGGAGGACGCAGTTGCTTTGCCGCCGCGGATCGGCAGTGCGGTCTTGGCGTTTTATGGCGCATCATACCTGCCTCCCTTGGACGACTGGGCGGCCAACTGCTGAGCCGGCAGTAGATTGATGAGGGCGCCGAAGACGCATGCCATCCACTCCAACTGGCGGAAGGTCCCACGCAAAGTGACGGGGCGCGTCTTCCAGGTATCTTCTAGATCTCCCACCAAGTCATAGTCCACTCCAGCCAACTTTTGCAACATGACGGCGTGGGAATTTGTCTTCTCTCGGACGGATCATGTCGCCCAAGCGAAGCGGACAGCGCGAATAGGCATCGAGGCGCTGGTTGTTAACATACTATCATGCATACTGCCCCCTTCGGTAATTATGAGCTGCTGGTCTGTCGGCTTGTACGGATTACACCACAAGTCGGCATAGCTGACGGGAGACGACAGGGCGGTCGAAGAGCGTATTGTTCACTAATAGCCTAGCCAAGCTCTTACTATCTGATCTAGGCGCTCGGCTATCTGTAAGGCTCAGGCCGGTTGAGACAGGCTATCCGATCAGAGTAGTACGAGCAAGTCAATGGCCGAACGTCAGGCATGGTGAATATAGTGTGTGGTTATCTATCTCATGTCGGCGAGGAGTTGACGGCGCAGTAAGGCTGAGATCGCACCGATGGGTGCAGGTTGATGTGATCTCTGGCGGTCATTCATTGGAGCAGCCAGCACTGTCACAGCTCGTACTGCTGCCGTGCGTTCACCTGCACGTTGGCATTGGCATACATTTGAGTCGCCAGTACGTTTGAAGGCGTGTGAGGAGTGACAGCCACACGTAACACATCCTCTTCCTCATTCGCCGGAGTGGAGGCAGATGCATCGCAGACAACGGTCGTACGCAACCCCCGCGCGCCTTTGGCGCTTTGTACCTCAATTGCAAGCACTTCCGGTAATGGAGAACACGGCGACGGCACGGCCACTTTACCTGCTGTTGCAAAGATAACACGCAGATTGCGCACCCTTCCAAGCCATTCAATTGTTGTCTTGATTGTGCGTGTTGAAGGCAAGTTGTTCCAATGCAGAGTGCACTGTAAGTCAATTAGCTGAATGCGCCACCCGCTTTAGTGTACGGTGACAAGCTCGATGACAAGTGTCGCGTACCTCGCTAATTAAAAGCACTCCGTCACCACCATCGTTCTCCTCCAGCTCCTCACCGCGCGTGAAGTACCGAGCCGTCATTTACGCTGGACAAGAACGGCAAGCACCGCATCACACCCGATTATGAAGGAGGTTGTAAGAGCTTAAGGGAATGCTGGTGCGAGATGCTTGCAGATGTCACTTTATGCATACGTCGTGCGGGTTCAATACAGATGAGGTACAAGTACAAGCCCATCAAATCATATCACAAAGGTCGAATGCCCTCTCCCCACGACAAACATGCCTACACCGTCCCACCAACTTACCACCTTAACACCCTACTATCACGCTGTCTCTCTGCTCTCTCTCAAGTCCCCCCATCTCCTACAACCCTACTGTCCACCGTTCACCTCGTGTTTCCTCCTTCCGACCCTACCTGAATCCTATCACCTCCGCCTTAGCATCTATCAATCTGACCAATACTACCTAATCTTCCCAGCCGCAACCGCAACAGCATTCCCAACAACAACAACCACCACCACCCGTCTCGGCACCCAATCCCTCGCCACCTCCAGTTCAGCCCCACCCATACCCATAGCACTCATCCTTTACCCCGCCCGCCGACCCTTCGTTCTCGAGCCGCCACCGCTGTCGAACAGACTACCCCGCACAGCCTTTCTCCTCCGCCAACTCCGCGTCCGCTCGAGCCCGCCACGTGCAACGACAACGCGGGAAGGGTTTGGCCTATGTGGGACATGTGCACATCCTGGAGGCGGGAAAGAGGGAAGCTAGGGCTTGCAGATGAGGCTAGCTGATGCTGCAAGCCGCTCCCCGAGTGGACAGAGGAGGAAGAGTGTTGCGTTCGGTGGAAGTGGCGGGCGAAAGAGAAGAAGGAGAAGAACGACGAGTGGGCATACATACTTGGTGAAGTGCTATCATGAGTGAAGACTCAAGGCCGTTGTTGCTACAGTATGGGCAGGCGGCGAAGGCGGCTTTGAGGCACACGCTCTGTTTCTGCTCGCTGACACTCCACGGAGGGTGAGCAGAAGGCTCCGACCAAAAGGGGACGGGAAGGTAGTGTGCCATCCGTTGCCTCGTCCCCAGCGATGAAGAGAAAGAGTCGGAGATGGAGGTGAATGTGGAGGTGAAGGTGGAGGTGAAGGTCGAGGTGGAGGCGGGCGAAAGTGGAGGTGAAGATGGATGTCGAAGTGACCTGGTTGCTGCCCGTCCAGCGGTACTATGCAAAATCAGCGGACAAACGAGTGCATAGACGGCAAGTAGGATAAGGCCGGCTGCAGAGTCCGTAGCTCGCGCATGAGAGTGCATGGTCATTACATCCGGACTGAGAGGTTAGCAGCAGCAAAGCAAGCCCGCAGAATCCAGCTCGCACGGCCCGCATGTTACAACAAACCAGCAGCAATATGACGACAAGTTTCGCGTTGCAACAGAAGCACATGGTTCAGAAAGTCCTGCCGGGGGACAATCAGCGCGTTGAAGAGTTTGATGCAGATAACAAGTATAACAGGCAACTCGGTAGCAGCGCACGGTATCTCAAGGCCCGCCACGGTGAGCTCGAAAGCAAGAGCACCGTCGACATGCGCTTCAGCACCACGAAGTCATCCACCGAGCTCGAGCTTGTATTCTGACTCCCTCCTTCAGGCAAGGGCGAACATTTCCGCGCTTCGTAAAGTGGTCTCTTACAAACGAAGCCGACCCTCTCGCTGCACAGGCACACGAACCGCACTTCGCAAGTTCGCAGATTTAAAGCGGGGCGGGAGTTACTTGGCGCCTTGCTTAGACATCAATGGCGATGACTTGCATACCCTGTACGCCCGGTTTCCGTCCTGTCAGCGATAATTTGGCCAACTTGCACCTCTGCGGACTAGACCTGCGTTGAACCATCAATCGTATCTACTACTGATGTACACATGCTCGCATGACATTGAATTATCCGCCCTCGGAGCACGCCTGGCTTACGGACTGCGATGGAAGAAAGCTCTATAAGCTGTGACACGTCGAGCTCATATCACTCCAAAGCCCTTTCACCGACCACTTGAGCGCGATCCACAGCTGGCGTGGTTCGAAATGCCCAACCTCACGTCCGCCGAAGCTGATGACAGATTGGAGTCGTCTAAGGGCCGGCCATTCCAAGTGGAAGCTACGCACGACAGCTTGGGAGACCTAGCGGAATGCGTTGATTCGAACAGTAAAAGCTGATTTAGATAGACTGTGGCAAGCTGCCTAAGTCGAGCAGCACATCGTTGGGGATCTTACCACACAACGCGTCGACTGGATAGTTTACAGCACGGCGACTCGATGAAGATTTTGTCATGGTCACGGAGAAGGAGGCTGTGGAGATTGGAGAGAATGCGGCAGTGTCATCGGCGAGCCGACCATCGACAACTGATCCACTCATGACCCCGCTCGTAGACAACAAAGTCACTCATGAGTCGGTTCTTGACACGTTCAAGCCTCTCGAGTGTCCCAGCGTCTCAATCATGCCAGGCTCATACATCGTCCAGCTTCGTAAGCTCCGATGGAACAACTACCACTCGGTGCTGCGTATTGCGATAAGCGCAACTTCCGCGCATGCATGTTTTAGGTTACACGCATCGTAGCCATTCACACTCTCGTCATCCCCTATTCCGGCATCCTCTGACCTTTACGAGCCTCCAGCGTCGGAATCTACAGTGTGAGATCCTACGGATCTTGCTCTACGCGAGCGACTGCCCAGGCGCTCGATGACTTTTGGTCCGAAACTTTAGCCTTACGACAGACTAGCCCCAAATCATGGTGCAGCACCTTGCAATCCTCTTCTTCTGCACTGTCACGCTTGCTTCCGCCGAACATGGACAGCCGTGTAGGTAAGCAAGAAGTTACAATGAATGGAGTGACCTTACCACTTCCTTTTTGGAGCCTATTCCGAAGCATCGACAACTTACATCTACGGACTGTACGGTCTTGTGGCTAGCGAGAACGAGCACGGCGGACAAGGCAGAGGACGGTGCAGTCCTTCCCCGCCCAGCTCTTCCTCAATCTCTAGCTCCTGCCCGTCCAATCCTCTGTTCAGCAGCCTCTGGTCACCGAGTACCTTGCTGTGCAGTCTTTTCTCGCCGTTTGCTGGCTTCGCAGCACGCAAGACTTCGAGGATGTCTTGATGATGGGAGCTCTCACCATACCTAGTTCTTGCTATCGCAATCTTCCGAGGTGTCAGCCAGCTAGCGGTAAGCGCCGTAGACAGATACCTTTCCTCGAAATTATAGAATGTTGGCGAAGTGCATGCCGAAGATGACGCCGTCACGACCGGCACAGTAGTTCCAACTCTCGGGATGCTCTTCACAGACGACCACGACGACGAGTGTACGGACGAGCCGGAGCCGGACAAGATGACCCTCCGCATGAGATGGGATGGGAAGACAGTAGGAGCAACGTAGACATGGGTGAGGTACGCTGCAATGCCAACTCCGACGCACGCTTGATCTTCCCTTGGCTGGACTTCAGCATTTGGACGCCCCAGCAACCCTGTTGAATGTCATCCACAACAATACTGGCAACATCGATAGTGTTCATGTCATAGAGTTCCGACTGCGGTGCTCTCGAATTCCACTCCGGTGTCGCTACGCCGGAACCCTACCGGTTTGGAAGCCGAGGGAGCCTCCATCGGATGTGCTTACGAACCTAATGGCATGATGTTTGGACTCAGCCTGGATAGCCTCCAAAGGGACCGTGAAGCCTGTTCCACGAAATAAAGTACTCATCACGGGCTACGTCGATACATGTTATGCCGACTTTGACTCGACAGTCATCTGCTCTATCGCCACCAGGCTTGGCCCCAGTCAGTATTCAGTACCGCGCCCTGACGTGAAATTATTGCGGCTAGTACGAAGCAGTCACGCGACGCTGTGGCAGCAGAAGCCCGCATTGTCGTAAACAGTTCTCAAAATCTAGCTGGCGATAAAGAAATACATGCTTCTCTAGCCGAGCTGTCGACATTCCACAAAGCTCTGCCACTCAGGTTATCTGCTCAATTCTATCAATGCCGGCATGGACAACGACAGACATTGGGAGTGGAACCTAATAGCAGAGCCGGAATCTCCTCGATGGACGGCCAGAAAGTTCCAAGCCCGCAGCACCGGCATGAAAACACCCTCACTCAGGCCAGAGCAGCCACAGAAAGTGACAAGGCTGCGGCCACCTGGTCCGGGGGATGACCGCGAGGATTACGTGGAGAAAGCGAACACACCGTTCCAGACGGAGATGATGTCAATGGTGATTACGACGCTCTCACTGAAGTCCTGAATCATCAGAGCCTTCGGAAAGGGACCTAATCCGTCGCAACACGCAGACTCACAACAAGGTCGACGGGCTGACTATACCGTCGGGCTCCCTTCTAAGTGGCCCGCAGCGTGTTTGCGCGCTCTCCCTCCACTCACCACGACATAGTGGTCACTTCAACCGCAAGGACACAACCCACGAGTCTGCTAGAAGTTGTTGCTAAGGTTTATGATGGTTCAAAGAATAGTGCGAGCGCTTCTCGTTCCAGCGCTCGTCTATGGAACGTCGCGCTGCCGCAGCAACGCCGCCTTGGCATCAGCCAACCCGACCAGGCCTCTGAACTCAGACTACAGCTGCTCGAGGTCGCCATTCTTTCGCAAAACAAAACAACGATGCGCTGCGTCATGCAAGCGGCTCGAATTAGGGGCTTGAGCTGTGAACTTGCGAAGGGTACCAGAGATGCTGCCATTACGTGCTCGTAGGATGCACAATCCAACCCTGCACGTCTGCAGTTAAGCTGTGACTGTACACCAGCAGCACCGCTGTAGCGTTTGAACATTGCTGATTCTTGAAATTGCTGGCACAAGTCCATCGTGCTGTGGCCGATTCTTGAACAGTAGTGCAACCCGTAGGGATCTTTGCATGGAGCTTGCAAAGGTTGATCCGTACGCATGTACGCTGGGGGGTTGCTGGAGCACCATCCTGGGGCAGTGGGGCAATGGGGCACCTCGCTGGGGCGGTGAATCACTTTGCTGGGCAGTGGAGCACCTCGCTGGGGCAGTGGAGCACCTCGCTGGGGCAGTGGAGCACCTCGCTGGGGCACATACTCTGGCGGCGGCGGCGACGGCATCGAAATGGCTCATTTGTGCAAGCATCTTCGTTACACAGCATGTCCTCCATCTCACTATGTTCTCGCCTGACCTCTTCACTAGCCTGCGTCAGCCCCTCTTATGTCCTTGCTCTCAATTGTGTTCGCATTGAGTGCGGCGCATTCTGCATGGTGTTCAGTTGATGTACACCGTATTAACAGCTATATCGGCTTGGGACTGCTCCTATTGCTGGTTGCGGTTGATAGACATGTTGCCAACAACAGCCGCTATGGAGCCTGCTGTATGTCAAGCACGACCATAGTCTCGACGAGGCTGCGTGTCCATCATGCTGATCACGAACATATGAGTGAGGTGGACTTTACCTCATCTGACATGCGAGTAGCCGGTAGTACGGACACGGTCCTGCGTAGTCTGCTAGGCCTCAGCCGGAGCAGTGGAATTGTCAGGAGCAACCACTTGAGCTAAGCGCTATACCCGATATTTCTCGAACGAGGCAGGAAGACGGTCTGTACGGCGCTCAACCAATGGCAAGAGCGCACGTTTCGTGGCTCGTAACATGTTTCATCAGCATTGTGGGCCTTCCAGCAAGCCCCAACCTTCGAATATTCGTGAGGCTTCCAATTCGACTTCGGAAAGGAGCATGTAGATGAGCTCACGACGGACAGCGTTGAGTAGAGGAAGAGCAAGCGAGCGCAGAGAGTGGTTCTACTGCGCGACGTTCGAACAGTCGGATGATGTCCGAGCTACGTCGTCAGCGCACAGCTTGTTCGTCTCCCATACCAGTAGCAACGGCGTGGCTCCCGTGCGTCTTCGGCAACTACGACGCCGGCGTAGAGCTTGTCTGCTGATAAGGAATGCAGTCGCGAGCGGCCCGACACCAGCTTGGCGTCGTCTCTTCGGCGGATCTGGTGACCTTGAGCTGACCATTTTTGAACAAACCGAGTCTGCGCATACCCATTTCCCTGAAGAATGCGGGTCTAATAGACGTCCTGGAAGTCGGCAGGTAGTGCATGTGCTTTGGCAGCGTCAGGACTCGCGGTGTTACGGTTGCGCTTTGACGTAGAAGGCTAAAGGGTTAGTACGTTGGTGTCCAACAACTGTGGCGGACAATTCGATAGCACCAGACTCCGCCGGACGGGCCGAAACGAGTTGGAGGAGGAAAGTCTACGATCTTGGCCGATGATGGTATGCTGAGCTGTATTGGGAGGTCCAAGCATTGCCAGTGGGCTCGAAGATACAACACTGCACTCACAGCAGTAATGACGAAGTCTGGTACGGCGACGACATCTTCACTAGTTGGTAAGCGTAGCGCAGAGCCCCAATCACTGGCTGAGGCCTGGTATTCTTGGCGGTACATGCAGTATAGTATATGTCTGGCACAGCGTCAGCCTGCTCAGTGAACCAGCATAAGTTGCTCTTGGGTTAGCGGCTCGAGTGTACAGCACCAAAGCATATCACGCCATAGTGTGCGAGGGCGCGAGTGGTTATCAATTATAGCTTTTGATGAGTCTTAGCATCCTGTTCTGCACCACCTATAGCTCCTCTATGACATCTTGGGTTGCCTTCATCGACTTGCAACATCTTACTGGACTGATAGAGTCCGGAGAAGAGCAGTCATGGCGTTTGGGTACATCCATATGCTTAAGATTGCTTGTTACAGGAACCGTCTCTACCATGCAATCGACCGCAGGCGCCGTAAAGTCACAACCTGCTTTGCATTGGGAACGGGGTGATGAAGTCTCGCAAGCACAAGCTGCCCGCTGAGCGTTATGCATCTCAACCACGTGCCTTCGCTTTCTTGCATAAGTCGAGAAGCTGCCGATAGCGTTCCATTCATTGCCCCGAATTTCAAGTGTCGCTGGCGCTGCTGGGTGATTACAGCCTCACAGCCCCTATAAGCAGCATGTTGCGATTGCTCATCGCTAAGAGGGAAACAGCCGTTGGCCATTGGGATGCAATTCGTACCGGTAGCCTGATGGCCTGTAGAGCTGTGGCGCATCCACATGCGCAAAGTGATGCAGCCCATTCTCGCTAGCTGCTGGGCAAGATGTACCGCCAAATGGTCCAGCGGAGTATGGAGTCGGCAACATTTCGTATTCCGGGGTAGAATGGTACACTTGGGTAGCCACGTGTTGCTCGGTCACTGCTGACGGCTCGATGTGGTGATAGGAGTGCGATCCGTAAAGGTTCGGCGGCAGCATAGAAGAGTCGAATTCTCCGGCGCTTTGCTGGTACACTGATACAGGGTCCACGAAGTGGGCGGAATCTGACGCTTTTGGAAAGAGGATGCGCGGTGCAGAATCAGACACTTCAGTCGTGTGCTGCTGTCGGAAGTTTTCTCGGATAGCGCTCTGCACCGGGAAGGACACCGCGGAGCCGTCAAGCAACATGTCACCCTGCGGATTCGAGCCGCAGGCTGGGTGGTATAGGAGAGCCGGCGGTGATTGTGGCAAAGCACCATTTGTTGTCGAAGGCGGTTGCGGGTGCAGGCCGTAGTGATGAGCGAGGTAGACACTGGGTCTGCCTGAACGGTGTGCTTGGCCAGTCCCAGCCGACTGACGAGCGTAAGGATCTCCATGGTAATTCTGATAGTGTTCCTGGCCAGACCAAGCTAATTTATAAGTGTGCGGGACTACGTGAATGTGCCGGTAGTCTCTCTGGCCGTGCCAAGCCGGTCGTTCGCTGTAGGGAGGTTCGTACCTGTCCTGGTAGTAAGCCTGGCCTTGCCAAGCCGACCGTTCGTTGCAGGGAGGCTCGTAGCTGTCATGGTAGTATCTGTCGCCGTCGTAGACTGAAGCTCCATGGTTGTATCCATGGTATCCCGCGCCAACCGAAGCTCCCAACCCCCACAATGCTGGTGCCACTTGTGTTTCTTCGTCAAGCCCAACGTTCCATTCTTGTTGGACCTTTGAGTTAGGCGTCTTGAGATCTTCGAGGGGAGTGGAATCCTGACGGGGACTGATGTCTTGGTACATCGCCGGTCAAGCACCGGTCAGATTAGCACTTCAACAGCTTGTCGAATTGAAATAATTGTCGCGCCAATATGTAGGATTGTTGGGTACCGCTCGATGCACGACGACAGACGGCGGGCAAAGTCAGGAGAGAGTGGGTGCAGATGGGTGTGCGGACAACGATCAAAGCAGAGAAACCAACTACGAAAGGCGGGTTGAGGTAATGGATGCTCCAGGCCGGTCCGGCATACACGCTCACCTCGTTTGTTCGTCGGCTGCAGACACGCCGCCTTCATGCATACGCTAAGTCTCCGCAGGTAACCATCAGACTGAAACGAATACAGTGACGTGAAGAAGCACAAGTAATCTTCCTATGGGAGCTCGGCATCCAACGTGCACATCAGGCTATGCTCAAGGCAGGGGATGTAATACCCGGCGCCTTAGTCCCACGTACAGATTGGCTGCGCTAGTGCTTGTGCTCGTGCGCGTGTCTGTGGGCGCTTCTGCGCGTGCAGCTGCATACCAATATGGAGGGTGGAGGAGGAATACAGTAGGGAGCATTGTCGAGGAGCGCTGTTGAGGAGCGCTGTCGTGATTGTGGAGGAGCCATAATGTGCCAGGAATCAGTTCTGTCGGCTCGGCAGCTCAACATGTCGGTACCGAGCTGCAACCCTGACATCTCACGCTTTCTCTCCATCAACACAGCCAACGCCACCCTGCTTTGCCAGCGTTGCCCGCATACTGTACTTTCATTATTAGGAACACCGCATAGTTGGCGCTTACCAGCACTACGACTTGGAACAAAACAGCCTTTGCCCTCCTCGACTGCACCTCCATATCGCATCCTGTGCACCTCCGCGCTAACTTTATCCCTACTTAAATCGCACTGCTCAGCCGTCGAAGACAAAGCCTATGCCCGCCGCTATGAAGGGTGACGCAGCCGCGAAGCTATAATCACTACACCCGAGCATGTTAGAGATGAGGTGTTCAACCCTCAACCCCGTGATCGATGTCCCGTAGAGGCACCGTCTGGGCGCGCACTGACGTGCCGACGCGCTTAGAAGGAAGAAGGCAGGAAAAAAGGCGCTCCTCACAGTAGACCTGAACGACTATATTGGCTACGATAACGTCAAGAGCTGAGGTATGCGACTTCAGTTGCTCAAGCGTTCGGTAGACTTCGCAACGGACCATTCCGAAGCGAGCTTGGTGGATACCTTTGATTGCGGCTCCACAGCATTGTCGCCAGCCGTGTTATCATCCACGCCTGTCTATAGCAACACCGGCATTATCCTCCGCAACAACGCCGCCGAAGCGCTTGAGGCGGGATGTTGCTTCAATGGTAACCCAGACTATCGCACCGGTCCGGCCGACGATACGGTTGAAGCGCCCACAGAATAGTGTGGCTTGCTCCAATTACAAGCAATCGCACTGCGCGACCTGGTCAGCGACATTCTATCGAAGCATTGTTGATGGCCGTCATGCCCAAACTCCCATAACCAAACCCAACTCCAATGCTGCCAGTATCTCGATCCCAGAGATCGATACCCACCGTACCGCTCCTACGTGGTTATCTCCTCCCTCGGGGCCTGCGGTTGTGCTTTCTCCGACACAAACCTTGTCCACGCCAGCGCGAGCAAGGCCGATGAAGACCGGGGTTTATCCTCCCGCGTGGCTTCGGTCGAGTTTACCAGAGCAGAGCATTATCTCGTGCTCTTTGACTCAGGCTTGACCGTGTCTCTTTGAACTATACTACTTCACAGCAAGCTTCCAGTACCGGTCATCCTGGCCAGACCACGACATCTGCCCAGACCACGACATCCTGGCCAAGGTCGTCGCCTTGAGAACGTCCTTGACTCTGCCTCCCGGCGGCCAGCGTCTGTTTCCCCGATCCAGCTTGTCACACTAAGATGGTGTGCACATGGTCTTCACTAGCTGAGCGGTGGACGTACTCCCGCGGTCCCGGTCCTACTTGCTGAAGTCGAACAAACTCTCCGCGCAGTCCGAGACGTTGCCATACCGAGCCTGCGAAGTTAAGTTTCTAGAGGAGCTACGCAGCGGCAGGCAAGCTTGCGCAACCCTGGTCTCTGTCCGCGCGCCCAGCCTACAGCGAACTCCGCAGCTTTGCATATAGGGATAGTGACGTCCGGCTCACCCGTCGCCTTGCCTAAACGTAGTCTTGCCTCCCGTCAAGATGCCCAGCTCAATCCACTTGTTAGCGGACATGACTAGCTTCGTGCTATTCGAGCAGAATATGAATGCACTGACGTTAGACGAACCAGAGTTTGACGGTTCAACATTTCTACTCAACGGCGCTGCGGGTATCTGCAATGTACATTCGAGCTCTTGTCAACAAACGCTTGGCGATGGACGAGTGCAAAGGTACTAATAACGAGCTGATCGGTGCCACTCACCCCGGCGTCTTACTCGCCAGCGACATATCATGCGCCTGCACGATCGTGCCTTGGTCGCAATCTCCCCACATCTCCTAGGAACTTTGAGGCGCTCCAAAGCCGCATACCTGCACCGAATTACAAGCTGATCTCCCATACCATTTCGCCTTGCCATGTATGAGGGACAAGATAACCGGAGGTGGAGATCGGAGTGTGTTCGCACTGAGCCGCAAGTTGATCGGTCTGCGACATTGGAGCAGGATGCGAGCTCCTCAGAGAGTAAATGCGGGTTCGCGCATGCCACCCGAGATAGGCGGAGCAAGGGAGTGAAAAGTAGCGAACCGGGAAGGGAGATCACAGCCAAATATGACAGATTGTCTCAATGCTGTCGAGATGTGCGCAAGTAGGTTGAGGCAAAGAGGCACTCGGTTGCGCGAGCCCGAATCCGAACACCGCGGCCAACCACACCTCACACCAGTAACGATAAGATCTATCCTTTTCCTTGATGCTCCCAGTTGTAGCGCACTTACCGGAAGTGACAGACGCACGGTCAGCGAGCACACAGCAGTTGTCTTCCACACTAGAGAAGTGACCGTCCGAACAGCTCGAGCCGCACCAAAGTCCGACAGAGAAGAATAACAAGAAGTGCTCAGGCCAACAGCAGCGCGGAGCGCTCAGGATATAATGCTTATGAGCATCGAGCTGCGAATTTCTATGCGACAGTCGTGCTCAGGGCCAGCGTGTGGACTCGGATACAACGGCTGCACGATGAGGACGCTGCTCAGCAGATGTTAACACGCTCCCGGCACCTGTCACCCAAAGTGTTGATATGTCCCAGCTCCCAAAATGGCCACCGTACGCGCGGAAAGAGAAGACACACGCCTTCCTATGCCATATCTGCCAGCATGCTAGGTCGGACGTAGCAGGTTCCCCAGGCTGCCGGTCCGCGTATGAGCGCGTTGCCGAGCGATGTATGGGGCATGTTAGCGACAGAAACCACTTGCCATTTGGGCAGCGGAGCACGGAGCGCTGCAGGCTAACAAGTGCGCTTCACAGGCGAGACGGTCTGAAACATCAGCCGTCTGTTTCATTGGTGCCATTGTACAGCTTAAAGCCACTCATCCCATCGCCTTTGCACCGAATCGAGGAAGGACTCAAACCTCCCTCCAAAGGTAAGTCTCTCTGTCTGTCTCCTACCTCATCTATTCACCGTCGACATCATGGTCTCAAGCCGCCGGCATAGACTGCCAAGTCATACTGGCCATTGCGTAAATGCTCGAAAGCTCAAGTCGCTGATTGCATACGCCCAACGGGTGAGATGCTTCTTTGGATCGATTGAGTGGTATTAGCTCAAGGCGCAGACAAGAAGAGCCACTCAGGCGAATCTGTTGGACAACCTCGCTGAGCCACGCAATAATAGCTGAAATCGCGGCCGTCACCGAGACCGTGTACGGCGCTCGGTTGGGGCAGAGAGGCAGTACGATGCGGGCGCAGCTGTAGCTACGGCGCCCGGGAAACAGGTGATTCAGGCAACGATGACATGGACCGACCTGACTGATCCCGCCTATCTGCATGGCCACAAGCGACTTGGGGCGGCTTTAAGGGTCGAAATCTCGGCCGAGACCACTTCAAAGATCAGCATCACGAACTTGCGGCAAGAAAGAAGCCTTGCGCATTCATCCCGAATGCCGTTCTCAACACTTTACGAATCGCGCTAGCATTGAGCCCGTTCACAACCGGTCATGACTGGCGACCTGAGGCTTGAGGATCGCTTAAACAATCAGTCGTCTCCGATCATCCCACCTCGCCACATCCTCCACCCAAGTTCCGTATCCCGGGTTCGAAGGAACAGCAGAAACTAGTACGACGCGGAGGTCGCGCATCTGGATGGTTCCATATGCTTATTGGGAAAGCGCAACTTGTCCGGCGAGAGGTTAAGCGAGGTTGGCCAAGATGGCTCCCTTCCAGAAGCATCTACGTCGGGTACCCCATGTCCATTGACTGGAAGCGGAGAGCTAAAGGCCGAAGACACAGCGAGTAGACGGCGATGGCCGAGAGGGCACACGGACAAGCGAGCTGGAGGTTGAGTGTAGCACACAGCAGTACCTGCAGCCATGAAGCTCACGTGGCTTGCGCTTAGGAAGTTGACGAAGAGATCAAGGTATGCATACGTAGTGAGGTTTGCGTACATTAGCGCATTTAAAGTCGAGGAGTGAGCTGACTGGTTGGAAAGCGACTCCACAATATACCAGCTAAGGTGGAGACCGAAGCACTCGGTCGAATGCAGGTCATGCAGTAGCGGGCTGCCCTGCGCCGCATTAGTCCGCCAGCGCGCCAATGCGATGGGGATGTTGTCTTCGTCCCTCCGAGGGCGTGGCAAGACACTGTGTCCAGGTAGCTCGCCATACACTCTAGCCGCATTTGTCGGTCCATCAGGCCTGGAAAGGGCCGAAACCTTGCGAATGCTTGCGGCCAGCCGTCAATGCGACGTAGGCCAGGTAGGGGAGGTAACGATCGGTCGGGTCACCTCAATGCACGATGTGCTCTTCGCTCAGCTTCCGGTCAACCATCTCAATGGTCGCAGAAGCAGAACGGCTCGGACTTGTTTGGTTCTTAGCTTGCGTCGGAGGCATCCTCTCTTAATGTGCCTTGCAGTATTCCCAAGACTGTACCGGATAACGATCGAAATGCAGACGGTTGCTGGGCCTGGCTCTTCTTCGACGGCAGCTTGCCTGCAGCGTCTTCCTCATACGGATGGACGTCTCCCGCTATGTCGTCTTTCCGTTGAACAAATGCACTTTCTAGGGCAGGCAGAGTCCGGGCTGAGACGGTCGAACCGGCGAAGAATCAGCTAGAGGCTCTATTAGCTCGATTTGCAGAACATTGTAGTAAAGAGCGGCCGCGCCGTAGTATGCTCTGCCATACGAGCTTTGACGAAGCAAAGATATCATGCACGCCACCGAGCGAAGACCTCACACTAGCCTTTCGAGCAAAGACTTCCACAGACTTTTTTCACCTTGGCTACCTAGCGATGTACACCAAGGCATTGCGAGTGCTGCTAAAAGCTGTCTCGGTCTTCTCTGCAGGCGCAAGGCGCAAAGAGACCGGCGATACTACCGCTGCGTCTTACTTGGAGCTGAACAGTCTTGGCCCTGGCCTTCCCAACCATGGGCATGCAGGCGAATAGGCTGCGATGGTTCGGTGACGCGAAGTCATAGGATGCGCCAATGGCTGCAGACGTGTGGAACGCGAAAAAGATACTTAGCTGTGCCACATCTGTCAAGCGTAATGCAGTGATTGCAGACATCCGTTAGTGTGACATGACTTGGGAACAAGTGTGCGTCTAGCTGAGCTGACTATGAGCCTCAGATGTTACCGTGGATGCTGGCCCGAAACCTACTCGCGAGTGCCGGGAGCTTGTACTCCACCGCTCCACGTGGTGTGAGGTACGATCAAGCAATACTGTAGTGGTATCTGGGGAGAGTATCAAACAACTTGACACTACTACTGTGTGAGGTAGTTGTCGGTCGATAGAGCACTTTCGCTTTTCAGCACCGCGGGTCCGTTCACACCTGCGGCGTCGCTTATGGTATTTATATTGATCGGCTTCTATCAACAAACAACGAAAGCTATACGATCAGCGCTCCTCCCGTGCAGGGTAGATGGTTCAGAAGAGAGGTCGCCATGGGATCCAGAAAGCACATGCGACTACCGTGCAAGCTGTCGCCAGAACCCCATAAGCGACTGCGTCCACTTTCACGCCAAACACAAGCCTCCCCCCTTCACATGCTTGTTGACTATTCGGAATTCGGTCAATGCCGGCCAGCGAAGAGACTTGCCCGTTACTGAACATCCCACGCCTTGTGGCTTGCGGCGGGGAAGCAGAATCCCGGCACTAACGGACCCAATCTTGCAGATCATCTGCACGCCGATAGCCGGGACGCGCGATGAGACGCAGCGCTCCACAGAATTCGTCTGGATTGGGTTTGTTCTTCTCCAGACTATGTACATGTTTGCGACATGTCGTCTCCTGCTATGAAACCCCCCACAATGCACCCAGCTAACAGCTGGTGTTGCCGCCTTGCGCCTGCCTTGCTGCCGCCCACAGACTTGCGCCATTCCTGGTAGCGATGCGCGTTTGTGCAACCACAAGATGCAGGTCATGCACCTCAACACGTATCGCAGCGCGAAGGCCAACCCGGGACAGGTGCGTACGATATTTGGGCACGAATTTGATTGCGCGCGGTCATCCATCATCTTCTTTCTCCACCCTCTCGTGTCTGCTACTTCCGATCCTTCACCCCAAACGTCTCCCTATCATGCATAGCGAGTACGATCTCTGTAACTGTATACCATGCCTTGTCTTCGACCTCGGAGGGTACGTTGATCCCGACGAAGGCGACGCAGTGCACAAACGACTCGCTCAGCGTGGGTTCACCTTACCCGAGCGCAAGGGCTTGAGCGAAGAATGGGACTGGCATAACATTGAAAACGAGGCCGAAGTACGTCGGCAGACACGTCATTTCCATCTTTACGGCCACCAACTCAAGTGCACGCGGATAAAGGGTGTCAGCCTGCATCCTCATTCCACTCCCAGGCCTGATGTCTCGGCCGCAGACTGGGCCCGTTTGTTCAGCGCCGCAGCGCATACGTACGATTGCGCGATCCTTGCCGACAAGAAGGTCCGGCAGACGGTGAAAAAGACCGTCCGTCGACTGTCCCGCACCCGTCCAGGATCCGCGCTTGCTGAAGTATACACAATCAACGACGAAAGAAGCGAATTTCCTACTCAGCAGCCAAAGACCTCCGTGCCGTCTGCGCTCTGTCAGCCCCTCGTTGCGCCCATTACCTGTCAGCGCACGCACAGTCCGAACCCGAAACAGCTTATAGCCGCTGACAGCGCTTCCTTCCTTGTCCAGCTCGGAAGTAGCGCGAGTCAGCGCAAGTACACCGACATATTGCTGAATAGATTGAACGGAAACCATCAGCCCCGGAACATGCACAGCAGTATCAAGCAAGGCTATTCCCCTTACAAAGTTGTCAAACGCGACGTAAACCCGAAGACACTTAGCTCTGGTAACCTGCTCAATCACCCTTGCCGTCATCGGCAAACTCCCGCGCCGCGTCACCAGTAAGCAATTCACGGTACCCAACATAGCAGCTCAAGCACCTCGTCTCACTACGACCATGACGGCAAGCTCATGAGAGCCGACATTCTCCGTTCGCCATCCAACTGCGGCCAGGTGATACTCACCGCTCCCATCATGCCCTCAGCAACGCAGGCTTTCTTGTTTTCATGGCCCTTGCTCACGACACGGCCAGATGTGTCTTCGTTGACCTTCCCGCACGGCGAAGACTGCGCACTTCCCTGATAGCCGTGTTGGCTGGCCTCAATGACACCATGCTCGAAGTCTGCGTCGGACGGGCAGACCTTGGCACGCACTCACCCTCAGCAGTGATATAGCGATGCCAGTGGCTTACTTCTACAGCGAGTCGCGATGGCGCGGCTTCTGGCACCGCCCTGCCCACTGCAGGAACCACCAAAGGACGCTTCTTGCTGGATTGACGTGGCGCATCGGTGTCGACAGCAAAGCCGGAAAAGCAAAATAGCATTGCACCATGGGCCGACTTCGCTTGCACCATCCCACTATTTGCGGGCTGTTCACACAGTGGACATCCTTTCACTCAATATGCGTCAACATCTGGTCCCCAGGCTCTAGCATCAGCGGCGAACTAGAGCATCACCAACGAGGACATGCCAAATGGGACACGGGCGGCAGTCAGCACAACTCTTGCCCTATCGTTACTTTCGAAGCTCAACGCATGAGTATACACGACGATACTGCTCTGCTGGAGGCTTTCGTCATGGACCAAGCCTTCGGCGGACTTGAAGTTTCCGGGTAGGGGACTCACGACATATATTATGGTCACCTGTGAGTGGATGTGGAGTGTGGAGGTCAAAGTAGTAGAGTACTGCAAGATGGGATGGTCTCATTGGTATGGGCTTGAACATCGGTGCAACGACGTGAATAGCAAGCAGGCTTTGGGATCACGGTTGCTGGATAGTGCAGTTGCAAGTCCAACCGGCCACACCAATTTCGGCAATTGCCACCTTCATCTCCAGCCAGGAGCTTGACTTGCTCTGCCACTGCAGCGTTCAGTCCTTTCACAGCCGGCACTGCCACTTGAAGCGTCACATCGCTCGCGCTTTCTCCATTCCCATTGCGGCTCATGCAATCTTCTCAGCGCGTGAAGTCTATGGACAACGAGCATCGCCCCGCTGGTACTGCCGTACCACTGCCGTGTCACCGCGTGTAATTCATGTCATACGTGCCGGAAGTCTTTGATGTCATTTGGATCTGGGCATCGCTCCTACTGCTTAACCACTGTTGCCTCCAGGGATGTAGTGTTCCGCCTGCCGGCGAATGTATTGGATTTTGTAGATCCGTCCCAGCCTAGATGGCCTTTGGGCCAGCCTTGGGTCTACCGCACATGCCTTGTTCACTGTGTCTCCGCAATCACCGCAGTCGATTCTGCTAATGCAGAGCGGCAGGTCGCCTACCACTACCACGGACATGTAAGGGTATCTACTGTGAGGTCAAAGTGGAGGCCTTGGTCGGGAGAACGCAACTGGTCGTGGTGCGGGTCGTAGCTGATACATGGAACATGAGCGCTTTCCGTGGTAGCTACACCACTCTTCGCGCCGGACTCCCTACGCTTAACGATGGCCACGTTGCATCTGGCTACGGGAGGCTCTGCAGTCGTGAGGGTATATCTGTTCCTTGTTCAGCTACATCAAGCTTAACGCATTTCTGGACCCATGCGCGCCTACAGTAGTCGTCATCGCGACATTTCAGGGACGCACAAATGTTGGGGTGAACTGGCGCGATACCACAATGCGAGCTTGGGTGTTACGTTCTGCGAGCCTTTCAGACTTCATGGATTTTCATCAATGATGCAATCGCGAACTTTGCTCAGATGGTCACGGGAGGCTATTGCCCGTACGTGGCGTCGATAAGCTCGTTTTCTCTGCTCCGAGATCTGCTCCGAGGGTGCGTCCACTCATTGAACAGAGCGATGACCACCAAGTACTCATTGAAACCCCTGTCCTTGCCACCTCCTCCACCCGGCAGCCGCGGCTAGCAGAAACGGGTGTTGGTTGGGCCCCAGGGCGGGCAATGCCTTTCCAAATTGCACCCCGGCAGCGATCACCCACGGGAAGGCGCCAGTCGCAAGGGTCTGGCAATTATTAGAAGGGGTTTGCAGTTTCCGGGCAGGATTGTTCGAAGGTGCTGGCACGTCGGGCGCAGCAGGCTGAGCGTATGTGCATAAATCAGCACGGTGAAACATATGTCCAGCGTGTTTGTTGGGACTTCACACTTCCGTGCAGGAGCGGACCGGCAGGTCCTTGTCTCGTTGACGAACTGTTGCATTCGATCCGGGCTGTTCTACCATTCGCGTGACAGGGCGATAACTTGATCTATGCGCTAGCAGCAAAGTGTAAGCAGTCGGGATGTGCTGTCAAGGCAGGTAAAGCGTAAAGTTTCCGTTATCCCATAGTCCAGGTTGACAGCCTGCTGCTTTACGCCTCGCTGTTGTTGCCGCTCACCGGCAAACGCTAAGTATTTCTGACAAGTTCATAGATAGACATAATCATACCGGCCTTGGACATGCTTGGTCTTCGAGTGCTCGTCCTCTGTGCATGAGAATGGCGGTCCAGGTGGCGACGGACAGCGACCTCATCGAATCTGGTTCTCTATTGGTCCGTTGAACATCTAAAGCAGCGGTGGCAAACAGCCTACCTGGCGGGCCATCGCAGGACAGCCAGCATAGAGAGGGTGCGCCTAGCAAGTACTTGCAATGAGGCTCGCCGCCTTAAGCGTGCGTGGGCGCGAGGCTGGGTGGGCCTCGAGTGGGATGCACCCTTCTTCCACCGTCCGCGGTCCGGGTTGTGCTGAGCTGACCTGTGTCCGTGCTCGATAATATCCATCGAGCGGGCGATACGGTGCTTCCAAGCCATAACTATAGAGTAAGCGTACGGTAAACTGGACTTCTGGTTGTGCTGCCTAAGGTACTGGGCCAATGATAACGTATGAAATCTGTATGATGCTCAGAACCCAAGAAAGGAGGGTGAAGTCACTAGTAGCGGTCGCATCAGGGCATGAGACGACTGGAGTGGTCACAGCTGGTATGGGATGGTGGTCGCCATGACGCTGGTCGCATGGTTTCTCGAAGCCGTGGTTGGCCTAGCGATGGTTAGGGTGATCAGTCGACACCCTCCAACCATCCGCGTGGTAACGGTAGGCGGGCGAGAGGTCGTAGGGCTCCGAGTGTGATAGACTGAAAGATGGCATGACTCAGGTGCAGGATGGAAGGATTGCACAGACTGCGATCAGCTAGCTCAGTCATAATAGGGGGACCGAGTGCGACATAGCCGCAGCCATTGCTCGAACATGCACTTCCACACTCAGCCAGAGGGTGTCATTGTTGCAGCACTTCTACCAACCGAGCGGGTAGCTGCTATTGTGGTGGTGCAAGTCGAGCCATATTCGACGGGAGCGGGTGCGGCCAGGGCGGCGGATGGTGGACAAGGTGCGATAGCTCCTGCGCTATCTAGACAATCATGGCTAACAGAGGTCAGCTGGACTCGGCTACGCACACCACAAGCATACACTTACAACCACGTCCATGGCTCGGCGGTCACATGTCGGACCGCTATCAAGAGTCAATGCTTCCACCACAGGATGCTTAGACAAACAACCCACAAATGGACAGAGACGATAGAGAGAGAGACGAAGAAGAGAGACACGATGGAGAGAGAGAGACGATAGAGAAAGAGACGATAGAGAGACACGACGGAGAGAGAGAGGACGGAGAGAGAGATGGCGGAGAGAGAGGATGGAGAGAGAGAGGACGGAGAGAGAGACGACGGAGAGAGAAACGACGCGGAGAGATGACGGAGAGGGGCTAGGGAGGCCGGGGGCTTACCAGCATGTATCTCAAGCGGTGCACACCTTTCGGTACTCATATTTATGTCGGTTCATCTTGAAAGATCGGAGATCGCGTCTGAGCGCTGGGTCCATATGCGCCTGGAAGTACAGGCGGAGGAGGCTCACTTACTGATACGCTTGTTAGTAACCAACAGAGCTTCTCGCAGCTCAGAACTGCAGCCGTTCGCAGAGGAACCGCACGGAATCTATCCAATAGCCCAATCCACGATCATTGTCGATGACGAGTATCGCTCCCGTCGCGTTGATAGCAAGAAGTTCGTCACTACCGGACCCTGCTTATGTTGCCGCTTCCGCTGCGGTGATGCTGCTTCTGCCAAACCAACGCGAGATGCTCAACGTCACCGTTCTCGCCGTTCGTATCCAGCGCGTGCTGCTCGATGCTACTGAGTAAATCAAACACACCAATCATCCCTCCCACCCAACCGGAGGCCACTACATCTTCGCCGCCACATGGCCGAAGACAGCGCCGATGCCGAGCAGCCGGTTCGCTCCCGCATAGGCGTAGGCGAAATTGATGCTGGAGTGGGATGGCGGTGAGGCGGTGGTTGTACGTTGTTGCACTTTGCTGCTGAAGGTGTGGGCATTTGGTGTTGGGGAGATGGGGTGATTGGGTGGGTGGCGTGCTTGAGGTTGGGGAGATGTGGTTGCGGCCGCCAAGGACCAGCCAAGCTTTTGCGTTTGCATTGTGCGGGAATATCCGCAGCAAGGCCTAGTCAGCAAGGGCAGCCACACTTCGACGATACATGTATCGAAAGCTGCATCAGGCGCCTCGCGCACTGCGTACTGGCCGTAATCCGCTGCAACCATCTCCACATGGAGGTGAAGGAAGATCGTAGCATGTGATCTCGCAGCGAGAATCAGCGGTACCAGCTCCTCTTCTCAGAGTTGGTGACTTGATCAGGTAGTTGCAGTCGAGCGTCTTCTACAAGTGTATCTCTCATACGATATTGCCGAGCTCGTTCTTGGCGAAACGAGACACATGGTGCTCTTTGAGCTATACGGGGAGCCTGCAGCTAGTCATGCCTATGGACAAAAAATGCTAGAACATGGCAACCCTCTGGGTGGACATACAGAGTCCAATCTGTGTCCTTCGACGCAAGAACGACAGCCGATGCGGATGGAGAGCAATTCCACACGCCATAGGGTGGGTACAGATACTCGCAACTACCTGCGCCACCGCCGCTTCGATCTGCTGAATACGTTGTTTATACTGCCGTACTCTGCTGCCTCCACATATCGAGCACAGCGTTACCGAACCGCTCAGTCGACGTAAGAAGTGGCACGTCTATCAGATGCTCGATGGACTTCGGGACACGCTGCAGATTCACCCAGAAAACTTCACTACCCTCCGAAAGCCCGGCCTTGAGTGTCTCCACAGCATTCCGAGCGGCGGCGATGGTCATGCTTGTCCCAGCAATGATTAGCGCGTCTGCTTGCGGTGCGAGCTTCATGTTCCGAATCTGTTCGCCGATGCTGTCTGCTTCTGGTGTGTCTTCGCCGTACAGTACGATGTCTGGCCGTAAGCGACCGACTTGATCCCGGATACGCGATGACCGACGAGGTTTCACAATGTCCCCAGAGTCCCCGGGAGGCTCTGTCTTCAGCTCGATGCACACCGGACATTCGCCGTATACGCCGTTGGGAGCTTCGAACGCGGTCTTGTGGGCGGCATTCTTTGTACAGCGAAGTTGGTCTAGTCGACCGTGTAGGTATGTGACCTTGTCACCCAGATGGCCGCAAAGCCGTTCAAGGCCGTCAATGTTCTGTGTGAACGTCCATTTCAGCTGTTGGCGCTGCGAGAAGCCGTCGATCATGCGATGGAAGACAGTAGGCCTCTTCCCCTTGCATTGCTGCCTCAGCTCTGTGATGAAGGTCCAGAAATCGTTCTCAAAATTGTTAAGCTGAAACGCTTCCAGCATCATCCGTGCTTGTGGATTAGCGTTATACGGGCCTTGAAAGCAGGAGATGCCGGCAGCCGTAGAGATGCCTGCCCCGGTGAAGACAATGATCTGGCGCTTGTTCAGCAGTTGGCGAGCGACCGTCTGCAACATATCAGCGGTGGCTGGAGCATCCGAGAGGTCTGCGGGGTCGAACAGTTCTTGTTCGACGAGGCTGGAGGCTGTCTCGCGCTGGAGCCATGCGCGCGCCTTCACCATCTTCGTTGGAAGAGCGTTACGAACCAGCGAGGACCGACAAGTTCAGCCCGGACTTTGCAACATTAACACTAACAAGAACGTCGTTTGCTAGGTAGCTCATTCACGCTCTCGCCATTGTTGACTGCTTCACACCGGCCTTTGTCGCCGTATACACGCGGAACCGGGCCATGCACAGCAACCGCTTGTGTTATGGGAAGAGGGTGCAAGTGTCTAATGTGGGGCAGCCTTCTGCAACTCTGCAGAAGAAAGAAGGTCAGGACTGTCGCATCAGTTAAACCATTAACGTGTTCCACAACATGCCCGGCATCCAACACGTCCATAGCGTCCACAACGGGCAGGCAATTGCTCAGCGAAAAGGCAGACCGGCCGGCATATCGACTGCAAGCCGCGGGTAGTGGAGGGTAGCAACCATTTCGAGCTTGGACGTAGCGAAGACTCGAGATGGCAGTGGGAGTGTTGGCATTAGCGAAGATGGTTGGCGGTGTGAAGTCGTTGGCGGCCGTGAAGTCGTTCGCGGCCGTGAAGTCGTTGGCAGCCGTGAAGGTGATTGGCGGCTCTGGAGTTGGCGGCACAGAGATGCTCGTCGGCAGTGAAGAAAGGTTGGTGTAAGCGAAGAAGCGCTCATTTGGCGGCGAACGAAGATGCTCGGCTGCAGTCAACATGCTGGCGGAGAAGAGGGCATCAGTCATGGGATGTCGGGGAGGCTTTGCAGTCATGAAGCGGGGACAGCGGCATGGGCGCTGATGATCGGCTTCTTAGCACGAAAGTACAGCATGCAGTTGGCGGTATCGGCACTAGCTCTCATAGCCACCAGACCTCGCAAGTCCGGATGAACAGGCGGTTTCCACGTTGGCAAGCTGGCTGTAGCACTCGCTGGGCTGCTTGCTGCCAGCCTGTTCTGCAGCCGCTGCAGCTCCGGCTGTCGCGTTTCCACGATGCCCACGTCGCCGCTAACCTTGCGACAATTACGGTGCAAAGCATTGGGATCCCGCTGAGGTATGAGCGTGCCAGATCGAGAGTATAGAGTACCATATTCGCTGGTAAGAAGTCACATCTCCATATCACCTTTCCTACCGTATCCCTGCCCGCCGTACGGCGGTGGATTGTCACTGAAGCGCATGACATTCAAGGTTATTCGCAGGTAGGTCTTCGCCGTTTCCGCATCGTTGAGCACACGTCTACACTGCTGCGTGTGGATGCCTACGACGCCGCACTTTCTACCGAGTCAAACGACCGTACCTGTATAGCTTAACAAGTCGTGAATACGTATTTGAGCTTGCTCGGCGGACATAGCGCTACTGGCGCCTTTAGCGCTACGACGACCTCGTACACCTCCTGCATAGCGACATTAGGACTAGCTTTGCGCGACACCTTCTTGAGCGTAGGCTTGGCACCAAGCGTCGCCCGAGCCAGACGGTCGTCCCTCGCACTGCGTTCGTTTTAGTCCTAGGTCAAGAATAGGAGGAGAAGTCGCAAGTCGCCCGTGGCTTCCTGCGGCTGCTCTGACTCGTGCGGGTACCAGCTCGTCCGATGGTTGCACCTTACTCTTATACTGTGAAGCTGATTCTGTCGAGAGTGCGGTCTACAGCCCGGCCAACTGTTAGTGGTTAGCTGCTCTACCCTGGTCGTGGCTGGTCGTCCCTGGTGGCGAGCATGTCGGAGAATTAGGTGCGCCGGCATCTAGCAAGGTGCGCATGTCCTACACCGACTGCACTGTCACGGTATGTCTTCGAAATCAACAGCCATACCAGAACGTTGGCGGACCCGTCTGAGGTTGAGAAGCTTCGTTTGGGCCGCGCTTGAGATTTGAGCACGTGAACACGTGAACACCCGGCTTTTGTCGGCTCCACTCACAGCCGCGACAGCTTCGGTTCCGGCCTTGTCCGCGGCAGCAATGGCAGTGGCTAAGTTTGCTCGTACACTTTACAGGGTTGTACAGCCGTAGAAAGCTTCGAGAAGACAGTGTTGCATGGCATAATCATCGTATTGGAGCTAGAGTTAAGTTCAACAAGCGTTGTAGCTGTTCAGCGAACTGTACAAGCACGACGGCGCGGGTATGCGCCGAAGTTTTGCAATGGCTCTAACTGGCTACTGTCTGGTTGCAGCTGCGTGGGCTGCCTCCAGCGCGGCTCTGCCATCCAATCCGACAAAGTAGGAAACAATTCAACCTAGCACCTCGCGTCAAGTTCCCACCCGAGCTATAGGTTATCCGTGCTGGTTTCGACGCGCTGCGCCGTCGCCAGCGGGACTAGTATGCTGTCAATCATTCAGTTAGCCCGGTTTCGTATGGTGTCAGAGGTGTTTGTTGATTTGGCCGGACTTACAGGAGATCTGACTCGGTGTGATGCTGCAATCTGAAGAGGGTCGGAGTTGGTATGTCCTGCCAGCCCTGGCTTTGCGTGGGTGACTGTGCGATACTATCGGTGACTGTTGCGTCTACTCCGGTGCCCGGGGTTACGGTGGCTCCTTCGAGCTGCTGGTAAGCGTGCTCGTCCCGAGAAGCTGTCGCTCTGAGAGTTGTCGGTGCAGACGGGTTGCCAGGCACGCCGTTATGGACTCCATCGTTCGTGATTTGTGCAGGGCAAGGCAGAAGGCCACCGCTCAGGCTCAGCGGGTGTGCGTGCTCACGAGAGTCGATGCGCTCTGACATTGTGCTATGATTGTCAGCCTTGCAGTCTGTCGAGCATTAGATGTACTTACCGTCCACGTTGCGGGAATCGGTCTAGGGTCGCTTCCGTGAGCGTGATACCTGCTTTCCACAAGGTCGTCATAACGTGGAACTGCAATGCCATAGCTTCGGACCTGCTCTCAATATCCTGCGCAGGAATAGGGAAATCATTGAGCACATCGAGAGCTTGCTGCACGGTAGATTGGACACCGGTGAGTGCTTGCTGTAAGCTATCACGACAGATTCGCTCTTCGCTCAGCTGCTTCAGGAAGTCATTCACGAAGGTCTCCAAGGCGGTGAGAATGCTTGGTAGCTCGGTCGCCATAGTGATGTCGTTGTCGCGTGAAAAGCGGGACATCTGATTGAGTCAACGTGCGCCGCCCGGTGTGCGTTCACGAGCTTGATTGGTGTGTAGACGTTGCTGCAGAGCGATTGACTAGGTGGTGGCCAGCAAGAACTCAGCCAGTCTAATGCGATGGCAGGAAATAAGGATCCCGCTGGTAGCCTTACGGAGCTGATCCGCGGCGTTCTGTTTGGTGAGCCTTGAAGTACGTCAATGTTGTTGGCGGCCGTCGCGTGCGGTGTGAGCGTCCACCGCGCCAAGGTATGACGTGCGGTTTCCGTATGTTAGGAAGGAACGCGTCAAACCTCCAGGCGGCACTGTATGGCGGCCTCAGGTACAACAACTGTGGCTGGCAACTCGTGACATAGCACAACCAGACCACAGGCGTGGAAAGCTGCTGCGCGCACGTCACCGTTGGCATCCCAACTCCACGCGCTACTCAACATGTCAAGGGACACGCGAAACTTCTGAGCATTTCGCATCGCACCTTGCTGCTACTGTTGCTGCACTGTATAGATACAGCTCAGTGCTTGCCACCACCTAGCCACAGCTCCGAATATTGCGCCTATCGCATACGCGTGCTTTTCCGCTCGGTAAACCGTTCAAGACGGAGGACTCAACCCTTCTAGTGATGATTATGCTACTGATATCTTCTTTTGTGCTTACAGGCAGCATAGTGTAAGGCATGTCATGCTGGCATGTCCCGGCATCATTCGGGATGCCTCTTGACGAGATCGGGCTTGTTGACGGTCTTCGTCCAATCTTCGGATCGGAATACAGTCGTTCAAACTCTTGTCGCCAATGTGCATCACCTGATCAACATCAATTGGCCGAAGCGACGACCTCAAACATGGCGGTCAGGTTGAATGACTATCCTGGCCAAATGGATCGAGTGAGCCGGGCGGACTGCGGGCGTAGAGTTTGCTGCACTGAGCAATGCCTCTAGATCAACGCCGGCATCGACTAATATGCCATCTACCATCCTCTCTGACTCGGATCAAAAGCCTGCGTCAAGCTACCGTCTTTCGGTAGCCGCATGATTCCGACGCTTGGAAGGATCGCGGAAGATGTGCCGGAAAACAGTCGTCCAGCCGCTGCACAGAGCACCAAGTCATCAAGGACAGCGCCCACTGTTCCAAGTGCGACACTCGAGTCAATGTCCACTTCTCCTATGCTTGACTTCATGTTTCCGGAGATGGGTTGTGGTATGGGTAGCAGATCGCTCTGGAGGTGCTCCAAGGTGTGACCTTCCTGTTTCTGTCGCTGGCTGGAGGAAGTCATGCAATTTAAAGTCCGCAGCCGATGTAAGCTCTGGGGCCAGCGCAGGTGTGCGAACAACGCAGTACATGCTGAGGCTCTTGCATGCTGTACTACAAGCAGCTTGCTTGCGGCGTAACATAGGCGCGGATGCTGCCACCATCTCTGGTCAGCCTTCCACAGGATGAGTGAGCCAACATCGCGGCTGTTGCCCACCGGCGAGCCAACACCGCTGTCATCAGGTTCAAGCATTGGCATCTCCGATTGAAGCCATGGTGAGATATATACCGGTGAAGCGTACATTCCGGCGGCGCCGTCTCTGATAGTTACCAGGGATGCTATGTACTCCCTTCTTCTTGACCGATCCTGGAAGAAGCACGCGATGGAGTACTCCGCCCGCACGAGGCAGCCATGCGATTGGCAATCATGACTGCATCCTTGCTAAGACTTCAAGTTCCATTGCTGTACCGCCCGCCTCCGCCCGGCCGCTATCACCACGGTTCTCACGACACCTTACATGCAGTCACTGCTGCGGTTCGTCCATCTCCACATGAATCGGTTGTTAGATGTTCTGGTCACGTGGACGCGAAGAGCTCAGACGTGATTGAAGGACAGTAGCTTCTGGCTCATACCCTCCCGCAGGTATTGTCTCCGGAGCGTAGTCATGTCGACAACCCTTCCCCGCCGGCTGCTTGAGACTTGTCAACCTCGAGTCTAGGCGGCTCGGTCGACTACATCCCGTGTTGTCAATTTGTATATTGTACTACACACTGCAAGCTCTTTCAAGCTAGCTTGGTACGCGTCTGAAGCCGTCGACAGTGACCAGGCGTTAGAGGAGTTACCGTTCGAGACCCATCATGATGATGTGGCCTCCAAGCTGCCCGGCTACCGACATAACGGCCAGGGCATGGCGAGTTCTATTTTGAGGCGAGGCGTGCACAGCACGACATGCCCAGCCTCTGGCAAGTTACTGTAAGGTACAAGGAGCGTTGATTGCGGATTTCCGACGGCTACCACGTTCCATGCGGTTTCGTCGAGGCGAGGGGCGAGGAGTGGTGGATGGGCTTGTTGTTGTTGCCGCACTCATACGCCTGAGACGAAATGGACGACATGAAGTCGCAGGTAGCGCGAACGGTGGCATGGTTCTGAATGCGTACTCATGCCTGCTCCGAACAATCGATGCTCGCTATGGCGATGCGTGGCGATCTGTTTACCTCGTACTCTTCGGCGGTAAATTACAATAGCCCGCCATGGAGGATAGTGACCGGATTGACTCGGGTTGACGCACTCTCCACGAGCAAGCATCTTGAGCATGAAGTCCGACAACCGCCCTCATGACGTGTTCAGGTTGTCGTAGTTCCATCTGCGCTGACTGCGGATCTGATGGATGAACTGTCCGTAGCCAAGAAGTGCGGAGTTTCTGGGTTGCAAACGCAGTGTTCTGGGGCTATGGTGAGGTACTGAGCGGGCACGATCGAAAGCATGCCGGAGCAGTCCTAACGGAGCGAGTCCATCATAGCAAGGTCTACCGCCGAAACACGAAGTCAGCAAACCTTGCTGCCAGATCATTGGTCCCAGCATCTACCCTCCGGTATGCTGGGTTGCAATGACATCCGCCGGGAACGCAAGTGGTGAACGTTGGCGAGTTGCACGGGTGTTCCTCTACCCCACTTTGTCACGCCCTTTGAGCAGTTGGAAGTGCTTCTGACGGTGATGGCCTGATGATGTCGCCATCGTTAATGGCTACCACTACCTTCTGGAGATGCTTGCATGACATTCACGTCAGTGTCAAGCGTGATGCTCGCCGCATCTTCATGCATGCATAGCAATGGTCGGGTTGCATGCTCAGGGCCCGTAGCTGCAGAACTGTGCTTCGCCTGTCCCACTCGGCCGAGCCGCGCAGAGTGATGCTGCGTCTCATTTTCCAGTAGCTTGGGGAAGAGCTGTGACGTACAGGGTCCGTCAGAGACAACCGGGGAGTAGTAACGAATCTGGAAACGTGCGAGACATCACACGAAGGCGACGTTGATGGCAACAGAAGACGGGACACGGCTCAACGGGCATACATGTTGTTGGAATTGGCAGGAGTACAAGCATTTGAACCAATTTTGTAATCATGCGCAACACGACCAATAGCTGCGTAGATTGCGCTGTTGAGATTAACCGAGACAGCCGATTAATGCAGCCGGGCTGGATTTCCGCAAGCTGTCGGTTCCTGCCGGCGCATGGCACTCCCCACACATCCCGCGCAAACTCCACCCTCTGAGCGATCTTAAAGTGGGTTCATTGACGCGGCTTGTATGCTGTACCGTATACGTGCAGCGTTGGGCGTACCGAGATAGCACAACATACAGGGGTCGGTTTGAGAGTGCCTTCGTGCTGGAGCAGCTGAGAATGTAGCAAAAGATTGCAGCAGTGTGAAACGTCTTACGATCATGTCTTCAGGTTAGGAACATGCATGATCCACGGCCTACATAGCAGCACCGCAGGCCCGCATGGAAGCACGGAATCTGCCGCAGATGAAGAGATGGTAGTAGCTTAGCAGGGAAGCTCCCGCGCGGAACGCTCAACGAGCGCGCGAGGCGCAAAACTAGCCACATAACTACGGCCGCGCTGTCTTTGTCCAGTGTACTAGACGCGCTATGCCTTGGTAGCAGCCGATCAGACACCTATACCATCGTCACGAGAATCGGTCTCCGAAGAACCATGGTCGGCAGCTCACAGCGATCCAGGCGCTTTCGCGGGAGGGCTGTCGTCATGTGATCTTTCTGACTCATGTGGAACTTTGCCAGCGGCCGGCCTATGGAAGTTCTGATTGGTCGAGCGCGGCTTCTGTGATGCAGCAAACATGTGAAGAACATCCCTCGACAATGGTCGGTGGCCGGAAGCGAGCATTGTTAATGGCGTTAGGCTGCAACACCTGAGTGATTGTGATACATTGCTGCATATACAGAAGCTATACCTGGAAGCGAGGATGCATGGGTCATCGTGCGTATCCCAATCCACAATCCTCCCTTCGACTGCATGGCGACTGACATGCATAATGCACAGTACGCCGCCTCTCACTCCAAAGTGAGGAGACGGAGGATGCACAGTGAACCAACCGGAGGCTCCCCTGGAGAAAAGGGTGCAGGGTTAATCTGCACACTACACTGTTCTGGCTTATGCTTGATGGTGCAGCAAGGAGGCGGAGGATAAGCACTGTCGTACTTACCTTCCTTCCTACCATCCAAATCTGTGCCTTTGCATAACTAAGCAAGGAGCATGCCAGGGTGCAGTTTTGTCCTCTGCCGATAACAGCCATACATGGTGAAGCAAGGAGACATGGATTGCGACTGATCGCGCAGGAATGACAATGCCAGGGACGGAGCATGATGTGGCGAGCTTGCAGAAGAACATGATTACGATCGTATCCCGCGTCGTTGAGGAACCTTGTCCAGCACTCTTTCCCTGCACCAGCAATCGAACAGCCAGCAGTCTCGACAGGATTCCGCCAGCCAACATGTGTACCGAAGTCACGCATCGGTACAAGTGTCAGCACACCAAGGTCGAGAAGGCGGCATGCGCAGTCTCCAAGAGGACGGGTTGCGACGACATCAAGAAGCGGGTGGTCGTTCATGACCAGAAATGCTTCCGCTGTGGAGGCGGCCCTTAACCGGTATGGCTCTGTGCAAACTTGGTCGTACGAATTTGGCCTCACCACCGAGGGTTCAGTAGGCTATTCAGAGCGCGCGGCCATGCTCGCCTTGAACGCAGACCTGCTGGTCACCGTCCTAGTAGATGAGATGCGAGCATTGCTGTTATGCTTGCTAGGGTTGGGATTGCCAGTGAAGGTTGAAGGATGGGAGTTGATGTTGACAGCAGCAACGATACCGGGAGCGAGAGTTCTGGATGGACAGACGGACGGCAATATATGCGTGATGTGAGGTGGACTTTCGCTCATTTCGGGGAACCACCGGTAGACTCGCTGTGCTCTCAGCATACGTGCAATCACCCTATCGTTTCCCAGATGCCGTCGAGCTTCTTCATTGTCACCTACTCTGTTCGACCGGTGAAGGGTCCAAGTACCTGAAGCATGCATGGCACACTCTCGCTCGACCTATCAATGTGTTTCTCCTACAGGCTAACTGTCAACAGACCTTGAACATCGAACCAGAGCACTTATCAGCTATCACGTTGTAGGTCCATAACACCCTTCCGCCCCCTCTCCGACGGCGCTGCTCATCCAAGATAGGCGCCTGTGCCGCCTCGAAGGCGCCTCGCAATTTCCATGCTTCAGGCCTCGGCTTCGCCGACCACAGCTGCGCTACTCTTTCGCAGCAGGAGTTTCTATAAGCCACTGCCGCAACCGTAGCTTTTGCACACATTTGAGGCCGATGACGTGAGGCAAGAGCGTAACGTTGCCAGGATAGTTGTAGGAAGCAAGCAAAACCGGCGGCAATCTTCAGCGAAGCACCTGTTGACGCGTTCCACGTACATAGGCGTGGGTGGTGGTACTGCACAGGTATGGTTCGACGGTGACCTGGTATGCGTACGGGAAGCGAGTGGGGTGCGATCTGGATCGATCGAAAGTGATATGCTGACGTTGGCACACTAGCATCGGTACGCTCTGTTGGAGACGAAGTCTAACCATGTGCTAGGGGTGAATGCCAAAGCCTTCAATATCTTGACGGAGGGTGGTAGTCGGTCTTCCGGTGCATGCGCGTGCTCCACAACAGGCGGTTCGATCGACCGGGTGAGCAAGGCGGAAGCAACGGTGAACCGGCTGCTTGAGAGTGAATGTACGGCTAACGTGCCATAGTCTCACTTCATTTGGCTAAGTAATCCGCGGTGCCGATAGAGGAGCGCACCAATACTTCTAGAACAACGTTCGCTCGAGCCTTGGAGAAAGCAGACCTAGCGCGTGTTGCTGGCCTGGAGAGCTCGCGAAAGCAGTACACCGGCCTGTGACCGACGAGCAAATGGTATTGCACAAAGAGTCTTGATGACCGCTGGTAGTCTATCGAAGTCGCCATTTTCGCGCATTACGGATACCATCATTAAGACCTCCTCCCTCTGGTATTCGCCTCAAGTGAAGGCAGTGAAGGCCTCCTTCGTAGTTCCTGCCTTCAGCCTCTTACGCCTATGCCTCCATCCTCACGAGCCGTCGGCATGCGCCCGCCTCAGCAAAGCGACAGCGATGCGCGGAGGGTCAGTAGTACAAGTGTGTAAGTGGTGCACATACGAAGCCGTGTCGGAAGCAGGGAAGCTTCAGAAGCCCATGTCACGAGTCTGCACTTTGCCCGCTGCCGGAGATGATGTCCGCTCTCGGAACCAGCGCCACGACGGCACCCACCGCCACACTCACCTCATCCAAATCAATGACAAGATAGCTGATCGCTATGCTCTGCCAAATCAACCATCCAGCCCACGATAGCGCGTCTGTTCGCACAAGTCCGTTCCTGTCATGTCAAGAAGCTCCGCCGCACGCAGCCTTTCTTGCTGGGGACGGACACCGACTGCTCCATGCAGTACCAAATCAGGTCTGTCCAGGTCGACAATGATTGGAATGGTGGGAAGAATGTGCCAGCAGGGTGCAGCCTGCTCCGAGCAGCACATACGACGTGCTTACAACATGCCGAGTACGCGGCGTCTAGGCAAGTCAGTGACAGCTGAGTGAAGTCAGCGATATGGGTAACGAGTGGCTTGGGGGTCGGTGACCGCGCCTTGAGCAAAGGAGAGCGTGACTGCAGCTCCATAACGGACCCTGTCAATACAGGTGCGCAGGCCCCAATTTCGTCTGCGACGCCCTCAAAGTACGCTGGACCAACTCTCATTGCACTAATAACTATTGGCTGTGCTGGAGATGGTCTTGCAGTAACGCGCACTACGTCCCATCTGTCTCTAGTGATTCTTCTTAGCTATGTTCGTCCCACCCGCGTATCCTCGGTCTTATTACACCCTTGTCATTGAAGCTTGTGTTTGGCCGGCTCGACCATCTGGCTGTGGAAGCCATGGCCTTTCTGCCAAAGCGTCTTACATCTACAAACACTTAGAAGGTTCCTACAGAGGTAGCAAAGGCCTACGAGGGTAGACCCGCACGGAGTCCATTTCGTGAGCCCGTGACACACCGGGCCTGAAGTCAAGTGGTGGATATATAAGTGAGGCGCCATTACAGACACACTGCCCATGACGGCGGCGTTATCAGAATGAGATTATCGATCACGTTGCGCCGAGCCGTTATCCACACTACGAGTTGCGGACGACAGCACCTATGGCTGGCGGCAGACGGGACTGGTGTGATCGAGCATGTAATTCGCCTGGCCGTGGCTATCTCGTCGGCCTCGCTATCCTCACCTATCACCTGAGCTACAAGCGTGGGGTTGGTGACGGCGCTACAATTGCGATTGCTGACACCAGTGAGCTTGCACTTGGTGATGCCGGTCAGCTTGCATTTTGTACCATCGGTAATATTGCATTTCAGGATGCCGGTGAGGTTGCGGTCGATGCTGCTGGTGGGGTTGGGAGAAATGAAGATTGGTGTGAACGAGCAGGTAGGTCGCCGGACTGCGACTGTCGGAATGCTCACTATAGGGTCTAAAGATGTATCGGGCATCCAGCTCCTCGGACTTGCCGGAGCTTAAGGTAACAGCAAAGCGATATATCATGGTCATGGTCTTGTCATGACGGAGTCAAGCAGCTCGGATTGCCTCTCTTGGTCGATCTGGGTGGAGTCAGGCGGCTTGATAGGCTGAAAACGCTGTCAGCTAGTCTTTGATTGCCGAGAGGCATGCGAACGATCAGCCACCTTGACGGCTGCTCTCTTCTTCCGCGGCATAACTGCTACTGGTGTGCCTTGCCTGCGAATACAATGTCGCCTCGAGGGTCGTCAGGCTGGGACCCTTACGACCACCCCCAACGGCTGCTCTCTTCTTCTGCGGCATTACCACTACTGGTGCGCCTTGCCTGCTAGTACAGTGTCGTCTTGAGGGTTGTCAGGTCGGAGTGCCCACGATCACACGCTTCAACGGCTGCTCCTTCTTCCGTGGCATCACTGCTACTGGTGCGCCTTGCTTGTGAGCACAAGGTTGTCCTGAAGAGCGCAGCTAATATCGAAAGCCTCTCCAGCTGTGTGCCGTCTTCGCCTAGGCTGACCACGTCAATGAGCGAACACACGAGTATTGCGATGTGGGGTAGACGCTCCCTCAACGATAGTGATTTTAAAATGCTTGATGAAATGAAGCTCATGAATCCGCACACAGGAGTTGCAGACGAGTTCAGACTTTGAAGGGTTGTCAGGCAAAGACGAGGGGAGATCTAATGCTACGCTGATTGCACAGGTCACTATGTGTGAGACGCAGCCATCGGATCCGTTGGTGTTATTCCCTCTTAGTGTGTCGCGATTGGCGAAGGCCGTTATCTTCTCTTGTAGAGACGGCAACGGACAACGTGAGGTCCACGGTGCTCTGTCATTGTTTGCGGATCTCTCCAAGTCCATTGTGAACATGCTGAGGTACCAAACCGGTGTCTTGCCGTTGACCGCAGCGTCCAGCTCAAGCCTAGTCTTGAAGAAAGGTGATTCGTTCTTGCGATCCACAGTAGCGTCTTCTTGGGAGCGCAGAGTCGGCAGCGGTTGCTGAGCACGTCTTCACCAGTGTTGACAACTTGACGTGCAAAAGCGGTCATTGTGCCTGCCATTCATTGTGTCTGCCATCCATTGTATTAGCGGTCCTGAGGCAACCACGCGCTCACGGGAGCGTGAAGCTGCGGATCGTGTATCGATGAGGTACTCCTTTAGAACTGGCCGACCTTGCATGATCGATGCTCCCAGTCTAATCGTCAGCTGATCAGAGACGTTAGCATCCTCGTCGGCAGCGCCAACGTCCTCTTCTTTGAGACGGCGCGAATGCGACGATATATTTTCGCCATTTCATTACGAACCTTGCGGCGGTATTCTGCGTTAACGTGAGCTTTCCCTTGACACGGACCCGCGTCTTTCGCTTGCGTCGAGTTGGCAATACAAGTATTAACCTTTGCTTTGTAATGCTTCACGTCGCGAGCGGAGGATGTCATGCGCCCTTCAGCTCGTTCAGCGTTCTGCGAGTGGCGCACAGCTGCGCCAAGTGATGACTGAGCGGCTGAATAGCATGTCGAAGGGGAACCAGGGCGGAGATTGCAGACATGCTCTTTTTGCATGTGAGCAGCAGAACTCGCCTTCCCATGAGCGTGCTGCTGCATAAGGCTTGAAGACAACAGAATGTCACGAAGTGAAGCGTACAGGGCGAATATGCATAGACGCGCGAACCGCCAACCTACGTGTCATGCATACTGTTCATGTCGGCGATTGTGGCCTGTGGGATGGCTGGTTGGACTCCCGGCTTGTACGAATCATTGAGTCCTGGATCCGAGGTTGCGATTGAAACTCCTATGGCTCTATGCCGCTAGATGCTCAGCCTACTGAAGTCGCGCTGCCGTAACACGGGCTAACCCGCAGCTCCTTCTGGAAGGAGCGCCCGGAAAGGCACGCGACCGCAACGGCGGCCCTTTGTCCGACTCCAGTAACAATCTGCAAAGAAAGTCAGCCGGGTCAATGCAGGCTGCTAAGTCGGACGTTGATCGCCAGTATCGTGGTCCTGCTAATGCTTTTGAAGTCGTGACAACGGTGCAGCACGCGCTGCTTCGACGGAACGAAAGCTTGCCCATCGTATACAGGTCCGGACCGTCGTTGGTGTTGGCAGCTTCTGCATGGTGAATGTTTGTGCCACGTTCAATATGCTATCGTCATATGTGGCCGGCTGACTCGGATGTCTCCATACCGAACTTCTGCACCTCAGGATTCCGTTCAAGCGACTGGCTTTGAGTGTAGTTACTGGAAACGGTGACAGCGCATCCTGAACGGTAGGCTTTGAACGATCCAAGGTGCGTGTGAGCAAGATTGCGCCGAACGGTACATTACTGCTTCTTCGACTGACGTTCATTGACCAGCTCCGTGCGACTCGGTCTAGATAGGAACGAAGCGGCATCCTTTGGCGGCTTGTTGTACGCTTCTACGGACTCGCTTATAAACACAGGGACGGTGACTGCGATAGCTGCATCACTGACCGCTGTTCCCGCAGGTCTGACCCCTCCTGAAGCAAGTAGCTCCTCCGCGTCTGTAAGCGAGTCACAGACTTCGATATGAGTCGCTGAGATCTACATAGTCGTTAACAGAAGTTCGCGCGAGGCCGCCGTTATACTTGCCACCATGACGAAGGAGATTACGACGGTGTTCGCATACGGCGTCATCATCGAGCTGCTTAACGAACTACCGCTCGCTGCATACATTACAAATTAAGCCATCAGGATGGCCGAGGAGATCCTGTGTATACTGCCAAACTGTATCGGGCGGTGCTGGACCGTTGACTGAGCCATCCACAAGAGGAACGGGAAATGGTGGATAAGGCATTCCGGCACTCTGTCATGAAGTCAGCTACTTGATCAGGTCGGCTGCTGCGCCGCGGCGACTTTGACTTCATAATCTCACAGGCGAAGGAGTGTTCGTGCCAGCAGAGCGGTGACAGATACTGTGGGAGGTGCATAGGATCCGAAATTCCTGATCATGCTTCTCCGCAGACCTGTTGTCGGCATTCTTCTGCAGACAGTTCTTGTTGTTAGAAGAGCTCATAGTGATTTGTGGTCCCCGTCAACGAGCCATTTTCGGCACAGTATTCTCTTCCCCTAACATCACGAGTCGTGTATGAAGTCATACAATGGACCCAGCTGGACGCACGTGAGCCTAATGTCAACAGGATTGTGACTGCAGCTCAGACCGCATCAGCCGTACGGACTATGAGGACATGCGCGCATTGCGGCGGTCACGGCTCGAACTTCGTCAACATTCGGCCCAGGACTCGAGCCTTTCTGCCGCGGATGTTTACAACGGCTTGCAGAGCAGAAACTTTGTTAGACGAAGTGTGAAGATCCGCGCACGCAATGTCAGGCTATACCTTATGCATGAATGAGGATCGGGCGGACTTCGGGAGGTGGACATTGCAAGCGGAAGCTCCCGCACTTCGGTTATGTGGGAATGCGGCAAATCCGTCGATACTTCTGTCGCATGGGAGTAAGTTCAGGGTGGAAAGGACAGCCCACTGCAAGGTGACTACGACCGGGCGGGCAGAAGAGCAATAGTTGTCTACTTGCACCTACCTGCCATCATTGGCTGAAGCAGCTCAACCCACCAGGTCACCCCGACATCAAGATACGACGGTTGCTAACGGGATCGTGTTTGCATGTCTCATAGTCTCTCCTGTGCCGGGTGCAAAAACAAACGGATCTCGTACGCGATGAACATTCTTGAGCAAACTAGGGCCATTCTGTATCGGTAGAGTGTCGCAATCCGACCTACTTTGAAGGTGCTTTCTTCAGCGGCCACTTCCCAGTGACAAAGGTGGCATTCCAGAAGCAGGATGTTGGAACAAGCACGCAAGTAATGGCTCGATAGATGGGAGCGTCGCCCGTTTCAATGCGCAAGACCGCACCGTCGAACTCCAGATGTCTCAATCAACCCCGGCTGCTGCTCCCCGCTGATTCCAAAAGACCTCTGCGCTGAGCTGGAGTTTCACCAACCACGGGAAGTTGCTGCAATGACTTAGACTCTGTACACACGCTGTGGAGGGGTGGCAGCACCATGTGCTCGATGATCCACAATCTTCGCTGAGGTGGGACGGTTCCTAGGAGGCTTGATTGACATGGGTCACTCTTTTGATGCAGAGCTAGCATCGAAATGATGAAGTATGCCCACCTCAACCGGATGACTTGCACCTTAGACCTTGGCCGTACGATCATTGACCGATTACCGACGAAACGGATAGGTGGCGCGTTGTTGACACAGCTAGTTTCACGTGCGCATTGTATCTGGATTCGGTCGTAGTTGCGATGCGTAGTTTCTGCGCAGACGGCTAGCGGCTCCGTTTGCCCCAGCCATGAAGCTCCAGCGACCGATGATCTCTTTTATGCGCAAAGTAAACTCTACCTACTTACCACCTGGTAGCCTCGTTCTTCCTACGCCTCCCTCACAACGCTCGCTTAACGAGCTCGATCCGCGGTATGAGCGCAGACCTAAAGGACGACCCCAACCACATGCTCGGGCCGGTAAATCAAAATGTGACCTGGAATGTAGCTTCAGAAATTGACGACGAGGAGTATGCCACGTCGCTTGATGCGCATGCAGAGGATTGGGAGGCTCAAGTCATCGAAATCACATTGGCTTCCTCCGGTCTTGAGCACGGGTGGGCTTCTGTCACCACATGCTTCGCTACTGGCGTAGTCAGTGGACCGCATCGCATCGCGATCGATATGCTGCAGGAGAAGTGTCCCGAGCGCTTCAGGTAGGACGATGTACGCCATAACTATGTCGTAGAGTTGTGCTGACAACGTTAGTAGGCAAGCCGTGATTGAACACGAGCTTCGCGCGGCTGTCATCGCCGAACCTCGAACCCAGGCAGTCCCGTCTGCAGGCCATTACAAACCTTTCACCACCGAGCCCCCTTCAAGCGTACCTCCTGACATTGGTTCAACCCCTAGCTCGACGATTCCACATCCGCCACGTCAGAGCACGCCTCTTGCTGCTGCAATGGCTCCACCTACGCCCAAGTCTACGACTCACACCTCCCTCACCTCTCCGTCATCAAAAGCTTCGAAGCGCCGCAGAAGGAGACGCAGAGAGGTCGTGGGAGTCAATCTTCCACGTGGTAGTCCACGTAAAGCCACCCGGCGTGTGAGTAAGTGAGTCTCGGGCACTACAATGAGTGAGAAGTGTGTCAGAAGTCATCAAGATCGCATGCGCTACACTCAAAGGCATCATTAGAAGTGATGTCGTTGGTCAACACTGTGGGCTGGCGGCGAGTGTTGTAAAAACTATTTCCCAGATAGCTCGTGCACAAGCGGCCAGTGCTGTGGTCAGACGCCGCTCCCAGATGATCGACAACAACTACCTGTTCGTGTCTATAAATCAAAATAGGCGTTGTAGCTGACAAGTTTTCCCCGCCGAAGGAAGTGTACTGTTGCGCAAGCTTTGCCGGCGGATGGCCGTATCGGTATCAGATTCACATTCCATATGTCGATGCTGCGGTCCGAGCATAACAGCCAATTCCAGGTTACGGCCGTCGTTAGAACGAGGGATTGACAACATCATTGCGACCAGTATCCAGCGTTGTATGCCACCCTTCCATACGCAGATCCACTCTCCCGCTTTGCCTACCGACAACGGGGCCGATGAGCCTATCGGTCCGCTCAACGTCCCACGTCCCGTCGGTGCGTTCATCTCGGTGTAACCTTTTCTCCACATTGTAGTATCAATTTGACGTTGAAAGAGCCCACATACCGCGCTATTTGTTCCGTGGCGGAAAGGCAGACCACCATGCAGAGTCTACGATTGTCCACGGCATCTGAAGGCGCAACTGATGCACAGCACGGATCCTAGATGAGTACTCGTATGGCTCCGAGAGTGACGATCATCGACACTTCCCCGACGAGCTACGCTCAATACATTGGTGTCCGTCCGCAGGACAAGGCGCACAATAGGGGGCGTAGCTGCAGATGATGACACTGTCCAGCACGTTTGACGCTTCAAGTGGTTCGGGTTTGAGGAACGCGCTACTTGTACGTGGCACCTCACCCAACGGCCTTCAGCAAAACACCTTGCACAGGCAGTACAAGCCGTACTGCTGATACATATCCTCCATCTTGCCTAACCTTTCCTTCTTCGTGTCCCGTTTACTTTCTTCCTGCCTTACGGGCCGCCACGTCCTGCCCACCTTATTGGACTTCTTGGAGTACGTCTACCCAGCCTTGGTTGTTGGTTGACACAGATTACTCTATGCTCGGAGGACGGATGCTACCACTGGTATATCGCCACTATCACGGGGACGATTGTGAAGGCCGGCCAGTCCGATCTAAAGATTGAGCAGCCAGGAACAGCTGGGCTTGCATGCTTCCGTCATCAAGCTTGCGATGCGCAGTGACAACACGCGACTCCGACATCAGCCAGTCGTCCCCATATCTTGCGAAGTGCCGCAGAGCTCCCGAACAGTGATCAGAAGATATCCCGTCTGAGCCGCCCACGGCTTGCAGGCTCGCTAGGGTACCACCTTTATGAGAAAGACTATAAGTACACCACACGTAAACAGTGATACAGTCACGGGCGATTTGTTGCAGTGCTCCGGTCGCTGACAACGACGGCTCCAAGACGAGTCGCAACGTGCCTCAGGTTCGCCGAAAGACCACTGTCGAAGACGAACACTATGAACGCACTTTATGTTGGCGACGAAGCTTCTGGAAGTAGCCGATCTTTAAGGGCAAACTTCGAATACCCCTAACTCCATGGCGCCGCGGCATACCGAAGTGAGCGCTGTAGTACCGAACTCTGTCAGGCGCAGCCGGCCATCCCTCGGTTCGTCCAATTGTCGGGTCTCGCAGAGGCGATACGCTCTCTCCCATATCCAACAGGCACGCGTACTGAAACATCGAAAGCTCAATGACATCCGTCCGGCTGTCTGACCGTAAGACGGAGCTCTCAGAGCGCCAAAGTGAGCGCGTAATTGCATTCGACTTAGCTGCGCGAGTGTAGGGCAATACAGCGGATGTATACCGACTTTGCTGACACGTGGCGGAAACCGAGCTGGCACTGTTATTAGATGGATGGTGTGTGAAAGGAGCGCAATAGCGTCTGGCGATGGGCCGCAGGAGACGCAGCGATGGAGTCACGAAAAGGTGCGGAGAGTGATTGGGCTTCCATTCGCTGTAACGCGATGGTGAACGCTCGTGTGACAGGCTTGGGGAATAGGGTGCATCTCTATCTCATCCGCGGCCGCCTATAGATCGCTCAAGACAGGTGTAAAGTCTACGGGAGCGCAATGACGTAGCTCTGGTATATTGTCTCTATGCCGAATGCTGCGATACCGGTACCCTCGTATGTTGGATCCGGTTTGTAGCGAAGTAGCCGGTCTACGCAGCCTACCTAGTCGAGACTGTAATCAACCTCACGAGCCCAGCCGCGCCGGGCCTAGCTTGACCGCGCTGATCTGTGTTGCACCCGGCTGACAAGTGGGGGCCAAGGAAGTGGCTAGTCCAAGGCTGAGACCAACGGTGATGCTGGCGAAGCCAGTGGCGGCGCGGTCGGAGAGAATGCAGCGGACAGTCCTGGACCACGTGTTGCTGCGTTTCCGATTCGACACCTAGAGTGGCCGCAAGTGCAGTAGAGGCTGCGAGAGGTGGTGGCATCACTGCTGGCAGCGATGTTAGGTCTGGCACTCCTGGTCACCACCCTCTCGTTCGTGTGTCGCGGCGTTTGACCACAGGCTCGAGATGAACTTGCATCGTTCTCATTCGGCATAGGGTGTATGTGTTGAGCAAATGAGATAGATTCAGAATGTGGATGCAGCCACCGTACAGCAGTGGGTGCAGCTACAGATCGAAAAACCATCAGCAACCATGGTCCAACGTTGGGTGCAGCAACGGATAGCGTTGCCTGCTCTTCTCCGTCCCCATCCATGAGCAGGTTTGGCAGCGTTTGACGAACGGTGCCACGTGGCCACCTGTTTTCTTGACGTGGAGGTTGTGTAATAACACCCAATAAGCCTTAGTGCGAACTTCAACAAGGAACCCCAATGCCACAATCCTGAGTTGCGGTACAGGACGTACATCATGTCGTATCTGCGTAATGGCGGGTACAACAGAGACTGTTGCTCGACAGCTCCATAAGTTAGTGTAGATCACCTTCTAGTACAATACCGTCACCCAGACCACGCAATGGTACATTCGTGCCGTATCGGCCATACGTGCAGCGTTCCCTTCACCCTCATTCGATGCGTCTACGACCCAGATGATTACCCGCTTGATGCGCCGCAAGTTTTGCTATCTACTCTCCATCACCAATACCGCTTTATTGGTCACCACGGTAGTCTGCAGCAGCAATAAGCCGTGTGGTACCTTGTAAGACGCTCACTGGTGTGGATCCGAGCCAAAACGATCACCTATTAAGGAACTATGAACTTTCCTTCCCCACTACCTCTACTCGATCTGCTCTCCGCTCGTGACCTCTCCCCCGGTAAGCGCAGCACGCCAATCCGCACTCATCAAAGAAGAGTTCAGCAGCGTGTTCTTGTGATCCCTTACCAACGAGCGGCGAACGTAAGGCGACCTGCGGCTAATGAACGCGAAAGAATGCCGAGCCCAGTGCCACTTGTGGCCGTCGTCGCCCACTGCAGGATAAACCGTGGCAGCAACGTGTGCCCGCTCAGCCGAAGAAGGAGACCTGGGTGCAGGAGCAGATGTTGCAGCTGGTATAGCGGCTTGAGGTGTGGTGTGGATGCACACGGATAAGTATCAGAGGTGGGGTGCGCTTCATGGTATGAACCGAAGCTATGTGATTTGAGCATGGGTGTGGCTCATATATTGACGCAGCGTCCGGTAGTCGCGCTTAATGCCGAATGGGATGGTATTCGGTCGAAACATGCTTAGCGTTGGCAATCCGCGCTGGGAGGGTTTGACGTGGTCTTTCAGTCCAAGGGTAGCGGCGGGGAGTAGCGGTCATACTGGACCGGGGTTCAGGCCTGACGGCGGAGGTTGTTGTGACTCAGATCGTTGAACATCTCTGACTGCTTACGATCGTCTGCTGAACTGGACTCGCGACAGAATACACGCCTACGCTCGACGATAACAGCGCAAGGCCGGAGGTAGGTCAATATACAACAGACAGGTTGGAAACGGCGTTGACTGTGGCGCTGCTGTAGTGGGCTTGAGCGAGCGGTGTATGCACGGTACCTGCTAAGCTTGAACAAGCGGCATGGCGTCTGCCATCATTAACATGAGCTACCCACCTACAAAACAGTGACTTAACCATCCCATGAGAGACCTATCGTGCTTCCTCTGTGAGTCTGGAGAAACAATGCTTATGCGGTAACACTGCGCGCCTCCCAGGAGATGTGCCCAGCGGTGTCGCTGCTAACAATCTGCTGCACGTCAAGCAGAAGTCGGCATTGTTGATGCTTATGAAGCCTGCATAGTATTGATGAAGTCTTCTTCCGCCAATGGCGTTACCCCCTTGAGCCTACACTTCTTGGTACACCACTTGTATGTGGGCATGGCAGGCGTCAAAGAAGTTGTTCTAAGGGTGGTTATTGATGGCGTGGGAGAAGCCGTAGATGGAGCTGTGGATGGAGCCGTGGACGGAGCCGTGGATTGAGCTATAGATGAAGCTGTAGAGGGAGCTACAGATAGAGCTCTAGATGAAGTCGTTGGAGGAGTCTCGAATGGAGCTGTTAACGAATCCGTCGTTGCTGTCATTGTCGGAGTCGTCATTGATGTCGGAGTCGTCATTGATGACGGAGTCGTCGTTGAAGTCGTCGTTGAAGTCGTCATGGAAATCATCATAGAATCTGTCATCGGAGTCGTCGGAGTAGTAGCTGAAATCACTTCAGGAGCCGTGCAGTTGATCGCCACGGCGATGTTCGGTCCACGGTTAATCACTTGGTGGTAGGTATTAGGTGCGGTATAAATGAGCTGTCCTGCCTGCTGTTCGACGATCTGAAAGTTGACGTTGTACTTCTGCAGGAAAGCGGGCGAAAGCAGTACGCCCTTGTGCCGAACGAATTGCGAGCATTGCTCGCTCTTGAGCCTCCATTTCCGCAGAAGAGCCTGCTCTAGTACGTCCTGTTGGTCTGGTGGGACGATCAGCCATACCTTCGGAGCACCTGCGACAATAAGGTTGAGGGAGCCAAGGTTGTTGTCCTCGATGTGGAGCCCAGCGGCGGCGCCCTTGTCGTAGCAGAGATATTTCAGGCTCGTGTTGATGCCGGGTAGCTTTGTCAGGGTGTTTAATGCAGTGCCGGGGTGTAGTATAACGTTGTACCAAGGTGGGGCAGAATCGTGTTCCGCGGCGTCTAAAATCAGGTAGTGAAGTGTGTCCATCGGCGGAGCATTCAAGAGCTTCGTCATCCACTCTAGCGGGTCGTCACCGACATCCTTGGATACATGCCACAAAGCGGGCAGATGGTCAGGCACAGGCGCGGCCACATCTGGTACATTGCTAAGCTTGGCTTCAAGGGGGTGTGAGGTGTTTCGCTTCTGGAACCGCACAGCAGTCTGAACGATTTGGTCCTTTTCGATACTGATAGACAAGTCCACCGCAAGGTTATCGCAAGGAAGGTCAGCTACCGTGACCAGCATGTACCCTTGTCGTGTAAGAGTACCGTTACTTGCCCAGAGGCGGCATACAGTATCCTCGGTTCTTTCGTACAAATCACTCGCTTTGCATTCCAGGCGAGGTGGTGTGCTGGAGCCATTTGCATCCTGTCCACCTCCGGTAGGCAGTGGGGCCACAGGCACGTTCGAAGTAGCGACCGATCCGCTTCTGATGAAAGGTAGCCGTCCTTCATCTTGCTGAACGATTGCCGAAACATCGCCCGGCTCCGGAGTCGGGAGCGCCCATGTGCTGAGCGCGACTCTGTCGATGTCCTCCTTCTTGACACCTTGATCCTTGATGGTGACGACGGCGCGACCGGTGGTGGCGGCACGGCCGACGGTTCTCCGGTACCTCTCGTACAGCGCCCTGGCGAGCAAGCGGCGTGTCTGCTCCTCTCCATGATCACGGACCACTTCTGCGAGCTTCTCCTGCGTTTGCAAACTTAGCGTCCATTGCTCCTGCTGCGGCGCCAGACCGTGAAGGCCTGTCTTCTTGCGATTCTCCTCTTTGTCGTGGTGGACTTTCGCCGCACGCTGTGCAGCATGCAGATGGGGTGCGCACTGTCGGAGCGCCTTTCCATTAGCGGCGCTCTTGCCACCAGCGGCATCGACGCGGCCGTGGGCATCTTGGACGTGTCGGCCGAGGTGGTAGGCAGTGGCCAGAAACAAGCTATTAGCGTATGCGGCCACTCTTCGGCCTTGCTCAAGCGCATCCTGCGGGTCGGACTTGGCAATCTCCTCCACCTTCCTCTTGAGCCCGCGAACCTCTTCATCGTGTGACATCGAAGCCATATCTGCTGTAGTCGTCGCAGCTCAAAACTTTGACGCCTGCCGCATGCTCGCTATTGCAACCCTTTGCGCGCGAACAGTAGCATACGCATCCACCCACATGCAGCAATCCGCCAATCGGGGATCTAAGGCACCAATTTCTAACGCACCAAGTCTCTAAGGCACGAACAACTAGACCCTGCAAAGAATCATTGCATCCGTGCGCAATTTAGTGATCCGTGCATGCAACTCGCAGGGTCTTCATCGTGCTGATCATGTGACCGTGCAGACTCTCTTTCATACGCGATCGAGCAATATGCCACAAGTCGGTGCTGTGTAGTCGGGCTTGGTGTCCTAGAATCTTTGTCCAGCCCCACGGATGTAGGCTTGGTAGGCCTTAACAACGATGAAGTCCGCAGAGTGTATCGCGGCGAATGTGCCACTGTCGTTCTGCGTAAAGACTGCGCATAGCAGACGGACTATATTCACTCACTTCATCGAGTGCTTATAGCAGGGCTGCACTTTAATCGATGGTTCGCTGCTTGCGTCGCCATCCTCAAGGTGTACCATCTCTAAGACGACACGCTGGGTGCTGCTCAGCTACCGGGAACAGGTCGAAGACATCAGGTCCCCAATCTCTCGGACACCGCTGATCGAGCGCGGCAAGAGCACGGGCGGGGTTCCTTCTCGCCAGATTCAATAGTGTATAAGTCCGTGTGCGAAAAACGTGGACAGGAGTTGTTGATAGTCGGATGAGTAGGATTGTTAGCGCCATAGCCACTTAGACGGCAGCGGAACGAAGGCGACTCTATCCAAGCACTCATCGATCTCCCATCTATCGAAGGCATCTTGGAAGCTGTCGCCTCTTTTCCAACATGAGCAGTTGATTATAAGTCTTGCATCACAGTTCAGCCGCTGACGAAGGTGACCCAGCAGCAGCACCGTCACCTTGCCTTCGAGTTCTTCTGCTAATCTTACGCCGAGTAAGCACTTCTCAGCAGGCTCCATGGACTCGAAGCATAAATGAAGAACGCAACCTCGCTTCCGAGCCGCTCGCTACATCTCATCGGTGCCTGCGGCCAACTATCACCCTACACCGCGATGGACTTTCTCGGCATCACATCTGCTCTCTAGCCACGGCTCTTTCCAGGACATCTGCGGAGATCATGAGCATACTGAGTCTTCCGCGAGTGCTCGACACGATACCTGCAGTCTACAACGCGAGCGGAGTCGTACAGACGGATGGATCCTTGCGAAAAGTTTAATATCGGTCTTACGCTTGGCGACATACCGTCTCCTCAACTGATCCTCAAGGTGTTCGACTCTTACCCGCGTTGCCACTAGTGCCATCCGGCTCGACTGCGCGCTTGCCTTTGGCGCTCATTTTGCCGGATGCCGTTGTCCTTACCCTTTTCACTAGACAGGTAAGAAGAGCACTATCTGCAGCCTCCTGTCGCCAATTTTCTCTCAAGAGCTCTGATAAGTCTCAGAATTGCTGCTGATTGCGTTCGCTAGGGGAGCCGTGATCTCGAAGTCGAAGCTTTGAGAGCATCCGCTCTGTTCGGGCACTTTGTGCACCTCGTCGCACTGCTCGTTAATGAGAACATGGGCAGCCTTACTACGGTGCTGCGGAAAGAGACCGAGAATCTCACAACGACGAGTTCACCTCTCAGCAGCAGGCTGTAGAGCGACATTCATCTAATCCTTCACCTGGACAGCTTATACTACGGATGCAGCCTGGCCTCGGACATCCCCTGGTCCGAACGAGCCGTTCTTCGACGGCTTTGCGATGCGTTACTTCCCACCACTAATCAGTGAGCGTCTCCCAAACAGAGGATACTGGCATCGATCTTGAACAAGGGCTGGCCGGAGAGCTGTGGTCCACCAATGATCATCGACGTCATCTCGAGTTTAAGTGCGTTCTTGGGCGCCATAAGCTTGCCGTCCCCCCAGAAGCATATGCCACCCTCACCAACATACAGCTCAGAGATGACAGCGCCAGGAGGGCACTCCAAAGCGCTGCGCATGAGGCATGGTGCTCTTGAAGTGGCGCTGCGCTCTCGTGAATGAATCGCTGGATACCCACCCTTTTCACAGCGCCGCGAGTCGGAAACGGCTTTGCCGGAGTACTCCTGCGGACAAGGGACACAAGCGTCGCTTATCAGACTTATGAGCTTCCTTCTCAGAACAACCCAACGCCCTCCTCGGATACATGCATCTCCATCCGGCTCTTGCTCCCATGTGCAGCTAGCTCAGCACTCGTCTTTGCCCAGCTTGTGCCTGCCAAACTGCCTTCAAGTCATGGGATATATTGGCAGAGACTATGGCCGACGTCACTACAGTGCTGCGATGCGATCCACATATGGCGTTGCCAGGAGAACGCCTCACCAGCGACAAGCTTACTACAGCGCTAGCGATCAGAGTCGATCATCCCCAGCACTACGCCGGGTGCCGTCTTCGAAAACCTACGCCGCAAGAACGTAGCAAATGTCTTCGGACTGCGGTATGGCCTTCTCACATATTCGGAGAGGAAAACACTGGCCGCCATGTTCGGAGCGGCACTGGAACACTAACGAAAATCCCGTTGGCTCAGCGCATGTGAAGCTTGCGTTAGCACGCACTTCAGGCGGAGCCAGCGGCAGCTCGTCTTAAGCGACCCGGCGTATGCGCTACATTATTCGCAGAAGCTTGCACCAGGCAGATGTCCGCCTCATATGCGACGCTTCCGGCGATTACACTGCCTTGTCTTTCGGACTGCGGCTTGCGGATGAAGCAACTGTCAACGGTTTGCATCACGCCCCTCTTTGCTGATAACATGACGAGCTGGCATCTGCGCTCATACCGCGCTAAGATGGATGAGGCAGATAACGTTTACATCGCACGCTGCCGCACGCTGCCACACGCTGCAAAGGAGGGAGGACAGGTGGGTGGTATGGAACAACGCGCCACGATGCATACCACATGAACACCTCAACAGCGCAGCGGCTTCCGCGCCTTGGTCCTCGCGAAGGCTCCACGCATCAACCAGGTCTCCTTGGAGTTCCCGACAGATGTACGCGGCTTGAAGCTCCGTCCCAGCGCTATCGGATAGTGGCACCTTCAAACGTCCAAATTACTTAGCGGCGATCACGTCGATGACACCTGTGTCACTGCATGAACTCGCAGCCAGTGCACCGACCTGTCCGACGCCTCTCAGGGCTCGAAGTATACATGCTCGAACGGGAAATGGAGCATAGTGGAAGATTCGGTGCGAAGTCCCAGCCTAGTAGGAAGACAGTTTATTCGCGAAGACTGATGTCTTCGCATGGACTTACAGCAGTACTACAGTGACCCATGCCTAGGTGCGTTGCGCCAAGTTCTATTTAATTACTACATAGCTATTGCACCCCTCACCACGCCGCCGAATCCTCAGTGACGTTCTGTTTACCCACCTGTTGTGGGCTAGCACTCTACCCCTGGAAAGGCGAGAGCGGAGAGGAGTTCGAAATAGACGGTCACATGTATAACGGTATAACCCATGCCGTTGACGATCATTCAATCGAGTGGTGAGTGGACCTTACGCAAACATCGGCGGACGTTAGCGTGCAAGAACCGGTGTGCTGCTCTTTGCCTACCGTGACGCTCACTTGACGGCATCTTGAGCAATTCACAAGTGAATTGCTAGGCAGCTGCGCTTACTCCACGCACGTGCTCTCAACTGAAACACTACTCAAGCTCCAATCACAGCGCTATTCCACAACAACACGACCACCTGACCACAACAACACGACCATCCGACCGTAACAACACAACCACCTGAACACAACACAACGCTTCATTCGAAGAACATTTCGTACTTTCGCTCAACACGGTACCTCTCGACAATTGAAGCCTTCTCTAGCACCGCCTTGGTGAAGTAGTTGGGTACACTCTGTTGGTGCTGACATTGCTACAAGCTACGGACCCTGACAGTCGATCAACATATCAAGCGGTGACGCACACCATGGCTCACAACAAGCGCAGCGGAAGTCCGCTGTTCATGGGAGAGGACTCAGATGGGGATAGTGCCATCAGCAGTAAGTCTCCCTTCACCGCTCCATGTCATAGGTCGCTGCTGATTTGGGCAGGTGTCAAGCGCAACAAGATCAAGCCGGACACCGTGCCGACCTACTCAGACTTACCAGGTAATTCGGCTGCTGGCGGAAGGGTCCCTCGGTACAATGCCATCAACGAGGAAGGCCGCCCCAACCTCGCCATCTACCACCCCAGCTTTGCGATTGCGGAAGGTCTCGTGACAACCGTCTGCAACGACTTCATCGACGTCGTGAAACAGCTCAAGGAGTCCGGTTACACCGACCCAGAAGTCGAGAGTATCTGTGACAAGTCGCTGAAGCGCTGGCGTGAGCCGCGACACACCTACCCAGACGTCGGGCCCGTCGCGTTTCTCGGCCCTGCTGGTGTCGGCAAGTCTTCTGCCTTGAACTGTATACTCAATCAAGAAGCAGTTGCCGTGGAGAGCGACTCCGGTACACGAGGCACCGCTTTGGTTCACGAATACAAGGATTCGAAGATGGATCAGCCGGAGCTCTACGCCGTCGATGTCTACTACAAGCACACGAAGACCGTTGAGTCGCTTGTAGAGAGGCATTGCAAGGCAATTGTCGACCTTCTGAACATGCCGGACGAGGATCTGGCCGATATGGATGCGGAGGAGCGTGTCGAAGCGAGGCAGAAGCATGATACTGCGTTGAACTTCTTCACGACCATCCTCTGTGACTACGATGAATTTGCCAGTGCTGATGAAGCTAGAGACTACTTTGTTGAGCAACGATCAGAGGATATCGCAGATATCGCACGCCACATTGTGTCGCTGATTGCTGGTGCTCTCGAAGCACAAGGTATCACGAGAAACGGAAACGTTCAAAGCTTCACTGCGCAAGATGAAGCCGAGCTCAACGTTGTCTTCCAGCGTATTGCCGGGCATTCGGGATCCACGTCTAGCGGCAACAGCAACCCATCATTGTGGCCTCTGATCAGTACTGTGTCGGTGCACCAAGACAAAGACTTGCTGAACGCTGGCGTTGTGCTTGCGGACACTCCGGGCGTAACAGACACCAACAGGTCCGTTGTGGAAGCTACCCGTAGCTATCTTCGGCGCGCTGGAACCATTATGGTCTTTGCTCAGCCTTCTCGCATCGTGCAAAACCCAGATCTGGACGCTAATCTGCGCGAGTGCATCAGTCTCGGCAAGATGGAGAAGTCCTTCCTTATAGTTACGATGATAGATCAGAAAAGCTCTCTGAAGGAAGCGGAAAAGCAGGCTCTTCCGGTCACAGACAAAGAGATGCTACTAGCGGCAGAGCAGAAGGTACAGAAGATCAAGCAAGACATCGTCGACGCATCACAAGAAAAGAACTCTACGAAGGACTTCCAACAGTACCGCGCCATTGACAAGCGTCTGCGTGATCTAGAGATCGAAGAGATCACAGCACACAAGAAGGTCAAGCAGGTCGTTATCGAGATCCGAAACCGCAACATAAAGAGAGAGCTAAAGGACAAGTTCAGACAGCTTTCCGGCTCGAAGAGGGCGCCCGATCTCAAGGTGTTCTGCGTTTCGCACTCAGAATACCAGAAGCATGTCGTAGGCTACGATATCAAGGATCCACCCACACTCGATGTCACGGGCACCGGTGTCCCGGCTGTACGTCGAATGCTGTACAGCGTCCCGGCTTACGGCAAGCTCAACGCGCTCGAGAAAATCTCTACCACTCGTCTCCCACACGTCTTTAATGGGATCTGCGGCATCCTCAGCAAAGATCGTCTGGCGCGGAAGGGTGATGTGGAGATGGTCATCGCTAAGGTTTTTGAGAGCAACGAAAGTGTCCTGCGCGGAACCATAGATAGTATCAAGGTCGCGTTTTACGAGCGCATCCTGACATTGTTCCGTAATAATGATCAGAAGTGGAAAGAGAAGGCAGTCAACTGGCTTGATAACTGGGCCAACATCAATGGCGGGACCTTCACCGCCTTCTGCCGCAGATCAGGACATTGGAAGGTGCCAGGGAACAAGACGAAGACGCACTGGAACCACGAAATCTTGGCCTTGTTCTCTCGTCAAGTGATGAGCGGCTACAACGCTCTCGAAGACGACGTCGAAGGCATCCAGACAAGTACGTTTGAGAACGTCAGCGAAATTTACACCAGACTGAAGAGCAAGCTAGAAGGTATGTCCGTCACCGGTGCGGATTAATGGACAGATGCTAACTCGTCGTAGCGTGTGATGCATTCCAGGGGATTGACGAAAAGCCTTTCTTCAAGTACATTGACGAGGCTTGCGATATCGTCAATGCTAACCTTGCTAAGCAATTCAAGGAGCTTATGGTCGCTATCAACCAGATTCGTTTCGCTTCCACACTTCCAAACGAAGAGTCCTACACAGCTTTGCAAATGCAGTCTACCTACGAAGAGTGCCTCAAAGTCGGCTCGACCAACTATGCCGCTGTCAATGTCCGTAACAAGCAAGGCAAGATCCGCAAGCGCAATGGGGCTTCAGCTGCTAGGGTGGAAACTATCCGCCGCAGGCTCACCGGCGAAGGCGACACAATTAGCATCTTTGCAGCTGTCGCACAGCAGGCGCTTGAGGTACTGGAAGCAGACCTGGGGACGTATGCGGCGAAGTGTCAGAATGTCATCAACAGCGGCGCAGGTGCGGTGCAAAGAGACTTCGACAGGCGATTTCAGATGCCCGAGGCGAAGGCCGAAAAGAATGAGGAAGCGGTGAGAAGGCTGCAGCAGGCTGCAATGGAGGCACTTGCAGTAATCGAGGGTCCCTTGAAGGAGCACTTGGTGCTTGCGAAAGCTTACGAAGAGGAAGATGCCTACAAGAGTGCATAGGAATGCTACGGCTTCGAGCTTGTCTTTCTGGACACGGTCCGGCGGACATAATCGAGCGCAGCCACCAAGCCTACCGGAAGGCAGATATTCGTCCATAGCGAACGGCGCGCAATGGCTTGGATAACTGTGGCGGTGACTGCCAGCCAAGAGCATTTACTCTAGCTGGGAGCTGCTGAAGATTGATACCAAACAGATATTCCTACAAGCGACTCATCCCATTTGATGCTTGCTGGCATCCTACCTGCAATGAATAAGATAGAGCGTGTAAGACATCAAACTCAAGACACTTGGGTTGTCCAGCGAGCATCTCGACATCTAACCTACCTGGTTCGCACGCGATGTAGGTCTCAACACTTGCGGAATGCAAAGCATAGCTATAGCAGTCACCAGCGGACAATACATAGAAGGCTTGCTAAAGAACAAGACGGGAAAGAAGGCCGGCGAGCTCTCCACAGATATGGTTCTCGGCTTTCAGCCTGCTGCAAATTCGTGGCGACGCCCAGCATCGTAGTGGAGCAACTATTAGCCTAGCATTAACACCTGCAGTCATCGTCGGCTTAACAAGGCATGAGAATGAGCGAGTGGAAGAGCAAACAGACTGATTGCGAGCCCATTCCGTACCTTTGTCATCATGGCACCGAGCCTAAGGTGCTGTCATCGTTGATATACTTCATGAGACTCTAGATAACGTTCTCGTCCAAGTCGTGGTTGGAGTGCGTTAGAAGACTCGAAGCCTACCCCCTAAACTTCCACAAGTTTGCGGCCTTCATGATGAGCGTGTTTGTAGCAAGGTTCTGTACTGGACATGGCCCAGGCCGGAATCTGGACGCTGGATGTGGACTCTGTACGCGAAAAGTGCGTGCATAAGGGTGCGGCGCGTAAAAAGGCCACCAACACCTTCCACAGGATCTCGGATTAGACGTTGAACAAGAAGTCCAACCACGCAGCGGCTGGGATGTCGCTCCGGATATCGCCAGTCAATCTCAGAGGCGTAGGTAGGCTCTTGATACAGAACAAGCCGTCTCCACGAGGGGAAAGACATCTGTGCTTTCGCCTTCGTTGCTGCTGGCGCTTACGAGTTGGCCTGGTCAGGGCAACCCCTCATGATCAGCATCCTAGTCGATCTTAGCTGTAGAACGCCCTCAGTGGTCCGCTTTGTCAACGCAGAAAGCGTCGTACAGCTTGACGGTGGTTCAAAGCAGCTTAGGTCCAGCACCCTGCTTGCCACCCTACGTCTTGGACCTAGACGTAACTAAGCTCGCCACTGTGCCGATGACCACAGCCGACATGTTACCCACCATCTCGAATTATCCGAGAGGCTAATCGTAATATCTACCTTGTTCTCCTTCTTGTACGTGGAGGTAGCGCTCTGAATAAGGACACGGCGCATGACGAGTTCATCTAGTACTAGTTCTTCGTCCCAGTGGTACTGGTCAAAGATGCTGGGGTGTTTCTGGAACAAGGTGTTCGACAGTGATGTGAAGCCCAGACTGGGCAAGTCTTTGCGCGTGAACTTGACCAGAATCCGGCGGTTGTGCTGCGCTGAGGCGCTATTCCTCATACGACGCCATCAACGTCCCAGGGCCATGCAGTCGATTAGGAGACTCGAGGCCCACTAACTGAGCAACCACGACCCCTCACGGTCGGCGGAGGGTACGTCCATATGACGCTTCGCAATGCTAGTCATCTCATACTTCGGCGCGCCGGTCCCAACTCAGTAGCTGTTGGTATCCATTCGGAAGACGAAGGGTTTCTACTCCGTGAGAACGAACCACGCATCGTGGTCGCTGTGGCTACGGCCTGCTCATGTCCCACTCCACGACAGTGCGCCTCATAATCAATACAGGCCGAGTCTACAACACGGTGTCGCTCAGAATTTTGATGAAGCTCAACTGCTTCCTGGCCCGCGCGGGCTCGTTCTGCTCGGCGCCCACGTTCCTACTCGGAGTCATTCCCGGATTTCTGTGCGGCTCCCTGCGGCTGAAGACAGTCATGTCCTGGGCTTGCATTATGCTCAACCCCATGGAGTGGAAGAGCTGCATTCTTTTCCGATTGTAGGCCCGCCGGCCTTGGCCGCCTCCTCCTTTCCTCATTTGATCCCCTCTGCAATATCCTCGTGTTGTGCTCCTCCTCCTTCTTCACGGCACCCTTATCGAGCCCAGTCCTAGTCATGATGATGACAGTGTCCTCGTTGTCGACTGTGCTCCCCTCCGGCTCCTTGCTCCCGACCGCGTCCTGCTTCCTCATCCAGAATGCCAAAATTAGACGGATTCATTTGCTCTTTCCTGGCGTACTACCCTTCGCGACTGTAGCTACTTGTCGAGCTAGTCTGAGACGTAGGAGAGCGTGTCGTTGCTGTCTCCGTGTGCACATATGGTATGGTGCGGAGTAAGTCCTGTCTACATTGCCGCTTCTTTCGTAGTGGCGCCATCATGGCACGAAACGTGGTAAAGGTGCTGAGTTAGTAGTCACCTTCCAACTTTCTCGCTTGCAGTTCTTGAGGTCTCGGAGTCTGTCTTTCCCTTGCGCCAGGTCTGCGATACGTACTCCTTCCGGCCTCGATGAGCTTCACAATTGTCCAAAGACTCATTGTGAACTGCCATCAGCCTACCACACACAGTGGTGAGCGGAGTGTCGCTTCCGGAAAGGCGCAGCTAGGTCTATCCGCCACTCGATGTGTGAGTTCTGACATCTGCAGCAAACAACGTACGGAGCATTCGTGCACAGTCTTACGCCTTCTTCGCACGCTTGAGTGGGCCAAGCAGTAGTTGCACACCGCTCGTGCTTAAATCCAGTATCGTATCTTTCGGCGTCCCGACGAAGGGGAGATAGACCACTCTGTTCGACACAGCGGCAAAGGGTGTGCACCTCTTACGCTTTTTTCGCACGCTTGGGTGTGCCATGCAGTAGTTGCGCACAGGTCGTCTTGACCTCCGGCTGACAGCGCGGGCGCAAACCATAACTTACCTGTCCACGTCAGCGCCGAGCCTTGTCGCTAATATAGCCGTGGATTGGACGCAGTCGTGAAGTCCGAACTCGAAGCCGTGGGCGACTCGCATCCCGGCCGTTGCGGAGAGTGTGTGCAATGTAATCTACGCACATCGTACGAGACCTAATAGTAATCCTAAGGAACCGTACCGGCTCCTCGACCCTCGAGGCTGGATCATGACCGATAATTGGAGCATGGGACATAACCTTCCAAGTGTCGTTGCGTTTGGTACAAGTAGAGAGAAGAGTGGCAAGGATGACGGAGCGAAGCACGGCAACACCGCTCGTAAAGGGGCGGCGGTGTAGGCTGCCGCGGCTGCTCTCCGAGCGCAGCTCCTCTGCTATAGTTACCGTCTGGCGGTGCCCGTCTCCCTGGAGTCCGCAGAACGCCGTCGCATTCGCCGCTTTGGCGGAGATCTATAATCCATGTCGTGTCTACGCTAACAGCCAGGAATGCGAGGCGGAGCTCCACACCGTCGCTCGTGCGGGCTGTTGTAAAAGCTGTGCAAAGAGGTTGCCGTCTCGACTCTGCATGTCCATGGCGGTCGCGCTCGCCTGTTCACACGGTTCTTCTCAAGCAACGCCAAGCATTGGTCCATCTGCTCGCCGGGGGTAGTGGCTGCGAAGTCGAGGTTGTCGCGAAAGGCCGGATTCGTTCGCCCTGAGTGCGGGCAAGTATTGACAAGACAAGGGGACTGTGACCGTAGCGTCGGTGGCGTCATCGCTTGATTGGATGTATGGATCGTAACGAAGGCGAAGGAAGACCTTATTGAACATTTTCCGCGGCGGCCCCGTTGAGTTGGCGAAGTGAGTAAGGTCCGTATCGATCCGGATCGTATGTCCCCTCTACCGCGGGCTGCGAGTAGTGCTACAGTACTGACAACTGCGTTAGATAACCACGAGCTTGTGGCTTTCGCACGATATCGTACCTCAACTGCCGCCATCCGTAAATGGTGAAGCGGCCACCTGGGAAAAGCAAGAATTGGCTGTCTTGCGTTACTAGCTCAGTCACGTGCGAGACGGGCGGAGCAATTGAAGACTCGTGACCAGGCGAGAAGAAGGGTTCATAGTCCTCCTCGTCAGTGCCGTCATCGTTCTCCAATGTCAACGCAGAACTTGCGGAGCTCTTCTCGACCTTTCAAGGAGAGCTTCCATCGTCACGCTAGTCAGGAATGCGAAAGACAGCGAAGACCGTTGTTAACTTCTCCAGAGTGCGGAGTAAATGGTATTTCCTCGCAGTGCAGAAGGGCGGCGACGGAAGTGCTCCTTCTCCTCCACTCAAGCCCTAGGGAGGTAGCGTTGTCCATCCGATCGGGGAAGAATGGACGAAGAAGCTGCACACCTTTTTTCGCGACTCGGCTTCCTCACGTTATTGCCAAGAGCGAAGTGCTCCTTAGGCGAGTGGTTGATCCTGGATGTTGCTGCACGACGCAGGATGTCTGCGTACTATCCTGAGCGGTTTGCCCATCTCCGGTGTCTGTGTAGCTTGACTCTCCCCAGCTGGCTGTTGTCGTGGCGCCGACTGTTGCTGTGCTATGGCGCTGGCTGTTGCTTCCGTGTGTTGACCTTGCTGAGGTTGACATTGCGGACGTTGCTGAGCTTGACGTTACTGAGCTTGACCGTACTGCCCTTCACGTTGCTGGGCCTGATGTTGCTGAGCTTGATGTTGCTGGGCTTGACGACGCTGGGCTTGACATTGCTGGGGGGGTTCCATTGTGGATCTTGACTTGATCGAGTTTAATGTTGCTAAGCCTGACGTTCCCAACATCCGAAATCGCCACTGTGCACAACACGCCGCACGTCGGTGCCACTACTTCGCATCTAATTCGGCGATAGCGGATGAGACTTTACCAAGCCGGCTGCATACAAATTGGAAAGGCTGCGGCTTCGCTTCGACGATAGCTAGGCCTCAATCCCATCGTGGTCGGGTTATGTGTGCGGCGCCATGTGTAAGTCGTTCATTATTGTTGCTGCGAGAAACAGAAAGGCACCAGTACCAGCTAAGGATGGCTATATCGACTTTTTGCATTTGGCTTGCCAGCCATTGATCCGCGTGGGTCCATGGCGTCTCAGATCCGCTACGCAGTAGCGCGCAGCTATAGACCAACCGTGAATGTCCGGTAAGAAAAATAGGTTCGGGGCCTCGAACCTTTGCTAAGACTTCAGTGCTGTTAATCCCATCTCGTGCGATACGTAGACATACAGGAAGAAGGTTCGAGGTGTTGAGCGAAAGCGGACCCATTAATAGTACGGCGCCGTTTCGGCAAAGTTTAGTCAAAAGCCACCCGCAACTATATTATTGGCCCAGGTGAGCTTTATCTGAACCTCATCCGGTACTTCTGTTTTCGATGAAACTAACCTTGAAGACACTTCTGTTTTCGATGAAACTAACCGTCTTCCGGGAATGGAAGCCGCCAGTATTCCATCCTTGCTCATACGACTCTGCTATTCGTTAGAGCATAGTGAAATGGTCACGATAGCATTCCTCAGCTTCTCGCTAGCGAACGCTTCCGCATTCTTCTTCACCATACTAGGTCTGAGATCCTGGATCTGCGAAGACGGGGATTTGTAGCACTGGTTCTCAACCTATCTCAAAAATCTGTGTACGAGGCAACCTTCCCGGCTCTGGGTGTCATACTGCACTTCCGCCTTGGGACACTTGCGAGTAATGAAATGCTTCGTGGCAAGAAGAGTGTTTTCGGGGTTGAGAACAGCCTGTGACGGCTCGCAGCGATGCCTATTCATTGCTCATGCTCTGCTGCAAGTATGATGCCAACAACCGGCACAGTTAGCACTCCACGAACCTCGCCAAGACTCGCTAGACGTCGCTATTGATAAGGTGCGGCCGGCAGTAAATGAGCCGTCGAAGTGATTATACGTGGAAGTGCTGCATACATCTCAGTCATTATACATGAAAACGCTTCCTACATCTGAGGTATAAGCGCTGCCCTGTTGGTAGCGCGACCGTGAGGTCTGATGCAACTGCGTCCCAAAAAAACCCCCCGGCGACATCACCTGCCTCACGTCGAAGTGGGCAATCACACCAAGGCCTGCCGTCATGCGGCGAAAACTTCCGTCTGCGCCTGTTTGCACGGAACTTCACCGGTCATCGTGCTCTCACGACGCGGCGCACCCTTAGTTCTCCGACTCCTTTCCGCCCAGACCCTTACCGCTCTTCTGCAAAGACAAGTCTCCCTCTGCATGCTGTCCCACTACAATAAAGCTCTCCGAGAGTTTCTTATCAGGCGCCAATAGTGTGTTTGGCAAGGCTTGCAAACCGTCTCCCAGCTCGGACTTCTTCTCGGACTTCGTCGCGGATTGCTGCTCCGTCTTCAGCCCTGGTCGGTTGGCTAGCTCGCAAGCCTCGGCCCACAAGGACGGGAGATTGATCCAGAGGATGCGGCAGGCGTTGACGAAGGTTGAGACATCTCGGACCTTGCACGCTTTGATAGGCGGCGCGAATCTGCCTTTTGCAGGCCACAAGGACCGCAGATGGGCCGAGAAGTTGCGACAGACCCGGACAAAGGCCGTAGCATTGCGGACAGCGCACGCCTTGATTGGCCGCACGAACAGGCCATTCATGTAGACGCGCAAAGCAGTGGCTGGACCGGCGTACACGACGTCCATGAAGGCCAGGAAGTGGGCGTTCGAGATGGTCGGATCTGCCATGCCAATCTCGTCAGCGCGTCTCAGAACAGCGGCCCGCTACGGTGGACACATACTCTCGCACAAAAGCATCAGGTACATGGCGCTGACACTGTAGGCGAACATGATGATGCTACCAAGGAAAGCGCCGACGCAGAAGGAGACGAGCAAAAGGGCGATGGGCAGCGTCGGCTCGGTGACGGGAGCGGTGGGGCGAGGGACAGCGGTGGGCACGGGCGCCTCGTTTGCGATGTAGCCGGCGCTGTGGCTCAAGTAGGTACGCACGATGGCGATTCCGGCGACAGCGATTGCCGCGCGCTTGAAAATGGCGGATAACACTGACATGTTGACGATGCTCGGGGCACGCTGAGGTCGGATGAGTGGTGGTGTAACTGCGTTGCGAATGTGTCTTGATGGTGTTGGTGCTGGCGGTGGTTGAGATATCAATGATGGAAAGGCCGAGAAGCGATGCGAAAATGTTTGTGCGTTTTGTGAAGGCAGTCGCGCCCACTCGCACCTGCACATGCAGTCAGATATCACACCTGCCGATCCTCGACATCGCGTTCACCCACCCCACCACGCGGCGTTTGTCACACGCAGGGTCTGACTCTCACTTCACGCGCATTTGCGCGAGATCACGTAGTTGTGAAAGCCGATCGCAATGTTACGCAAAGCGGGACCGTCGCTGGGCGACTGCAGATGCTGCCGTTCATTGTTATAATTCCAATTATGCAACAATTGCTTCCGGCCTCAGGTGTCATCCTTAACAGGATCCGCAAAGGACAGATCTCCAGCGGACGCTCATTGTACGTGGCGTAGGCAATATTTGTCGGACGAGACCTCTCCAGAATATTAGCATTGCGCTAAGCGGCACGCGTGTATATGGTGTACTTGTCTACCGTCCGACCAGTGAATGTGCGTCCTGAGTCATACCGTGAGCTTAGAGAGAAGCATATCGAGCTCTTTTTTACAAATAGCTGAATCCTACACTCTCCTGGAGCATCACCTCCCCATCCTCCAAGCACAGCGACTCTCCGTTTGGACGTCCAGGCTAGCCCTCCCTTTTCAGATAAGTCGAAGCGCTTCGCTAGATGCTCCTTCCGACCGAAATCAGCTTCCACGACGACAGAATAGTATTTCCAGGTGGGATCCCTAGATTCTGCCTTCAGATTTCTCGCATGAAGAACAGCGTCAGTCAACTCGTCTATCTCCTCATTCGAGAACCGGAACTCACGCTTGGCCGGAATGTAGTCCGGCCAGCAACTGGGAATGAGGGAGTACTGATCGGCATTGCTGCTCCTCTCGTTGGCGACGCCTGTGGCGGCAGTTATAGTGGAGGGTGTGAACACGGATCAGTGTTCTTAACACCGCCCCGCGGCCACTCAGTTCGGATGAAACTTAGAACGGCGCATCGCCGTCATGGACGAGCATGTTGATCGGTCCTCGGCTGCGCTCCTCGTACGCTCTTCTTCCTTCTGCTAGATCGTATCAGATAGCTGACACACACGGCCATCGTACTTCCAGGTATATCATAGGCAATGCGGTCCCGTCGCCAAGCCGGAGAAGTTCTACTTATTGGTGCGTCGGATCTTCGAGGCATCTTTTGTCAGGGGTGAACGAGGCCTTCTCTGCCCCCTTTTGCGGGATTAGAGCTGTATAGACTTGTTCTGCGCTGGGCTCCGGATAGCGCACCACATCGTCTGCGTCGTCGTTGACCATCCTGCTCGTCTAGGCGATCTAGCATACCCTTACGGAGGAAGACCTTGCTGTTGAAGCCGGTGCACCTAAACAGACTAACGAGCCGCCTCGCACTGACCGCAAAGAGATGCATTGCGCAGACGGGATTATAGTGTAATCGCTGGCTTCTCCGGCATAGACCGTCCTAGCACACGCCGTAGTATTCACAAACTCGTGATGTGCCTTCGCAGAAGAGTGCGTTGTACGGTTGCGCACGCCAGATATCCGCTTCGTCTGCTTACGAAGTTCGTCAGTTTGCGTGGCGAGCAGGGCGTAAGTGGCGAGTTCGGGATGCAGGGAGGTAGGCACCATTGTGTCGAGCCCGCGAGGTCTCCTTCAGACACAGCTTCAGCATTTTATTAGCACAGTCCCCCTTGCACAAGGGTCTGCCTTGCCTGCAAAGCGTTCGCACGGATGGCCCAGCGCAGTCAGAATGTGCAATGGCGGTGTCTACGAGCCACCTGCATCACAGCATGAGAGAGGCGCAGTTCATGTGCGGGAACACGTAGAAGATTAGGTAGGCAGGATTAGCTGCGGGCCTTATGAGGCAAACGTCTACGTGCTTGATCGCAGAGGGAAGCAGGGTGTACGGCTTAGCAACGCAGATGGAGTTGATGTGGTTGCCGCGCACCGTGAAGGCCATACATTGTCTCTAGAGCGTGCAAATGCAGGCCATCTCTGCGCTAGAATCATGACTATGCTGGTTGCTGCGCCCGTCTTCACAGCGTTGACGTGACCATGCGCAGTCCTGGGTCTTGCCGCGGATGGTAGATATGTCACGTGTGTGGAGTTCGACCGAGTGCCAAGGAGCGCTTGGGAGCTTGGGAGTGGACTTCCTCCCGATTGAACTTTGCACCACTTCTAGTGGATGTAACAGCAGCAGCAGCGTTGGTCACGCTTGTATTATGTTGCAGTCTCATTCACTGCATCAAGTCCCTCTCCCTAATGAGCGGGTTGCCTGTGTGCCATCGCGGGCGCTCACGTGCTAGGATGTCTGCATACCAGGTCGACTGCTGCCGCAGACCAGCCCCCACCTTCGCCCGCGCTGTCTTCATCTTCTCTCTGACCTGACACATCTTCTTGCACAATCCCCCGCCCCGTGAATTCATCATCAACTGCCGCTCCTTCGTCGACGACGCCGAGCGCGAAAGCATCACCAACTGCTTCCGCTTTCGCACCACCCCACCACCACCACCTCCTCCTCCTCCCGCGTTCTCCGCCTTTTTCGCCAAAGCTGAAGTCGCGGCTATCGTTATCCTCGCGCGCTCGCCTCTCTTCGCTCTAACGAACACAGCTAGCACCGAAGGCCAGTACGGCATTTGCAAGACCGAGGTCGACAATACCACCTTTCGCGCCGCAGGCTCGGACTCGGTGTCCGGCTCTCTGGACCTATGACTCGCCGACATTCTACCCCTCAGCATCGCCTGTGGCCTCCCGGCCGGCATCCTGCGCGCAGAGCACATCCTCATCCCCTTCTCCAAGCTCTCGTGCTTCCCTGCAAATGCCGAGCGCTTCACCCAACCGCACCGTCCCTCCCCGACACAACCTCAACCCTCGCCGTCGGATGTGCTCGCATTCCTTCATGAAGCCTGTATCTCAGCAGCTGCTGCACCCCAGCATTGCTAAGGAGTCCTTGCTTTGAAGAATGAGTCTGGTATGCTCGCCACTGGGCATTGTTCTGCAAGCTGGCTTATCTTCAGCACGATTAAAGACTGCAGCTGCGTATGGAGATTGCAGCGCGTTGCCGCCGGCTTTTATGACATTCTCACTTGGTACGACTAGTGCTGGAGGTTTTGAGTTCGTAAACAGGCAAGAAGCCGGAGACGTGAGACAGCGTCGGTCCCACGCACTTCTCGGAGCCGGTTCATTCGGACCGGCGCTTTTAACCTGACCTTCAAGTCCGCCAGATCACACGCGACATTACGTACGCTTGAGAGGGCAGGTTCCGAATCACGCACTGTATCGGCTCCTTGTGCCGTGTCTTGCGGGTAAGAACCAGCCGAAGGCTCACCTACGATGAGCTAGCTGGCATTATAGGACATCCCACAGGTCGATCACAAGTAGCACGCCAACCGGCTCGGACGACATCCCGCATCTATCTATTGCCGACCCCGACTGCGTTTCAGGAACTGCATAGCTCGCTTGGCATGGTAGTGTAGCAACTGTGCGCTCAGCTGTACCTCTTAGTCCGCCTGCAGGAAGAAGCTTGCCGTTTCCCAGCTTGAGGACCTTGCCATACTCGTCCTGCTTCTTCACGCAGTACTCAGACTGCTTTGACCATGGTGCTGACTCGGTCGGCTACGGACTTCCCCTCTCACATCTCAGAACACATTGTCCAACGCTTTAAAAGGCCAGAGCACGAAGCGGGCACCGCCCCAAAGAAGGTAAGGGATACCGCCATATACTTGAACTTTGCAAGGTGGTCCATCCTCATCCTCCTCCTGCTCCACTCCCTTCGTCCATCTGGCCAGGTGTAGTGCGTGCAGCAAGCTCTTACCGAGATAACAGCCCCGGTGCTGGCTCTATACATAGCGCTAGTCGATAAGGATTTGTCGATCTTCGGTCGTCGTATCTGGTACGACTCTTGCTAGGACTGCTGAGTTCGGGTTACCAGAAACGCTAATGTCGAATGTCAGGTCCAACTAGGAAGCCTTCATCCTCTACTACTGCCTCGAGTCCAAGCAGAATCTTATGCATGAGGTTGAGCCTAGCGGGCGGAGGGGGCTGGTCTGGCCAGCCAGTCTTTCTCGTCGGCTGGGTCTCGCTGCTCATGTCCCTATACCAAGGCAGCCAAGGGCTCGATCTGTTCCTGCTTAACACGACCTTTCCGGGCGAGCAACATTCGAAAAAGGTCGGGCATGCATCTGCTGTTTGCGCAACTTGCACGCACTTTCTCATTTTGCCGAGATCTGGGACTTGTATAGAAACCCATTCGACATGCGCAGTTGGAGTGTATCCCCTTTTAAGGCGTGGCTGCTGTAGCTTTCGACGCTGCACTTGGCATATATGCATTATTAAACATTGAATGATGTCCAAACAGGAGAGCGGACCTTGACGACCGGCTTACAGCCAGGATTGTCCGGCACCGGAAGTGAATGTTCACTGGAACATGCCTCCCACTTACCCGCCAGGGCTAGCAGCACTTTGCAGAGATTTATATGACATGCTTGAAGGCTGCAGCGAGCGGCACGCTCTCTGTCGACCGCAACATGTCGTGTCAGAAGTCCGTCAACTATGAAGGCCACCATGCTGACGGCCATGAAGAGTCTTACGAAGACAAGAGTGAAAGCCTTCCTACCACGTCGTAAAGGCTCATCCTCTCTAAGTGACAACACGGAGAGTCGGGCACGTTGTCGACAGATTGACAATCCATTTCACCGCCTACAAGACCATTGAGACACATCAGACACTGGCATGAATCACGAGCCGGATTTGGGTCGTACTCAGCGAATATACGACCGGCTGACCGAGTGGCTCTTTTTGTCCTCAACCGTGCAGCATCAGATTTCAATGAGGTGGGGATGTAGGTCCCATTTACGCTGTGCGTTTGGTGATCAGGAGCCAACGTACGACTCTAAAACGTGCTTGCTGCTGTAATAGGAGGCAACGAAACAAACCCTTTACGCCCCTCACGTCTAACCATTGTGATCATGGCATTCACCGTTCTGCGCCATCAGATCTTGAGCTCATTCTGCGCTGTATGCGATTGCTTTGTTTGGGAAGCTTGTGTGCTTACAGCTGGAGAGACAAACACAGTGGACTGCAGAGCACATCCGGAAGCAAACATGATGATGTCTCACTTACAATGAAACGACCAATACCTCGACGTAAGAAAGAAGCACTCGCAAGCAGAACACGCGGTTGACTGATCACTGACGCAGAGTATAAGTAGGTCTTACGACGGGTAGAGACCTGACCACCACCTACGTAGAACCACACGCGCACAACACAAACGTTATGGCTACACCTATTGCGACTTCAAGGAGATGCCCGGAATGCACTCTACAGAAGCCTATCCAGCAATGGAGCATCCTGACCAACGGCAAGCTTGGTAAGCGGTGTAATGACTGCTACCAGGGGTGGCGAGTGCAGAATGGTTATGCTGCATCGGCTCCACCGCCTGCCCTATCTTCGCCGCCGACGCCGCCCTTACCAGTACTGGAGCAAAGGCAGCCTACACCCGGTCAGGGTCCGCGAGCCGTACAAAGACAGCCACAGAACGCCATCGTACTCTACGATCACCATCAGCAACATCTCCAGCCTGGACCGCTAGTGCCGCACGGGCAAGTCCGGCAGCAACGAACCCTCTACCACAGGATATGGACGACCATACAGAACCGTCCGAAGAATGCAGTCGCAGTCGCCGTCATAGTCATCATGCTCGCCATCTTCGCCACATCAACGCGCTGGCGTACCATAAATCCGAACCGCGCAGAGGCTGGAATGCTGACCTTGACAGTCTCTGCCCACACTACGACGGCAGCTCTGGACACAAGTGGTGTTGTTGTGACGACGTGGGAGAGCACCACGGTCGTGCCGAGATACGATCTGTAACGGAAAGGCCAGAGGCATTCATGCAGCGGGAGGTGGTGCATGCGAAGGTCGCTAAATAGGCGTTTGGGCTGAGGGAGCATTCGTGGCGACTTGAGCATCAAGAAGCGCTGCGCACTTTATACCTAGTTCAAATGATCGTCTACATCTTTCCGGAGGCTTGCGTAGGATCTTCATGTTGGTATCGAAGAGCGAATTCAACGCCGGCCTTTGCCTCGCGTTTGCGGGCGTTCTTCACACCCGGTGACAGTGCTTGGCGCTGAAGCGTGTGCACGTGGCTTGCGCCATGCAACATATGGCACTCTCAATGTCGCAACCACAGTGCCGTGCGTACATCCGCTCCATACGATGATGAAGATGTTGCAGGGGTTAGATAGTTAGATTTTGTAAGCGATGCGGAGGATCCGCTGGATCGTGTGGAAGGCTCGACGCGGACGACGCACTCCCGACAGGAACATTCAGAGGACATGTGAACAGATCAGGATTGATTGGAGGGGCGTTATCACGCATGCAGCATGCGAGGTGGGATGCCCTGCGGACGCTTTGCGTACCATACAAAAATGCTCATGAATGGTGTCGCATGTACAAAACTGCTCATGAAAGGTCTCGCATTCGCTTCGTGGCAGCAATGCCAAGCTTCATCTCGGCTGTCTCTATTCGGTAATCCAGACAGAGCGGCCGACTCGGCCGCGCCAGATTCAATTCAGAATATAGCCGAGGTGAAGCCGGCATCGCAGAAACCCAACAGATGCCACAATGACACTGGAGCAGTGTTGTATCTCCAGCATGTTGGAACGAATGCAGCTTCGAGCGCTCGCGACGCACGGACTGGCCTGAATGTGATGAACCTGCCAAGCTATACTGCCGCGCGGTACAGGAAAAGGTAAGTCTGAGTGGAGTGCAGCGTTGGCGAGGTTGCACAGCGGGACCCGGAGCTATGGTTAAGCCGCTGTGAGAACCAAGCGATGTAGCACAACGTAGCAGCCAGTTGACGACGAGCTCAAGCAAGCACTGTCATAGCCGTTATCACCACATGGCATAAGCAGAAGAGGACGTAGACAACAGGAGGCTCTTCCGCCGATGGACGGTTGTGGCCATTGGAACTGTGAAGCGGCAGCAGTGTATTCCTGCGCGCCTAATCTTGAGGACAGACGGCGCCTGCGGGAAGTCGGCATGACATGGTGGGGTCGTCAAAAGCCACCTCCCATTGAGCGACATGCCTGGAGAGTAACAGGTCATTTTTGCCGCACCGGAGCGTACTCAACTGCAGTCCACTATCTCTTATTGGATACGAAAGAAGACCTAATGTAGGAGGCTGATGGCAATTGATCTAGTTTGTGCACGCGGAACCAGAGCCTTGGTAGAACAGATCAGCTCAAATTCGTCGTCTGGATCCAGCCCGCACTGAATTTCTGCAGAGATCCTAGTTGCAGTTGGGGATGAGAGACAGACCCGTGGCAAGAGGGTAGCGGAGAAGCACCCACGCGTGGTTCTCGCGCGGTAGGGTTTGGTCACATCTGGATGAGTTTACGGTATGCAGCCGCCTCTCGAAACCGGTTCGGGAGTCGGCCAACCGGTCTATGTCCACATTGCTTGCATATGATACCAGTCACTTCTGTGATCACTTTGGCCAAGGAGCGCTACGAGGTATGCCACGGATGCGATGCAGCCGCATGCGCTCTGCCAGCCTGCTTGCAATGGTGGGAATCCATATCTGTTGCGGAGACACACATGGTATGGACCCCTCGCTGTCCTGCACACTCTTTTCCCTGATGCAGGAAGTCTTTCAGACGGCGCTGTCGCGCAAGACACTGTTGCGTTTGTAAAGCATGGAGGCGCAGACGGAAGCTACGAAAATGCCCGTCGAGCTTGCTCCTGTCCAATACCAACGGCTCCGCGGTCGTCAACCCAGTAAGTACGCAAGCTTTTGCCCATACAGTTGTGGTAACGACGCTGAGAAGTGAAGCAGGGCTCATTCGCACTACCACTGGCAGATATACCTTGCTCCCGTTCCTTGGGCACGTCTCACCGCACTGGCTTATCGAGGTAGACTTCACGGATGACAGCATTGGCCGCTACCGAGACTGGGCGAACGACATGACAGGTACACCTTCTGCCTCGACATCCGATGGTATCCTTCTACCCTCTATCACCGACGACCTTCGGTTGGGAAAGCAACTCGAACATGGGAGCTATATCTCGCACCTCTGGCATACGCGACTGGCCTACAACTTCTCCGAAGATCTGGACACTACAATGCTAACCCTCCGATCTGCATATACCGTGGCTCAGCTGCTCGACCTCTTTTCTCGGTACCCGTCGTCCTTTCCATCTGAGTACATTGACGCCATTCTGCAGTGGGTTGCAAGGCGCGAAGTATTCGGTATCCCAACGATCTCGCCTTTGCAGCGCTACCTGTCGAGCGAGCTCCGATCGTGGCTGTCTGTATCAGTCCAACCGTATGTTGTGGTGGCCGAAGTCGCTCTACGCTTTGCGGAGCTTCAGCTGTCCGATTCGGAGGATGAAGCTTGATGCAACACCGGAAGCCTAGTGTACGTCAAGCGAAACGCCAGCGGGAAGAAGGCGGGTCCATACTTGGGTCTGCTCAGGTCGCTATAGCTCGATGCCGGTCGTAGCACCGAGGCAGTATTGGTAGACTGTGTATCGGTGGCACTTTGGACCCCACTTCGAGTTAGTGGTTATCCGCCAGTGCGTGCCTCGCCACTGACAGCGACAAGCCAGGTTCACAGTGCAATGTACGCCTTCGGCGCTGACTCGCGCCCGTTTTCGCATCACAATGACTTTTTGGGTTGGCGAGCGCAAGCCACGTCCTATGCAAATGAATTCAACAACGACGACAGATGCAGAGGGTGTAAGCAGGAAACCTCTGCTTCCGGACCTACGTACTCGAGCTACTGCTTCTGTTGAATACTCCGGCCGCATGCAAGTAGCGGTGTCGGTCCTGCTCGTTGATTCTATGCCTTCCGCGCCTCCTACAAACGATTAGAACCTCCGACCTGTTTAGCTTCGGAACGAGCTTGTCTCGAAGTGCCCCTCCAGCCATCTGGTTGTCCTGTCGAGACCGGGAGTCGGTCGAATGAGGAGGCAGGGCAGAGCCAGAGCGCCGACACAGTAGACACATCTTGAAGCCGGCTGGTGGAGAGGAGAGGCGTAGGATGGCTAACCACAATCATCTGTAAGAGAGGTGGCCAGACGTCCGCTGAGAATTGGCTGCCGGTAAGTAAGAGTACGCCGGTCTTCCAGTTGTTGTTATAACGTCTATGGAGCAGCCATGGTCAAGATTAAAGTCTACGAGCGTACGCGAACGAGCACCTGTACAAGCGACGAATGACAAATGCGTTTGAGGAGGGCTACTGAAATTGGGGATGGCTGGCATACTGTATTGCCTGCAAATGCTTGCCGACGGCGACTTGGAAGTATGCAGGCAAGAAACTGGGTGACCCGGACTTATGGTGATGAAGAGCATGAGCCCGGAGGGTGGGGGTGTGTGTGGAAATGTCGCTGGTGGGTGGAGGGAGTGGTGAAGGGCAACAGGCAGTGAGGACATTGAGATCGATCGATTGACGAGGCTTTTGCATGAAGCATGTTTGCTACTTCCACGACCGAACATTACGATAAAATGCTAGTAAGACAGACGTGTGGATTGTGTACGCAACGGTCACTTCCTAGCAGTCACGTGAACACGCGCTTGCTTCTGCGCATGACGCCACACAAAGCTTGCATGTCGTTTGCTTGGCTGGCGTCGAGGAAGCCACCGCGTGCACCTCAGGCCATGTCGAAGGCTCAAGAATGTCAACAACCATTGGAGCAGCACATATCATCAAAACTAGAGGAGGACTCCATAGCACCGATCATAAGGCGCTGCCTTGTTGTTGCGCGTGCCAATGACTCCGTTGACGAACTATACCTACGATACCCGACATTGCTCACCGGGAGGTGCCAACCCCGAAGATATGTGTTCCGCACGTCCGCGAACATACGATTCAGGTCACAGCACTAAGCTGGAGGGATGACATGAACAAAGACTTGCAGGTCTGCCATTCTGAGCTTCGCTCAATTGCCTACTGTGGGCCATCGACTGGATCAGATGTTTGCAGCCACTCCCGTATGAATGGCACCACTCTAATGAAGTGCCCGCTACGGAGCGCTTCAGGCCGCATAAGAGACAGAAAGGGCCGAACACCTAGTCTGTGGAACCAACACCGGAGACGCTCGCCAAAGCTGCTCGTGGCAGCTAGGGCTTCGCTGAAGCACCCTGTCCTATTGCATGCACCCAGCGATCGCAATGCATTAAGGCTTGCCACGATCCCGCTGGGCTAGAACAACATTCCCTTTATCAGGCCGTTGACGTGTCCATTAGGATGTCGACAAGTAAACGTTGTTTGGGTTCAAGGCTTGATTCCCACAGACTGGACAGCTAGTTGATCGTGGCCGACAATTCTGGGCTAACGCCGCTGCACAGTCACGAGCACAGTGGGATGACGACGGTCTACGGGTGCGCTCTTTGGCATGTACCAGTCGCAGCTCATCTTCGCATCCGCATAGTGACCACCTTCAATCAACAGTTGCTGAGGTGGGCAGACAGTGGCGTGAGAGGCCATGACTGTTACCGGTTTCTCGCCCTTCGACATTGGAGACCTGCGTTCACGCACTGAAGCCGCAGAGACTTTAGCATTCAAACAAGTACGACGAGCGTATGAACAAGATTAACCGCGGACTGCCCACGGTCTCTTTATTAGGAGATCCAATTGCAGATACAGCGAGGCTGCTTCTTGTGCCGCGCCCACGAATCAACGTGCATACAAGACGAGCAGTTTATGACGCACCAGCTCAAGCGCTTGCACTCCGTGTCTTTGAATAGGGTTCGCCAACAGTACATCATTTACAACCCGAACGATCAACCTCCACACTACGCCAACTTGCCCATCCCGGAGGGAGCCCCGCATTCAGGTCACATTCCTACTCGCGTCAAGTGGAACAAATTTGTGCGATGCTGCACGTTGAAGTTGTCGCTTGAGGTCAATCAAGCTCCTAGTCGCCGGAGCGCAAACATACTGGCTTGTTGTTCCACTTCAGCACAGAGCACTGCTTGATACACTCATTGTGCAGAAGCTTGCGTTATCAGCGTTCAGCACGCCCTGCTTTCAAGTGGGGTCGTGTAGTGCTCGCATCACCAACTCTGCCAAGCCAAAGGCCATGGCTCGTCAGCCAAATGATGGACACAGCCTGTCCTCGCAATCAAAGTAGCTGCCACTCCAGTCACATTTTTAACGGAGCCCACTGCGGTAGTAGAGGATCCCGATCGCAGGCTCACGGCACGAGGAGCCCAAGGGCAAGAATGGTCCATATGGAGTGGACGATCATTTAGAGCAACTTCTGCGTATCAGGAAGTCGGCGGTCTAGCCGATTGGGATTGAACCATTGCTGCTCAGGGTATATGCACTCTTCAATGAGCTTCGGATTTACGTTGTTACTGACTGTATGACAGGCAATCACAGCAAGCCGCAAGGCCCCGCTACTTTTGCTCTGCGAGAGATCGGACACGACTTCTCGAGCATAAGATGAAGTTCAGAGTCCAGCTTCCACCATAGAGTAAGGCCGGCAACCGGGCTTTTGATTACAGTTGCCAGACTTTGAGAAGGCCAACATGCGAAAGACGACATCTCTAGTCCCTTTTGCGACCCGGCCTTGGCGCGAACCATTCACTCAATTAAGGTTCAGGCTGCTTCGAGCGACGGACGAGAGAACCCAAGAGGAAGGATAAGAAGAAGCAGAAGAGTTTCGCGGCTGTATTTAGCCCCTACCACTTGGACGCAGAGTAGCGTGGTTGACCTGTCAAGCCCTTCCACAGTATGACCCGGCAATAGCTACCACTCGACGAACGATAGTCTCACCAGCAGCATCAGCTACAAGTGCGCCGCACATCGTCGGTGGCCCCAACGGGTCGGCCACATATCCTCCTTTCTCTCGAACTGTCTCCTTGCTGAACAAAGCCCGCAGCAGTAGCTACGCCTTCGTACACACCATCGCAAGCCACTTGCACCCGTCCTGCCAACGACTTGGGCTTAAACTCAAGGCGTCGAACATCAATCACCTACCAGCCAGTCTAGCGTACCGCATAGGACCACTGTAACTTGAGCCGTCCACGGCGTCATGGACCGAGCCGAGACAGCTGATGCACGCACCGAACCGGCCGGACCGGCAATGATGGAATTCGCATCTGCCCTTTTTAACATGTAAACGAGCACTCCGCCGCTATGGCATGCTGATAAAGGCGGAATCTCAGGGTACAACCATTCCGGAGACGGAGACCGGTCCGGCGGAAATGGAAGGCTGTAGAGGCTCGTGGTCTAGGTCTGCAATCCGTTGTCCGCCACCGCCGCCGTTCCTATCGCCACCATCTGGATCAAGCCGGAGCAGGCCGGAGCCGGGGCGGACGACTGGCCGGGCAAGACTGGTAGTATAACTCTACGCCTCGGGTGGACACTCGCACCAAAACACTCCGAGAAGTAGCTGGACCGGCCATCTATAGCGGTGCTGGCCTCCGGTTCCTACTGGGCGCAGCTGTTCGCGAGCAAGCGGGCCATCTACCCTGATAGTATCTTCGTTCAACCATTTCCACGCTACACAAGAGCTACGCTGCCGCTTCTTGCCAGACACCATTAGAGCTTTACCTAGTCTTGGCGCCGTGCACTACTGCAAAGGCAGTCCTGCGCAATAACGTATCGAAATCACAGCTTCCGCCCGGTCATGTAAGTCATTCTCACACTACGCCTGACCAAAGCATCCAAGCGAGACACAACTGACAATGCCGGCCAAGAAACACAACGCCGACTGTCATCCAGTCCTTCTTCACCGATCTCTCCGCAAGCAGCATCGCCCAACTGCGTCCCGCCGACTTCGCTACTCTGTTCATCTAGCTTGGCTGGGATGTTGGAGAAGGAAAAGTAGAGATGGAGCGCACCGTTGAGAACACGCTGGCGTGGGTGACGGAAGAATATCACTTTCCCGGGGGAGATGGAGGAAAGGTTCGGTGTAACGGCGCTTGTCCAAGGGGGTCTTGGCTGAGCTGCAGGAGGGCAGCAGTGGAGATGATGGGGTTGTAGAAATAGAGGTAGGCTGACAGGAGGAGCGTGGCGCTCCCCACGGTACGTGGCCTGCTGCTTTCGTTCATGCCAAAGCATCTTCTTGCACTCGCGCTGCGGCGCATCAGGCGGCAGAGATCTGCAACTCGACGTCTTCAGTTTCTGCTCCGGCTCCGGCGGAGAAGGGAAAGAAGCACTCCACCGCTACCTTCACCCGTCCGCCTGCAACTGCAAGCGAGAAGCGCTTAACTACTACCTTTACCTGTCCGTCTGCGACTGCGACTGCGACTGCGATTGCGACTAACGACCTCGCCAACGCGCATACCACCATCCTTAACGTCGAGGCCGATTGGTGCGAGAGGTCTGGGTACGTGAATGTGCCAGCATTGGTGGGTGTCGGCAACGGACTGGAGTGCGAGAGGTCTGCGGCGTTGGTGATAGAGGTGGATGTGCGGAAGCTGCCGGGCAAGTCCAACTCCGATGTCTCGACGGACATTGCCGGACGCTGAGGCGGATGCTTAGTCGGCTGCTGGCTGGAGGGTGGGTGGATGGTTTTTGACTTTGGCGAATCTGCGCGTCCATTCGTTGATGGTGCTGGTGCTGGTAGGAGATTGGGCAGCTGCTGGCTGGTGGTTGAGTGGATATTGTTAAGCATCGGCGGATCTGCGCGTTGATCAGTAACGCTCATCTCCTCCGTTGGCTTGGAACATGGTGGTGCTGGTGCTGGTGTGTCCTTCGGCAGGTGCTGGCCTGGGAGTACCTCAGCCTTCTATTGCGTAGTGCCAGTGTCCATACTCTGGGACTCGGCGGTATCGTGCTTAACAAGGATGCGTTCACTGTCCGGTGCTCTCGCTGCCTACAGTAAACTTCTTGTGCTTCCTCAGACTTTCGCGATTGTTCGACGGCTTCACTCCGTACCGAAAGTTCTAGCGATCTTCAAAGACATCCTCTCGTATAGGCAGTGGTGTGCCTGCTCGCTTGCGTTTCCGGCTAGTCCTTGTCGTCTCCACCGTGGATGGACTGTCGCTGCGATGGAAAAAGCGTTGTTGAGGTACGGTACTATTGTCTCGGCAGATTGCATCGTGATGCAGATGGTCATGTGGCAAAGCGGACTCAGTGGATAGAGCTAGCTGTATATAAGTTGCCAAAGAGACTAGCCGAGTCAAAGACCGGTCTGTAGGTCGACAAGCACGCTGCTACTACGGACCGGGCCAAACCGGCCAAATGCATGTTGCAGGAAGACGAGAAGTCGCAGCATGCTGCCGCAATGCGAAGACCTGGGGTGGAAGCGTGGTCGGGCGAGCTTTCACCAGCAGGATGGACTGTCGAGGTGTTGGTGCGAGCGGCTACATTGGCGCCCACATGGCCGTGGACATGTACTTACCTTCAGGCTAAGATAGTCCTCTTTATAAGCGAACATGGTAGGTACGTTGACATTGGCTCAAGTGTACTGTGATTGATTACTATGAAGACGAGAGGTAGTCTGGCCAATGTGCCTTAGACTCAACCAATAACATTTTTATGTTTGCCCGAGATACGGGCTCGGTCAATGACATTTCGACTTGTGCCTATTGTTCTAGCCATTCGTCCAATGACACCCCGCCTTGAAGATTGTGCCTGGAATCCGGGCCATCCGGCCCAAACTCGGGGCTCAGCCCTACCAACCGGGTGCAGCTTTGGCTGCTACCCGCCCAGAGGAAGTCTTGCTATTCTCTTTGAGCAGTACAGTGCTTTCGACCAGGATAGCTGTTGATAAAGGTCTATGTCGCGTCATTGCAGGCGGGCTCAAACATGAATAGGTTGAGGTAATCGGGCGAGCGGCTACATGCAAGCGGAGATGGACGAGAAGAAGCAGAAAGCGGACGCTCTCGCGTCTGCAGGTCGCAAGCAGCGCACGTCGATGAAGGATGCGTCCTGAGCGACTTCCTGACTTACATCACGACGAGTAAGGCATAATGATTCGTTCGGATCGACGAGCATGCTTTGCCTTTTCCCTATGCCACTCGAAAAGCATACGTACCTTTCTACGGTCGGCTGTCTGGCGGCAGCATAATCACTCTATCATCTCTCATCATATTGGTGGAACCTTGATCGATGTTCGAATACTCTGAATGCTACATCGCTACCAAAGCAAGCCTCTGCCAAGTGCTGGCTACTGACGAGACACCTCCTTTGCCCGTCTCGCAACCCGGAATCGCTGTTTCCGTCTGCGATTCCGTACCAGATGTCGCTACAGATCATACGTGGCTTCCGTGTCTCTCTTTCTGTTTTAATACTATGATGTCACCAGCTTGCTATCCTTCACTGCTGCCGTTCATCGGGTTGGTGTACACTTCCTCCTCCACGAGCGATGGCCACTGCCACTAGTCTGCCCATCCCGCCGCATTTTCGCCGCCATCACCAGGCACATGCATGATGTTGTCGATGATTATGCCATCAGCTTGACCGGTTGCATTGCTTGATGGATGCTGCCAATCGGCTGGCTCAGGCGCATGTGTAAAGTTCTGAGCCTCAGCCAAGCAGAACTCGTCCTCGTGTGCAGCGTCGGATAAGCCGTCTAGTACTTCACAACCATTCTGGGCAACACCGTACACGCTGCTGCTCGCGTCGTTCCCCTTCTAGCGTACTTTCCATGCGCCGGTAATATATTGGGCTTCATCATCGCCCCAAGCATAGGTGCTATTGACAGGGCCAGTCACATCACTGATCGAGCCGCTGCTGTTGGAGTTCTCAGCAAGGCGCGCAGCGGCTACGAATTCATCGAGTTGACCCTTCCCCACACTCTGGGTTTCACCCGCAGCATCCTGGAAGCCGGGCACAAGCACAAGCTCGGGAAGTCCCGCATCATCCTCGGCGGCGGGCGCAGCTTGCATTGTCCGCCATAACCCGCGACACTACGTTTTCCCTTACACTAGCCAGCATAATAGTGCTTGCGCTCAACGCTAGATGCCTGGAAACAGGATTGCACACGTAGATGGCAATGGTATCTGTCCTGATTCGACGAAGATTGAAATGAGGGGAAGGAGCGGAATGAAAGCAGCACAACACCAAAACAGCAGACAAGTGAAAGATGCGATAAGCAGTGCGAGCGGATCGCCTCCCTGTTAGCCCAAAACTCGCGGTCCACGACTCGTGATACCCACCCTCGCCATCACGGACGGTCCAGATGGCCGCCCGGGAGGAGGTGCAGGTGTATGCGTGGCTGATGTAGAGTGTTAGTAGCATGTTTGCTTGTTGCTTCCAGGTGGCTTGGTCGGCGTATGTGAGTTGGAATAGGCTGGGAGGGGTGGAGGATCGGTAGTCCGGTTTGCTGGATGGTGGCAATAGTAGTCGGTAGTTCGTTCGATTGGAGAGTAGAGTAGAGTCGGGTAGAGGGTGGAGTTAGCAGGCGGGTGTTGAAGATTGGTGTGATGGTTGGGCAGGTAGATCCTGTGGGTCGGACGGTTAGTTTGGGCTACTTGGGTTTATCGAGCTTTCGTAGGCGCCATGCCGTATCAGTAGTACATGCACTTGTCTCGTACATCCAGCTTTGAACTGCTCAGCGTGTCGATGCCGTGGAGGTGAGGAGAAGATGGAGATGCGAATGATTGTGCAGGGGGCATCGTGCGCCTTACCTCTTTGCTCCGGAGGTGAAGCTACCGCAGTTATACCGCGTCTGCAACGTCGCGAAACCGATGGCGTACGGCACAGCAGACAGACACCCGTATGCTTCTGCGTGGTCGCTGCTGTCGTGGTTAAATCTGGGATCTGTGATGGAGGATGTTGAAGAAGATGTGTTCGTAGACATCTGACTGAATGATATGAGAAGCGCTAAGCGAGCGAGGCCAGGTCTTATGACGATGGCGGACATGGATACAGAACAAAGCGAAGAAGACGGAGAATGACGATGAGGTGCACATACGGCAGTAGAAGAGAAGACGAGCGGTGCCGGTGCACCTCGGAAGGGAAGTGTTCCAGCTCAGGAAGGATAGATGCGAACTTGTCTGCCTGTACTGCCAGCTTTGTAGGAAAACTTCATTCGGAATTTGCGTGGTGGCCCAGCGGAAGTCTTGCTGGGCTTGCGAGCAGGTGCTCCTCCTGTCTCACACAACGTCGACGCATCGTCACCGAAACTGAGAGCTCAGTCTTAGACATAGTTTGATGTCGCCGAAACGCACGCATATAAGATTGACCGTAGCTAGACTGGGCGTTCCGGGCCATGTCTCTGCGGCGCTGGGAGGAAGGCGCCGCTAGTCAGACACCGGAGACGAATGGGCGGGAAGGTGTGAGCGGGAATATGCATGAAGCGGTGATGCTCCTGTCTCGAGCATTCGCGTATCGCTCGTTGGTTTGTTGGAGGAGTCGAAGCGAAGTTTGTAGGATGTGATGCTGGTGCAGACACTGGATGTTGTGTCGTTTATGCAAGCCTGCTTTCCTCATTTCGCCATGCATCAACATCGCTGTCTGGGCGACAGGGATGATGCAGTAGCGGATTGTGGGGTACGTATACAACACGACCACCATATATTGAAGTTGTATTGCTGTCTTATTCGCCGCATAAAAGTTCTTCCACGGAGGAGGAGAAGAAAAGGGGAAACGACACCATCTCTTCCTCTCCTCATGCGGTTCGAGACATACAAGATGAGGTGCCCACGCTAGGATGAGTAGCCAGAGAGACATGATGGTTGCGCTACAGAATGGTCCTGCACCGAAACCGGAAGCGGATGGATGAGGTGATGTGCTTGGGTAAGATGATGCATATGACTTGGAGAATGTGGATTGGGAAGATGAAATGGATTGAATGAGTAAAGGGTACATGTCCATCATCTGGCACATCATTTCCCGTCTCCCATTCCCGGCACCCGCCACCTACAGCGTTAACAAGATGCTCTCCATCCTCAGTGTTTAACTAACCGGCACCGCTCACGGGGTCGTGACGGACTCGTACGGCGGAACATAGATGATCGACGACGAGATGGCGTTTAAATAACGCAGATGTGCGTCTACGTATCTTATCCTCGCCCTCTTATTCGTCTTGTGCAGTCGAAGTGGAAACTGACTAGCGTCGCCATATCGCCAATCTCAAGCCTACCTTCGCGACCTTTTCCTCAGCATCGCTCCCGCCCTCCCTATCCTCCCGCCCTCTCCCACACCACCTTCCACCACCACACTGCATCCTGCCGTATGGTCGGGCAAGAGCAGCAGCAGCAGCAGCAGCAGCACCACCACCATGGAAGCCTTCCTCTCGACTATGCCCTCTTCGCCACGTTCGACGCCTTGTCCAATACACACGTCTACGTCTACGTCTACAGCCACAATTCCCGACCCAAGCACACCAAATACTCCTCCCACTCCTTCCCCAACCTCCACAACAGCCTCAACCCGCACCCGCACCCGTAATAACAGCCCCACCTGCGCCTGCGCCTGCGCCTCTCACCCTCGCCACAACAACTACCCACCACCCACCCGCCGCCGCAGCCGTCAGCTTCCCACCATCCATATCTCTTCCGGAAAGTGCCCGTTGTTCGCTCCGGAAACGCCCGTCGCTTCGGTCATCGTTCCAATCCAGAGGGCGTAGTATCGCGCTGCTCCCGCTACCGCTGTCTTCAGCTCGATTAACAATAGCTCTGTCTGTCATCCCCTCCAATCCGGCCATGGAAAGAGCCGGCCGGTCACTTAGGCTCCTTCTGGCTCCGGCGACAAGGGTCTACCTGTCTATGTGGGTCATAGCACAGTCTTATGGCCCAAACAATAGCAGGCTCATCGATCAATCGATGCGGTGGGTGTGCCTGTTTTGTCAGGGGTGTGGGTCGGGATGCTCGGGGCGGAGCGGTTAGGTAGGGGTGGGAGCGTGGGTCTTGTGTCGTGTTGCTCGTTGTCTCCGCATCCCTCTTCCTCCTCCTCAAACGAGGCGTACTAGGTGGCGGTCGCGATTGCTTGGAGAGGAGTGGTCGGCGTGCATTCTTCCACCTGTACTTCCATCTACGTTTACGTCTATGTCTTGCATGGCATCATGAGCGTAGGCGCAGAATAGCAAGACAGGTGCCTTCATGCCTTTATTGTGCGCTCGGGAGAACGAGCAGTTACGCGCACAAGGTCCTGGCGTGGACGGAAGATGTTCGGGTTGAAGGTGTGTCAGAGCGCAATCGAGGCTGGCAACACCATCGATAACTGGAAATAGGGTGTTCTGTCGGAGGATAAGTGCCCTCCGAGCATAAGCGCCCTCGCCAGCGAATTCCGCTTCGTGGTAAGCTCGCAACATCCCTTGATCGAGCCGGCCATTCAACGCGGCAACACTGTTTTCTTCCGACTTCCGCACCAAGAGCAATGCGAGATCGACATCGAGCTTGCGGCTCGCACACGCCCCAACCGGCGCACGCTTTCTGGATTCCTTGGAACTCCTCGGCAGGCCCCGGCCGCAGTGTGCGCTTAATGAAACCGATTCGACAAGCAATTGTACGCACGCATTCGGCTCGATCGCTGAATCATTCGAAAGCGCGAATGCCGCTGCAGCAAGCCGTCCTGCCCAAGCGAATGTACGTCGCTTCGATCGATGACCGCTCGGGACTAACTCTTCTCTTGTTCCTCTCCCGTTTACACGAGGCGTGTCAGTCAATCCGGATAGGATAGGAAAGGGCGGCGTAATAGACACGATGTTGATGAAATGAGACTATGAGCCTTCCTGCTGCGTTCTTCGCGTTTGTCAAACGATGCTCGAGTGTTAGCTGGGTGAGGGTATACATTGAGAGGCCGGTGATCATGACGGCTATGCTGTGCTGAGTTCCGTTGAGCGGGAAGCGCTGCGGCAGCAGAGCTGGGTGGCTACTATTTGCAGCTTGGAAGGCAGTGTCAGGCCTGCTTAGCGCCGTACTTCTGGTCCGTCATGCAGCATCTATCCTTCAAACTCCTAGCACCGCCTCTCTGCGCCGTTTTCACTGGACCCGGGCTTGACGGAGGCCGCCATAGGCGACCAGAGCAGGATCAGCAACTCGTGGTGACAGCTTGCGGATGACCACAATGGTGGGCTGATACGTGCGAGAAGCGAGCTCTTCGGGGACGATCTCGCGGAGCCATCACTCCTTATCCGCAGGGGAGTGGCGCTGTTAAGAAATGTAGACCGTGCTACCTTCGTTAACTACTATGCAAGGAAGAACGGGATTCATCGCTGTCCCCACATCGGGAGTGCTAATTGCCTTGAGGACGGCGTACTTCAAAGCACCTGCAGGACCTCGGGTCTATCTCACCTCGGACTTTGACCATGCAGGCGAGATGCTATCACAACTCTCAGCCCTCTCGGAAAATGTTAAATTTGCCATCACACGTCCTTCTCCAATTAGGCTATGCGCGGCCTATCGTTGTCTCTGGGGGTAGGCGAGATCAATGCCAATAACTTGGCCACGCTTGTATAGTGCAGCTGTATCAACGCCACTGCGAGCGTTACTAAGCGCTGAGTGCACAGATACAAACATCCGCAGAGGGTGGGACAATGGCCAGTCGTGGTAGTGAGTTGGCCGCACTTCAGGAGCCGGATACGAGGTCTGCCAACTGGTCCACTAACTCACTGCAGCACCGGTGGCGTTATCTTAGCTCGGCGACCCGTTCGCTCGTCTGCCATCCGCTAGAAAGAAGACTAGCAACCAGAAAATCAGGCAAGGCACGTCAACTGGTGCGATGTGGTCGCTCTCCGAGTTGCATGCTATGGACTCATAGCGCCTCTGACACTGCCTAGTATGATCCCACAAGAGGTGCAAGTTCACCTAGCGTTCCTTCATCGCGCGTGAGGCAGGCTTTCTATTATTCGTCAGTAACGGTTAGGACGGTTGTCATACCAAATACACGACTCAGTATAGGGAGCGGGCTCACCGTTGAAGAGCCGCGAAACACTACAACCCACAAACTCTACGTCACCATCCCCGATTTTGGCTAGGCTGCCGAAACGACGGCTTTGTAAATGGCAGTAACAGTGTTCAGATCATTGGGCAGCGGCGGATCGCTCTTCATCTTCGGTAACTCGCTGACGAGAAAAACGTGAGACCAGAAAGGGAAGCTTCACGTGTCGCAGGCTGCTTGATGATGTGCTGGAAAGCAGTAGAGTAGTCAGAAATATCTTGTTGTCTGAGGTGCGGAATATTGTTCGGTCGTGCACCCTCTTTCTGGAATTGGTGGTTGGGAAGCTCGCCACTACCCTTGCAGTAGGCTGCCGGACCCGGAACGAGCGCAACGTAGCCGCAGCTGTTGCTTGCCGTATACGACGGCTTCGCGAACTTAGACTCCACGATGGAGTCCACGTCCGTCGGCTTCGCGTACTGAGATCCCACGCCAGAGTCCACATCTATCTCCTCTTGGTCCGCCCGGGTCAAAGCTGGTCTATACTCAGATGCTGTCCACCCAACACTGGCCGCCTCATCGTTACAGTCCACGATACCCTTCCAAAAAGTCACTGCTGCTGCTCCTTTACACGCCTCCACGTCGTTTCATCACGGAGCGTTCCGGTCAAGCGGACACGGAGATCGCTGACGTGACTCAGGATCTGCACCCCCCGGACGTCCACCCCGAAGACATCGCCATCGGCGCGCAGTAACAGGCGAGGCGGAGGAGGCTTCGAGCTTCAGTTATGTATACTTGGCAAGCGGGCCACTACAGACTCTCCTGTAGCCGCAGTCTCAGATGGCAGGGCATGACGGATAGCGTCCAGTCAGTCTCCTCCGTCGAGCTGGCGTTGTGTCGAAGGCTGAAAGGTGCCTTGTCGAAGCCTAGAAAGTGCTGTGTCCTACCAAGCCACATAGTAGCTAAACTTTGGGCGTGAGGTGACAAGACCAAGACGCAAGAACTGGTCCATCAGGATCACCCGAGGCGGCGTGGCACACACACACGCAGCACGCTCACTGGAGGAAAGAGCGCCACGAAGTGAATAACAAATGCCGTTAAAGCTGAGTCCCCTAGGTATTGTTGCTCACTCTGAAAGCTGTCGAAAGTTTAGTCGGGAGGAAGTCCACTGCTTGCCGACTCGCTCGAGTCTCCACACGTGATAGCTGACTTTACAGCTAACTTCCTGCCCTTCGCACCGTACAGTAATAGTCAATATAAATATAGGTTAAATAATGCAAGGTTAAATAAAGCAAGGCTCTCCACCCGATTGCTATGTTGGAACCACTACGTCGAGCACTTGTTCACAGCTCAGATGCCACTGCTCCTCTCGCTTCCTCGAGTACTTCAGAAGCGCAGACTTTGTCTGCGAAAGCCGCTCGAGCGTCTTTTGCAGTTGCTGCTCCACTCGCTGCAGATGCACGCGCAGGCCTGTCTTGAAGCGGTACGCGGCAGCCACGTCCTGGTGACGCTGAAGATTAGGTCCCGCCTTCGCTTGAAGCTTCACGAGGTCGTTTGCTACTTCCTCGGAGACGCCGCAGAAACGTCGATGGCAATCCTGGAGAGCTTCGAAGGCTCTCGCGTGTTTCTCCAGATCGCTGGTTATCCGTGCTATCTCGTTTCCGGCGTGGTGTGCCAGCATCTGTGAAGCAGATTGCCAGAAGTGTCGCTGGTTTCTGACCTGGCGTATCTGTGTGGCCAGCGTGCTCTGTACGTTAGCAAAGTCATGATCATTCTCGATCTGGACCGATTGCGCCGCTGTTGGCTGGTCGACAGGGTTGCTTGCGTGATGCTCGGTTAAGAGAGGTCGAAAGCCGGCAGCTAGCAGTTCTCGCCAGGCTGCCGGTTCAAGCATAGTGCAAGGCTCTGCTGTGTACATAAGGTACAATGTGTTGATGACACCGTACAAGCCGCAATTGTAGGCGTCGCGCTGCTGCAACAGAGTCTACCCAAGATTAGTGCACAGAGCACCCAACAGTGCTTGCAATAGCTTACATTTCTACGCAGCTTCTTCCAACTCTTGATTGGAGTCGTAATGTCAGCGTGATCAGTACCGGTTATGTATCTGCACATGCATCCGATGAAGGCGTCGACTACTCTCTCCGCCTTGGCATAAGTCTCTGCGTCCTGTGTTGGCTCGTAGACGTCATACTCTTCGAGCTCTAGGTCCAAGACTGCCATGACCCAGTGCAATGCCTTCGCGAAGTACACAGGCAGGACAATGTATCGATGTGATTCCTGGACGCCCCGATACTTCCCAGTCTGGTGGCGGTCGAGGAGTTCGAATGTGTAGGCACCGGGTTCCACGATGTGCCACAGTTGAGGGTTGGGGTTGAGAAAGCGTAGCGTGACGTCTATCAGCGCGTTGTTGAAATAGCCATCGAAATCCTTGGCGTGGAGGCGGTCCACAGCGTCCCTTACGTCCTGCATGGTGAGCCATGATGTCACCACGACGTCGTCGCCGCCGCCTCCTGGTTGAGGTGCTGCATCGTCAAGAGCTTCGTTCGGTCTGGATTGGGTGGCTGATGTTTCCGAGGCCACAACATTCGTCACAGAGTGTGTACGATGTTCTGGTGCTATTGCATCGAGGCATCCGACAGCGTTCGTTGCGTTCAGCCATGATGTGACCTCGACGTCGTTGCCGTCAACGGCTCGCTTAGATGTTGCAGTGATCAGAGCTCCATCTGGTCGGGCTTGAGTGGCGGGTGCTTTGGGAGCCACAACATCGGTCACAGAGTCTTTACGAGGCTCTGGTGCGCTTCCAGTGTCCTTGTCAACGCCGTCGTCACCAGCCCTCGCGACAGGAGCACTGCGATCTCGGCTTGTGCCGACCGACGTCACGGGACGCGGCACAGCTGTAGGTTCATCATCAGTGCGGGAACGCTTGGGTTGTAGGCGGAGAATGTCATCGGACGAAGCGCGCCGCTTCCGTGCGCCCGTATTTCCAAGGTCATTTGGCCTCGTGTCTGGAACGATACTCGGTCTATCCAGGAGAGCTTTCGACGACTCAACCGGAGACGGCAGTACGGCACCTATCTGTTCAAAGCTCGCATTGTCCAGGATCCCACAATGCGACTCCAGCTCCATATCCGGTTCATCATACGAGCCGTCATCGCTGTATTCGGCCGGTGCGAACATGCCGCTCTCATCGTGGAAGTCAAATTGATGGTCGTTGCCAGGTTCTTCAACACCACGGCCTTGCTCGATGGATCTGTCGGAGGTCTCCAAATGAACCTGGTCGTCAGGTTCCGAAGGCGTGACTGTACGAGCACGTACAGGGGTAGTGTGAGCATGTGCAGATGGCCACGGCGATTGGGGTAGTGAGGCTGCTGGTCCGACGGTTGTCACTTTACCGCCTGTTGTCAACCCGCCATTCGATGCGGACAACGGCGCTGCTGACATACTCTTCGGCTTCGTGCTTTTCGCTCTCAAGCCTCTGTCCAGCCCACTAAGCTGAGCACTCAAGCGTCCTATGGTAGTGTCGGCGTCTTTGGCCGTCCACCGAGCAACGGAGTCACCATCTGTTGCGCGCTCGTTGCGGGCCGCTCGCATGATTGGGTAGACCGTGTCGAATGTGGCCACCTGCGAGAGCTTCTTGAGGCTAGCAAGGAACCGCTCGGATCTGAAGGCGTTGGTCCCAAACCTCGCGACGATTTCATGAGGCCGCAGCCAGCCCGTACGGTGAAGCCTGCTCACACTAGCAGAGACGTTTCGGCCCATGTGGTTCTTACAATACTCTATAAGCAGCCCGTCGATCGACTCAAGAGTGGCGGGAGTGAGGAGATGAAGATACCCGCTGACATCTTGATGTCGCGCTTCACTTTGCTCACAGGCCAGATTCAGCGTGATCAAAACAGACTGGATGTCGTAGGCAGTGTTTAGTTTCCGTAGAGAATCATCGAGAACGTCCCCATCATTAGCCATGTTCGAGCGTGCTGCATGGACAGGAGACGCTCGGGTACAGGAGGGCGTTGTATGTGGTCAGTCATGAACACCGGTGCTGCGTTGACTCGGAATTTGACTATTCGACCGTCGCACAGGAAGCTTCTAAGTCAGCGACGCCAGGTTCCAGGCTATTGATCATGTTGCCAGCGCTTAGAGCCACAGTTCCGTGCTTATGTTGGCTGTGCTGATCGTTTGTGGGAGCTTTGCTTGCACAGTAGTGCGGGAAAGAGCGGAGGAGTAGTGAGAGCGCGAGGCACTCTGACTATATTTACCACTTTGCGCATTGCGTAGTCCGGCTTCTTGCTATGAATTCAACTGGACAGATGACCACACATGAGGTGATCTTAAGGTGAAGGACCGGCACGTTGCAGCAGAGAGAGGGAGGTGGTGTGGCGTTGCGCGACCGAGAGCACGTGACGGGCTCTCCTTGCACGTGTCTGTGCCTGCAGACAAAGCCTGCGGAAAAGCAGACAATGTCTGATAAAAGCGGGGCGCCCCCACCAAATCAACGCCACCTTGCCGCTGCGCACGAAGTTGCAGCCCTACTACAACCTCCAATATCACTCGCGGCCTCCGCGTCTCATCTAGAACGACATATCAATGCTCCATCATCAGCAATTGGACCCTTTCACGAGGCTTTGTGGACGGGCGTTTTCCGCCGCAGCATGCTGGAGCGGGACTGTGAGACTTCCGTGCTGCTAGAACCCGTATAACCTGCTCGCAGGCGAGCTCGAGCATCGGTTATGGGCGAACAAATTCCACAGTGTATGGGACAGCGATGGATTATGGTGAGGTCAAACGCCTTCCGGCATGTTCACGAAGGTGCTGTACCGGCAGCAAAGTCTCAATCTTTGTGCTGGCCGACGTACTATGTGTGGCTATTTTAGCACCGGTTGTACTACATTCCATTCCAGCCGCGCGCTACAACTGGACTGATCTGGTCTCAATGATACATTTTCTTTCCCGCAGCCTACAATGTCGCTGATAATTAAGCTTCTCCAAGGCTTCACATTGTGGTAGCGGTAACCTCGCCTAAAAAGACTGACAGCACGTGCATGCTGTTTTATGCTGATAAGTGCGGTATGCGCGTCGCCGTGGCCGGTCTAATCATCGGACCCGGCGATGCGACAGAGCGGTCAGGACAGATCTCGCAGACAAGCATGAAGTGACTGCTGGGCTTGAAGACGAAGTGATCGGAATGTACTGACATCATCGTACTGACATCAATGTAATGCCGCCACTTCGCAGAACACATTTGCTCTCGCGAGTGACATGCCACCACAGACGCGAGCCTAACACCCAGCAAGCTGCCAGCCTCGCTCCATTAACAGCCACTCCTTACCGAAGTCCGAGCATCGAAGCACCAACCTTACTGGGGGATGGCTCCTTGTCATCCGTACCATCAATACCAGCTTCCGCTTCGGCGAGGTCCTCAACGTTGACCCCGAACGTAAGGCGCACCTCGGCAGATTCTTCTCGCTCCCAGAAGTCCTCACTACCTTCTCCGAGCCCCTCCTCCTCCTCGATTGCCTTTCAAGATCTGCCCGTCGGACACCTGCAACGTAATGCACTCTGCACACCATCTTTCTCGCGTTCGATCAGCTTTGTTGTCTGGCTCATGTTCCATGTGCTGAACCCGACCTCACCGGACTCTAGTACTGCGCCACCTTGCCATGCCTTCGCAAACCCAAACCGCATCCCGCCCTGCGCTATTCAGAACGATGTCGCTTCTCTTCTGGCCCCACTGCCGTCAACACTCCCTCAGACGCTCAAAGGCTCTTGGCTAGCGCCTCCCTCACCTCTCGTGGATCGGCTGAGTGGGTACCGCTCACAGTCTGGGCACCTGTCTAAGGCGGTCGAGCATGCGGCACAGAGAGTACAAAAGGCGCATAAGCTCCTCTAAATCAAAGATCAATATCAAGTGGCTGACCATCAATATCAAGTGGCTGACCCTGTACAACCCCTTGCGTAAATCAAGGGCTTCGGCGATGGTCTCCAATCCATCGTTAGCAAGCTGCACCTGAAACTCGAATCATGTAAGATCTGTGGTCCGCATATCCCACCTTTGCGCCGGTGGCGTCAAGCACTGACGGTGCACCCATCCCAGCATGCTGGCAAGGCTATACGTTGCCCCATATGGCGTGCTCCACACCAGTTCACCAAGGATGTCCACATTGTGTACGGAAGACTGCTTCGTACTTGGTCCGTCGGTCTTGACAGCCCTCCGAACACTCTCACCAGTCACCACTCTGACGCAAACGCCTGGCAGGAGGCTGCTAACAGCATATTCGACGAAGTCGCAAGCGCCCTCGAAATCGTTGCTCTTGAGAAAGACGCATGCGTCTTGCCTTGGGCAATTTCGCAAGCCAAGTGGTCCCACTCAAGACCGGAAAGTTACCTCACGGTCTAGACTCACTCGAGCAACACCTTTCGACCGAAGGCAGCTGACGGTGCTCTGACTGTAGTACTCGCGAGTTGTCATCGGTTCAACCGATGAGATGCCGCCTCAGGGTGTAATTTACGACAACCAGTCACCGTCTCAGTGGTTGCACTTGCACGTTTCTCAGTTACATCCTGCAGCGACAACAGAACAGAGCATCCTACCACCCCGCGCATTCCTTCGAGCTGTCCTCGATGGCAACTAGCAGATACCGGTGTTATTCCTAACACTCGCTATCTAACGTAGCGGATGCACGCGACTTGGCAGCCGGTTAACGCGCCTCTTGTGGTCCTGTATTACGGCGCGGCCGCAAGCGGGTACACAGACCATCGCGCAAGGGGACCTTGTTGATTGTGCAAGGTCGTATATGAATCGGCTCACCTTGGCCCGCGTGGAGTCGGTTACTGGCTTGCAGCCAAACGCGGTGTTGCTGTTGCATCGGCACCATGCCTTCTAACTCAGGCCCCAGGAAAGCCAGCCAAAGGCCATGGTCTCTGAGTCACCACGGCAGAGCTTCATGTCCTTTGAGAAGCCTTGACCACGCCGGGAATGGGTCAGCGCCAACCGTTGACTGGGAACTATCATGTGAAGATGCACTCTAACGAGGATTGCTCAACACACGCTTCAGCCATGGTGGCGTTGAAAACTATAGACCAGTGTACTCTTAGGCAACGAAAGTGACCTGGCCGCCCGCTGGCTATGCTCCAGCCTCATCCGCACGCCCACCCGCCAGCCAGATGTCCTTAGCAGATCGCCTTTCGGGCAGATCGCCAACGATCCTTTGGCTTTGTACAATAAGGAGCATCGTCCACGCCGCGGCTTGCTGGCGAGTCGCAGGTGCTGGGAGTAGTCGCATGCGCATAACTCCGTTGCCGCTCGGTCTCGCTTTCTGCGTCACGTGCGGCGGAAGCACGCTATTCTCCGAATGCAGTGTTCACTCGCGCGCGGCATATTCCTGAATGACCGGCAAATCCAGCGCCGCCAATGCATTGGGATATTGGCAGCATGGGCCGCCTGTGTTATGTGCACGATCTATCCTACTACACTCCATTATCGAGGCGACTCAGCGTGCCCGAACCCCGGCATGATCGACAATTTGAACCTCAATACCCTCATCCGTCGCTAGATGCCAACCTCTGCCCGGGCATTGTGCACGCCTCACGGGCGTGATGCATTCTTCCTTGCGCAAAGCGCTCGTTGTCTGCGCTGGGCCACAAGCGCTGACTGGAACGCCTTGCTAGTGTTACCCCTGCCTTTCGACAATCAAGTGCCGGCAGTTTACTGGCTCCAGTTCCTCGACGCACTCAGATACGCCTCCTCCATGCTGATCATTTCTACCCGAGCTCACGCACACTACGGCTTGCTCTTGGCGACCCGTACCGGAAGCTCGACAAATCGGCGTAGAAAGTAGCGTTCAAGGACGCCGTTGCTGCAAACGTAACCATCCGGAGCCTGCATGCAGGCCAAAGATACGAAGTTAACGCTGCTCAGTCGCCTTCTTCGGGCGTGACAAGCAACGGTGATATGCTTGCTGGCGCGTAGTACAGCCTTGAGAGGTTCGTTGTTCGCGCCACACCAAATGAGCCTGTGTGCAAGGCGATGAAGGATGTGCCGCCCTGACAGCGATAACACCGAAATGCGACATCACAGTTGAGAATTCCGTCCTGACCGCCAGTGTTATCGGCAGAATGCTTCGCCACACCGTGTGAAGCCTTGGGCTCTCCGGAAAGCCCGGGTTTGAGAGCGCAATGTCGAGCGCAGCTCCGTTTGCACTGGTCGGTGGTATTAAGACGGGCGTGTGCTTCTCCACATACTGTTCTCCAGTCTTGCGCAAGTTCGAAGGATTCATCTATGTGTACGACCGTCTCAACGGCTTACGTCTCACTAGTAGAGCAGGGAGGGCAGTGATAGCGACCTCCATGAGCCACGACCTCGACTCTAGCCCAAGTGCTGGACAGAGCGTACCCATCAGCCTGTTTTACCCGGTGACCGGGGAGGGATCGTCGTTGACATATGCTTATAACAACGATCCTTGAGAAGTACTTTCAACATTACAGCCTGCTATGAGATGCCGGCTTCTAGTTTTGAGCAGGCTAGAGCGAAGCCATTCCGCCACGGTATAATCAGTGCTGTGGCAGGTAACGGTTCTGCACAGAGACTGAAGCGGGTGGCCAATCGTCTATTAACGAAGCTGTCTCCGAAAAGAAGCATGACCCGGAGTACAGCAGTGACGTTGAAGTACTGACAGTTAGCTTGGAACCTTAAGCGCAGATGATAAGTACAGGCGGGGCTGCTATGCTCTTCGGCCGCTTCTAACCTAACGATCATGAAGTGTCCAGCCGGCTCATGAAGTAGGTCAGACAGCTTACGTCGACGAAGATGGCAATATGCGGACCAGGGACGAGCGAACCGGACTGGGACATCAAATTTGGTGCTTCACGTTGATGGGTAAAGTCAGACATGTAGAGAGGCGGTGCAAGGTCAGATTGACGCAGAAGCCCACGGTGCGCCTTTATTCCGATGTGCCAGATCTCTGGTTTGCAATCGAGGGGTTCTAGAGCTTTGGTTCATTTGAATGAGCTAGGCCTGGACAACAAAGTGCTTTGGAGTCGCTGGGGCATTTGGTGGGGCGCGAACTGGAGCACCGCTGGGGCACACTCGAAAGGGCTTGAAAACCAACGCAGCCCTGGCTGGATTCATGAAATAGGGCAATGACCACAACCGTTGATCGATGTTCCATTCTGAAGAAACGTTGAGCGTGTGTGAACAGCAACGCATCGCTTGTAGCGCCTCTACCGCACTGTTAAAAGTATAACAAAGCACAAGCTGGACCTTCTCCAGACCATCAATGATCAAAAGAGCGCAGCAAGCTTTTCCGCCGCCATCCTACTTCCCCAACTAGGCATGGTCTCGATAGATGGATTAGTCCTGACCAAGCAAGCGAAACCAAGAAACCACTTGTCTCTCTTCAACTTCGACCCGTTGTCGGCGCAACGCTCCCGAACGCAAATGGAGTTGTGAGCAGAGTACGGACGATGAAGGAAGCTGTCAGAAAGCATACAACTAGAGTAATGCATCGGTCATGGATCGCCCAACCCGTCCCGTTGCACGCCTATCGAACGACTTTCGTCGACGCTGGCTGACCAAGCTCGGTGCCACGGCGTGCATGCACGCTACTTCTCCTCTATCATGTCGTGGCGTGCGTACGGACATGACTCCTCTTGGCTAGCTACTCATGCTCTCGTTTGAAGAGCGTGACAGTGACAGAAGATAGTATACTCGACAATTCTGCATGCACTTCTCGTGAAGCCTGTTCTGTGCCGCCTTGGAGATAGGTCTACCGTGCCTTATTCGTCTACATCGTTCCCGATTCAGCTGAAGACAGCTTATGTACGTAGAAGGGAAGCTAGGGCGCATACACTGAATGCCTCTCCAAGAGAAGGCAGGCCTGTATCTTCGTGCTCCACGTTGCATAAAGTTTGCCTAGCTGCTGCTGTTGTTGCTGCTGCTGCTGGTATCTATCTAGCGATCTCCAAGCTGGTTCAGCATGTTGGCTCGGTCGCGCCACCATCACCCTCGTCCAACCACCAGTTCAGACTTAAGCGTCGGGCACGAGCTAAGCCACCATTCATTACAAGGACGTTTGGCATGACCGGAACGTTCGGTAGACCTATGCCCACGGTCGTACTCTTGAGCAAGACTGTGTGAGATGTCTTGCTGGACTCAGCTCGCTTGGTTATATGGTCTCGATATTGACTGCGAGCTCGGTGGTTGCGTGAGGTGGCTGTGCAAAGCTTGGTTTGAGCCTATCGATGATGAATGCATCAAGGCGCCGGAACATGGATGAGAAGGTGATCGAGGTTTTACTGTGATAGCACACAAGGTGACGAAGCTCGCCTTCACAATCAACGTGGTAATCGAGCTCACGGCAGAGGCGGTGGTGCAAGCGGTCAGTACCAAGGCCATCACCGGGGCAGCGAGAGTCGAGAAAACTCCGCGCAGCATAATCTTGTGGTGAAGACGACGTGGTGGGTCTTTGCAAAGCAGTACAGGGAAGCGGTCAGAGTGGAGCTACAGACAAGTCTTGCATCAGTAAGCCTTCCAGGAGACCTCATAATTGGAGTACAGGTCCAGATATGCAAGCAAGTGGAGTCTCGGGTGCATCCAATGCTTGAAGGGATCGGATATTGAAACAAGTCTTTTCACTGTGTCCATAGATGCATAGCCGACCTGCTCCGGAAAGTCGTCCATCGAGTGTAAGACCGTTCGAGCGTATATTCTCAGTCCTAGCATGTTCGAGTCTTGTTGGAATGGGCCCGCTCTGTATCCGAGCATGACTACTGCGTCCCACGTAGTGTATGTGCACAATGCAGGGAGAGAGGTCTCCGATACGGAGCAAGTATTCAACGATGAGAAGTGGCTTTTGCTTGCACTGCACGGACAAGGCTCCATGGGGCGGGACGTCAGCAAGTGCTTGCCAGCACTGATTGACGCATGGTGTTTTGCGGGTGCGCCATAAGCAGTTAGACAAGTGGACTCAAGACTCTAAGATTCTGGTAGCATTGCTTCGCTGTTGAAGTGGTTTGTGGGCCGGTCTCAAGTGCGCTGCACATCCCCTTGGTTGTGCACGAAATCCTTAAAGGCAGTACAGTCTAGAGGATGAGAGCAGACTGATGCCGATTACCGCATCTGTGCATCAGCTAAGGCGCATCTCCCAATAGCATGCTCGGTATGAGTGCGAGCCTACCTAAGACGGCGCACATAAATGACCGCTACGAAGAGTAGGAGGCAAACGTCTCCCGGATTGCATGCACACAACAGTGCACACCGTGCGCTGCACTTATGCATGCCAGTGTCGAGTTGTTGGTGACATTTTCGAGGTTTGGCGTAGCTGCGGTCGAGGCTGATCTGAAGTGGGCGGGTACGCTGCCAGGCGGCTGTGGGTAACTGTTGGTACTGGCAGGACTGATGCGCCGCCTTTCTCACACACTAAGACCTAAGAGGCGAGCAAGCCTTCAATGGCGGTGTCGAAGCGGCGGGCTTTCAGTGGAGTGATCATAGTGCACGTCTAGTTTGGACGTAGAGATACTGAGCTCGGAGTGAGGCAAGCGTGCGGGAGGCAAGACTAAATAGAGAAACCGATGTCGACATGCATGACCGAAGTGACACTGCTCGTTGGGATGCAGGAGCGCTCCGGACCACGCTGGTACACCCATACAGCCCACTTACGTGCAGTGTCCCTGTGCTCGAACCAGATGCAACGCACGAATGGATGGACGCAACCTACTTGAGCGTTGTCGGGTGACGTCTGGCTCTAAAGCCGTCTCCATGCACCTTGGGCAAAGTGTAGTGGAGAACATCTGCTATGACAATCGAAATGGCCTTCAGGCTCTGCAAGATCATAAGGGGGCGCCAGAAGGGGGCGCCAGCGTACTTTGCGACTTACACTCGTGAGGCTCGCTAGGAAAGGGCCAACTTGCAGAGACTGCCGGAGAAGTGGTCGACACTTGGACCTGGGTGGTGTGTGGATGAGCTGGCACTATATGTTCGCCGGATGCACGTCTGCTCTTGCCATTCAAGGCGTAGCGACTGAGCAAACGACAACCCCGGCTTCGGCAAGAAGCGGTGCAGGTCGTGGGAGCTACAAGTGCAATTATTGCTGTTGATCTCTCTTGCTCGTAAGAAATACAACTGCTCTTGTCCAGGAGGCAAGCCTGGGTGACATATTATGCAAGACACAGCGGTACCGCTTGCAGATGACCAGGCCAGAAGAAATAACCAAGCCGCAAGTCAACCGACGTTGTCAAAGAGGCTGTGGCGGTAAACAACCAGAAGTCGGTACTGTTGCAGCATAGGGATGTGTCAGGACGTTATCCGAACTTTAATGGATGTATGGAAGCTGCTGCTGTGTTGTGCGTGGAGGAAGTGATGTTATGATGCGGGTGCTCCCGTCAGCGCGTTGCTTACAGAACGCCCGGCGCGCTTCTCAGATCCAACCAAGCCGGCTAAGATAGGGCTGCCCAACGAGTGTTCAGGACATCACTGGATGGAAGTCAAGCATCTCCGGTTTCACTTTCACTTTCGTGAGCCGAAGGGACGGTCTCGGCAGTAATGCTGAATGTTGTAAGTAGAAGTGCACCACCAGCAAATAGACAGCAAATGGAACGGCGTCACCAGTTTGCTTACGGGCATTGCGCACGTTCGACGTTCCTCGCAGATCTTGTAGAGCGTGCATTCGCCATCGCATGTACTCGTTCCGCGAAGTACTCCATTGACGGTGTGATAACGGTTGACTATCTCGTCCACCTTGAGGAAAAGAAGTCCTACAAAGCTGGCGGCGAAGATGAAGACGCAAGTCGTGCACAGGTGAGTTCTCGCGCACTAGACGATTCTTTAAGCGCGCTACGGGCTCACAGCACGGCTTAAGGCTGCTCGGCCTAGAACTTCACCCTGTTGGCAACATTCTATTCCTTGTTTCATCATACTATCAGACAGCTACCTTGTAGGTGGACGCGGCTGTGGATGCTTTGCCGGCCTGGCTCCACGTTCGCATTTCTCCTTACTCTATGATCAGTCGAGCCATAGTCACACATCTACCGCATGGCACCATAAGAAACCCGCTCTACTCAATGGTTTATGGCACATTTATGGACGAGCCAGAATGGAAGAGCTCTAACTACAGGTCCAAGTATGTATAGATGTCTCGATGCCCGCGGGTTGCTTCAACACTCTGAAAGGTAGGTGGTGTACGCATTTGCTCATCTTGGTCTTGGGCCGATGTGGGACTGGGCTGAAAGCAAGGCGTGATCGACCCTGGCAGATGATTTCGACAACGAGGACAAGGTAACGTCTACGTGTGTCTTGCCGATCATAGAGCGGGTACCTGGCTTACCACTGCAAGCGTGAGCGATCCTAAGGAGCATGTGGAAGTGGGCCAGGTGCGAAAGGCGTGGATCTCCCTCCATCTGAGCATCGCGCACTCCTTCGGTGTATGTAGGAAAAAATATCATAAATTCAGCTTGTATTGCAATGTTGTTCTCTGCATCTACTTTCGCCCTCATCGAGTGTGGTGCGTGTGTGCCACTCCGCTTATGTGGCAGCTCTTTCGCTGGCTAGGCTAGACTGACCACATGCGTACGCTCAGGGCAAAGGACATATCTTATGATGTTGCGACGCTCTCGACTGGGTAGACGGGCAGGCATGAACCGACGGGTTGCGCGTAGGAAGATTAGGCGTGTTGCGGGGCTCGGAATATGTTCGGAACGGAGAGGCTTTGCTAGCTGTGGGGTAAGAAAACCGCGATCACTTCGCTTTACGCATTCTGCTGCCCCTCGATCTTCGCTGCCCTCCGATCTCTGCTGCCCCTCGCTCTGCCCCTCGCTCCGCGCTGCCCCGCTGCCCCTTGCCTGCGCTGCCACTCGCACTCCGCTGTCACCCGAATTGCCCTTGGGACGCTGTTTCACGCATTGAGGCACCGTAGCTTACGGGCGATACAAATGTGTGTCACGAATTGCAAGAGCTAGCAGCTAGGAGATGTGTGAGAATGTGTGTATGTGAAGAGGAGGCGCCGCGAGATGTACGCCAGTTGGCTCGCCTCCATCCAGCATGTTTGGTGACATTTCTTGGAGCCTGTCGCCTGCACTAGGGCAGCGCCGGTGTAGAGTGATCCTGGGTGCATCGCATGGGTTGACAACCCGAGATCATAGCCAGAACGTGCTCGCTGACGGCGAGAAGATATTCGATTGAGAAGAAGACTCCGACGGCCATGAACCAGAGCACACGGTCGCGCAGCATCTGCCGCTGACTCACAGCATTGCTAAAGACGCGCGATCCTTGGCCCATTGAAGTCGCAGCGATTGAGGTACAAATGGAGGACGAGGCTCGAGGTGTCGACATGCTATACTGCGCTCGGCTACTCTATCTCTCCATGGCTGGCTTCATTATTCACTATCTTCGGCATTGCTGATGCGAGTCGCACAGTTATGTCAAGGCGATGCCCTTCCAAGCGAAATATGCTCCTCAAGTAACACAGATTTAGTCGATGGCGGTCATCGCGTTCCTAGCAATTGTGGCGGTGGGACACCTTTCTGCGGCGGAGACGGCGCGTTCAATGTTGCCAAAGCGTATCAGCAATCGAAGAACGGTAGACAGGAAATGGATACTGACCTATGCGCATCTTCCGTTCCTTTCATGACTATCGCTGTCCGAGCTTTGCTTTGCCACCATCAAACCAGGAAAGCTTATGGCCGTTCTACTTGATGTTCTCAAACGAAAGCCACGGCCGGTCCGCTCTATCCACAAGCAAGACAAGGGAGCCTAGCATCGTGGAGTTCTATCCTCATCCCTTGCCAAATCCGAGAAGTGGTCGCAGACTTCAGGCTCAGAAGCATGGAGAGGAGGATGACTGAAGTGATGAGTACATTTGCACGGTCATGACGGTCCTGTTTCCCAATCACTCCGTGCTCAGACCTTCCTATTGGCCGTCATACTCCGGTAAGACGACACTACGGATGGCCAGCAAGCCTCCCAGCCAATCTGACTTGGATTAAGCAGCAATGATGCTGGCGCATATGAGACGTCTAAGAGATACTCTTGGAATGTTTGGGAAGTTCCCGTGGGACTCTGCTGTCGTTGGCCCGGTCTTGCAGTTTAGGCTTGGCATTCGCGCCACGATCGCGGTGAAGGTTGCAGCGACGGCAGCATGGTTCGCCTGACGTGTGCGATGCGAGATGGCCGGTTCGACTATTTCGAACCGGGAGAAGCTACTGCGATGGCTGGTTATGATGTTCCGAAGCCTCGCGGGCCTAATGTCACCGTCTCCCCACAGCCACCCTTTCCGCTTTAATCGCATTAGGGATGGCAGCCAGGTGTATGCTGCGGCTGTCTGCTCGCGGCTAGCTACATCAAGCATTACTCCAATCCATTAAGCCACAGCAGGGAGCGAAGCAGCCAACTCCACCTCTCCGTGCGCCCATGACAGGTAGATAACTCCGATCATGGTGATGGAGGGTCTCGCAGACGGCGGCCGAGCCCTCATCCTTTGCTTCTTTGCCGTTCTCTTCCTTAGCACCAGCCGGGACAGAACGGCAGGCGCGCCATTTGGCTGCCTTAATGGGCGCAAGATTCTCCGCAGTGCAAATGTGCACCTCTAAAGAATGAGAACTGGGAGGAAACCGCTCAAAGCACGTGACCGGGAGGGGAACATCGTTCACGCACACGGATGCCGGCGAACGCGGGAGCTGTTGTGACGTCCTGTTGTCTGCGTACCAGGACTGCAGATCAACCGAGAGCTTTCAAGAAGTGAGGAAGAACCAAGGCGAGGGAGAGCAGGCGTGGGCGACGTGGTGAGGGACGGAGAGAGCCTGTCGGAAGGCATCGTCCGTAAGGTTCGTGATGCAGCCAAGATGGCGAACCTTGATAACATCAGAGTATAGTGGGGTCGTCCGATGTCCTCATGAAGCGCTCAGAGTCGCGCAGATAGAAGTACGACATAAGGATGAACAAGCCTGGCAAGCGTGGGTCACGAGGGTAGATGTGGCGCTGCAGTAACTGGCAGAGTAGATGGTGCCAGATGACCTAAGATTCGTGTCAACCTGAACATCCGCTCTTATGAAATCATCGTCCTCCGGATCGATATGGGGTGCATGCCCATGTCTCTACTAGTACCGCTTGAGCCTACGTAGGCAGCTGCAAGTCCTTCAGCTCGGTGACTTGCGCTCGTAAAATACTGTCAGTGCGTTCTTCCTCATCACAAACTGCTTTTTCATAGCCTTATCCTCTTCCACAAACGACGTCGCCAGCTCCTTCAATCGGTTACGAAAACGCCGGCATGTCAAGTAAACCAGTGCTTTCGACTTCAGCAACCGAGTGCGGAGATTCTCTACCATCATGAGAGCGTCTTCGGGTATGAGCGCGAGAACCGGGCGCCTCCTTGAGTGAGACCTCAAGGTCTTGCAATAGGCCAGGATGGGGCTCAAGTTCCTCGAGCGAACGCATACGTCTCTCGTGCTCGACGTCGGTCTGGTGGTATTGCTGCAACATGCCACGTATGAGCTGACAATCACGCAAGCAGCCTCTTACGGCCAGGCAAAGACAATGTGGCATGCAGGTCCTGCAGCTGGCGAGCCAAGTCCTTGTCCACTGCTGCGGACGGATCGAGGAAGCCCTCATGCTGTCGCCACAGCGATGGCGGTTTGACCAACTTCTGAAGAGACGTCCCATGCTCAAAGAGCCTTGCTCAAAAAGTCGCGCCAGAGCGGCGGGTAGATGAACTCCGGTGAAACGAGCTTGCATCTGAGCTAGTGCAAACACAACGCACTAGGTGCCCCAGCTATTAATATCCCTTTGACGCAGAATCAACTGTTAAACCTGTCAGCTTATCCATTGTCAAGAGCAGTGATGTAACGGTGTCCCTACGTTTGGCCGAAACTCCGTCCACTCATAGCCCGGGGCGAGATGGGCGGTAGGCTTTGCACGCGCACATCTTACGCTGTCAACAAAGAGTCGAAGTGCAGTGCTGGCGAAGGCGTACTTGTCCTCAGACTGCATGGATCGAACACTTCGAACGTATCTTGCTCCAGATGTAGTACAGCGATCATCCAGTGCGCTATACTGCTCCAATGAACTGGCACAATGAGATGCTCGGGTGACGGTTGATCGATCCTGTACTTGTTCGTCTGCTCCCTCAACACGGGCATCCTTGCCTGAGACAACACTTCTGAGTTGATGCAGTGCTACGCGGGTCGATCTAGGTTCAGCCAAGCAATAACGGTCTCAAGCGCAGCGTTATTGACGTATTGTTTGAATTTGAGGGTGTCGATTGCTTCCTGCTCAATGGTGAGAAGGCCAATCACTTCCTCGAGCGGTGATTCACCACTGGGCGAGCGTGAAACGGAGGGTTTGCGATCGTTGGCTGCTTGGGCGGCTCGGGTGATGCACTGCCAGCGTCAGCAGTAACGTTGGTACCGCTGGGAGTAGGCATAGTGTGCGAAGGCATTTTGGCTGGCGCGTGTTGATCCCGCGAGTGGTGGGAGAACAGGGAGCCACAGGCGCGAGAGTCGAACCTGCAAAGTGGCGAACGCGCGTCGAAGCTGCACAATGACTGTGACATGCTCACGGCACGACGCTTGCAGATAAAGTGTTACGACAGAGCAGAACCGAGAGTTCGTTTTCGCGATGCTCGGTGATGGCAATCTGCTGGAGTGCCACCAGCTAGTCTTCAGCAGGCCTGGAAGCTTGGGCTCCGGTTGGTCGAGGCATGGAGGTAGGCTCATGCTCGACTTTGCAGTCCGAAGCGAAATGGTCGGGATATCTGAACGGAAGAATGTCATCATCGAACATGTAGCTTTGTTAGTGGTCAGCATTCATGTGCTGCGCACGCTCAACTTAGACGTCGATCAGGCTCGGCATGGGATCCTCATCACAATCGTTCGGGCTGGGCACAGCACTACCAAGCTTCTCCGCGGCGGGATCATCTCAATAGCGGCAACAAGCCTCTCAGGAGTGCATATATTCGCAAGCGCGGTGCAAGTCTTGTCGGTCACGTGAGTGAACGTCTCGCTGGCGGAGACTGGTTTTGTGGGATCTGGCTCTGTGACGTGAGCTGGTGTGTCGTCAATGGACTCAACCTCGTCTGGCTCCTAGACGGAGGCGCAAGTCTGTTGCGTGGCACGCAGCTTCGCAGATCTGAGCTTGGCCGTGACGGCTGCAGCGTCCGTAGCGGTCCAGTGAAAGCCCTCGTTACAGCCACCTCGTTCTGGATCGCGGTGCGCCGTGCTCGTCGAGCCTCACGTAGCAAGGGCCAAGCTTCCGCGAGGGTAGCGTGCTGGGTGACGGCGCGTAACTCTGTGAGGAAGCGCTCTGAGTTGAACGCAGCAATGCCGAAGAAGATATGGATGTGATGGGGACGGAGGTGCCAGTGCTCCCTTTCCAGGCCGTTGATCTTCGCAATATCGTTCCGGTAGGGCTTCGCGGTCTTTCGAGCGACGTCGTCCAGGATGTCGCAGCAGAGTGGTGGCAAAAGAGGCAGATAGTCAGTGACGGGAAGCCGCAGGTGCTGACAGCGCTCGCCGAGGTCGCTAAGGGTTCGAAGTTGACGCGCAGGAGCTCATTCTTGTATGCTGAAGTCAAGTGCGCGAAAAGCGTTACGGAGCTGGCCCTTCATGATGCGTGGAGGAGGTCATGGACATGACTGTGGTGGTTACGTCGGGACCAAGTGACAAGTCGAAGATCGTAGAGATGAAAGAAAGCGCGCCCACGGGGAGAGCGGTTCCGCTGGTGCGCTTCCATACTTTGCCACTTCTTCACCTTGATGATGCTCTGGTCAACAACGTATGTAACACGAGCGTTATCTTCGTCACGATAGTGTATCGTAGGTGGTCAGGAGGTTGAGCACTAGGCGCAGCAGAACGGTTGTATGCGTGGCATGCTTGAGAGTCTTGGTAGGAAGTGTGCACTGAGGTTAGACGGTGATTGAAGGTGTTGGTAATGTTATATGATTACCCCAAAGTCGCCAGCTTATATGTCGTCAGATTATGAAGCACGCGGTGGGTGGCTGCAACCGATGAGGTCTGGAGTTCAAGACCCGCTTCCATGTTGCGGTCTGAGCTAAGTTTCAGATCTGGACCTTGATTCTTAGCGCCAGATATGCGAGATCGGGCAACAAACGAAGGCATTAGCGAGGAAGATGCGTGAGAAGGGTAAAGCCACGTGCAGAAAGGTAGCATTAGAAACCGGAACAGTGAGCACATCGCAGATGTGCACCGGTTCGAAGCGCCAGTGTTAACAGAGCAGCCGCGCGAGGCGCAGAAAGTTCATGCAAATTGGAAGGGGTTGAGTCCTACATATCGCGGAGAACCGTGGTTAACGGCGCCGTGAGTCTCTTCCCATAGTACGGAAGAAGACTTTCTCAATTGGCCCGGGCGCACCAAGAGCGGGGTCTGAAATGTACGCAGGCTTGCTGCGAAACCCAAGATGTGCTTCATACCGTGAATTATAGGACAGAATGGGCACAGCGAGATGCAGGCTGCCAAGCCCGAGGCCAGGAGTGACGAGTGTTGCGGATCGGAAGTGACGGTGCCTGCACCTCGATGGGAGGCATGGCAGGCTGGATCCTAGGTGGCTACAGCTTCTGGCGAGTTACGGAAGATGGTTCAGAGGACTGCGTGCCATTGCGGAACTGGTGACGAGGGGCTTTGGCCGTCTGGCACCCGGCAATTCGCAGAATGGTAGAGGCACATTGAAGCTTCCCCAGTAATGTGTCCGCGTAGGCGCAGCCAACCGTTTGTTGCACGAGACAACCGGAGTACCAGCGACCTCTATCATCTTCTTCGTTATCCCAAGTTTGCCGGAATTGAATCCATTGCTGCATCGCATACTCCTTTACGTAGCTAGCGGCTTTGGCACTTGGACGACAAGTTTCGGAAGGCGTACAGCGAGAGAGCGCACTAGTTCGAGCATCAGCCAACGTTTGACGGAGCTGAAACCCTTAGAAGAGTCATCGCGTGCGGGTGTCGGTATGAGTCGTTAGCCGGGTGTAGGGTGTGCAGCCATTGCATCTTCTGCTGCCGCCGTGGCTAGCATTGGCGTAGGTGGAAGACACAGTGGAAGTGGTCCCTCATAGAATCTAGATGGACAATTGCAGCACCATAGAGAGGCGTGGATGTTCGGGGTTCAAGCATGGAGCTCACGGTCTCGGCTGCTCATATCTGCATTTTGTCATAGAGCTGCTCAGGACCTCCAAAAGCGGCAGATACTGCTGAAAGACACCCAAGGGGTCATGCGGCCATCGCGCAGCTCGACACTGTCTCCATCACCATGAAGGCATGCCAATTGGCATCGCGTCTCGATGTATCCCAAAAGAGAAAGAGGCAAGTAGGTTGAGGTGCGCAACTCAGCTGAGCTGGTGACGCTTTCTGGGTCGAAAGAACTGCGAGTCATTTCCGAGATGATCCGCAATGCCAAGCAAAGACGATCCGCGCAGCTGTTAGGTCAACCCTTTGAAGCATGATCTCTTCCGCCGTTTGGTTGCGACTCCAGATGTCTGGTAGCACTGAGCTCTTCCATCAGATATTGATGGAGCGAGAGAACTGCTACTTTCGAACACAGCGCCGCACAGAGTCTCAACGACAAGCACAACGATCTGAGTGATGGTCACACTTTAGCAAGTGCGGCACCACAAGCCATGAGTGGCTCCACTGGCTTAGAACGCTCTTGTGCCTTTACGTCGATCAATGAAGTGCATGCTACGGTTCGACTTCTTGAGCTAATGCTTGCGCTGCTGGGAGCCGGCGCTCGCGGGTTGGGGTAGTGGTGATGTTGCTCTCTACGCAGCTGATGCTCCTTGACGATGCGGTACCCGCGCCGGTACGGATATTGTGGCGGACATGCTCGATGTTCTAAGCTTGACAGTATCGCTCAAGCCACGCCAGCATATGGCGCCTCCTTTGTCGAAAGTAACCTTCTCCATCAATCGAAACCTGTCGACTGCGGTCGTGCACGGATGTGGAGTGAACAGTACCGGAACTGGCGTGTTTGAGTCTGGGGAGCTAAACACCGTTTCCCTTGCAGGAGTGACTGGCGAACAGGCGCTGCATGCGGCAAGCAAAGGCTGGCTCCCACGGTCCCATGACCAGCATGTACAGAGCGAACATATTCAGCGCTGTCCAGGACTTGGTGTATTCAAGCATCGTGCGCCACTCAGCTTACCAAATAGTTGGCCGAACAGCAGTCAGCCTTCGTGCTCCGTCAGGCATGATTCGGAAAAAGACCTCCCGTGGCGCTACACCGGGCCCGGATGCGTAGGCAAAAGACCGCTGGCGGATGGTTGAACAGCGCATAAGGTGTACGCTTGTGGTAGCAACTACGGCAGCGTACATGCTTGCCGTGGTCGGCTTCGAGGGCCCAATGGCTGCGCCCATGGTCATGACCCAGCAGGCTTAGGTCGACAAGCCTGGCGAGTTCAATTCCGGCCTGCGTTCGAAAGCAGCAGCGACAGGTTTCTTCTGCCCGCTACCTAGCCTCACAGCGGCCATGCCGATGAAAGGGCTACTCCAGTCTTCGTGCTTAGCGGTCGGGCAAGCGCGTGTGAGGGATGTCGCTGATTCCGTGCTTCCATAACGTCCGCTTAAAAGAGTTGCTCGCGACGAACGCGCAACAGTAAACCTTCACGCCTGTCACACTGAAGCGGATGCAGCTGATACTGAGCGGGCGAGGCTCTCCCTGGTTCACAATAGCAGACCTTCCCGTCCAGTTGGGAGCAGATCGATACGTTCGTCGTGGTGCTACGGAGACTGCGGCAACGGGAGATGACGGCTGGCATGCCTCGGAGAAGGGATAGCAAGTGACGCTATTGAAGACAAGAAGTTACATTAGATCGTCACGTGGTTGCCTCAACAAGCGCACAAAGTGGGGCGCCTGCCGTTCGTTCGCGCCTGCCATTGCTACTGCGACGAGATACGTTCAGCTTTCCAGTGTCTGCACCACTTCTAACAATCCGACACCAACACTGTGCTTAGCAACAGCGCCACGGAAGAAAATCTTCCTATAAGCCAAGCACAGTTCACCCTTTCGCTGCCGTCAACGACCTCCACAATGACGAACTACCTCGCGTCAATCAGCACCTGGGTGGGAACCATCATCGCTGTCTTGGTGGGTTCAGCAATCTACGATCACTCCACCTTCGTTCTCCCGCCAATCCCACACATCAATGTGGAAGTGGATGCTCAGCTGGATCTCTATGTGCCTGTACTCGCCGACCGTGTCGCCGAAGCAATCAGTCAGCTCGTGTACGACTTCACCTACGACTCGACCTTCTTCATGACTGAATATCTGGACTCCATCGCAATCGGCATCGGCTTCCTCATGATAGAAGCGACTGTGGTCTACTTCGTCTCAAAGTCAGCCCGCCGTCTGGCGGTCAAGAAAGCTGGCTACGAATTTTGCAACACAACCATCAGTAAGTTCAGAAACGTCAGCGCTCCATCGTGCTTTCTAATGTTCCTTACCTAGAGTCGATTGTGTTCGCCCACTCAGTCGCGCTTTCTGGATTCCAGCTCTTCAGCATGGTGACCGCCTTAGACGTTGTCTTCGACTACATTTCCGTTGCCGTAGACCACGTATTACCGAGGTTCTATCATCTCTACCATCAGTTCGCGAACAGCGCTGCTGTTACATACGCCCACGACAAGACCGGCAAGTGCTTTAGGTGGGCGCAGGAAAAGCGCGGTCCTGTCACGCTTGTCCTAACGTGCATATGGACTCGGATCGCCGCATACAATGTGGTGGTCGTCCTCCCCGACAGCACTCGATTCAAGGAGACGCTCAGTGCAGCTTACCTGTGCTTCACGCGTTGCGTGCAAAGCTTCGGCACAGCTTGCCGAACCTGCAAGCAGAATGTGGTCGCATGTGGACTTGGCTCGATGGTCATGCTCACCGACCACCTGTCTGACGTCGCTGACTGGCTGCGTACTACCGCTGCGCCTGTGCAAGTGAAGGCCCAAGGCTGTGCGGCTGTGCAAGCGAAGGTCCAAGATTGTCCGGAGGTGCAAACGATGGAGGCACCGAGTCGCAGCGTCACAGGCAAGACGAAGAAGTGCGTTGAGAAGGACGGCTTCGTGGTGGTGCATGGCGCTCGCTAGTGGCCACCTTGACTGACTGCTTGCTGTGTGGCCCGACCAACGACTGATTGCGAGATATGGGAATCCGTATGTTTTCATGAGGCGTTTGCCGTATACAAGCCATTTTGAAGGCTGACAGAGCGCGTGATGACGGAGTGGAGACTTCACAAATAGGGTGCTATGTCATGGGCAGCACACAATCGCTGCTACTTCCTTTCATCTCTAGTCACAGAGCCATTATTGCCTCTACCTCTTCCAGCTTCACTGTCTCTGTCCAGAGCCTCAAGATTGGCTAAAGCAAAGCCCGGTCTTGGCGGGTCTCCAATGACCAACATTAGCACAAGCACCTAAACGGCCGTTGAAAGGAACACCTTCGCGAGCAATCAGCTACGTCACCGACAATGCAGCCTGCCAGAGTAACGGCGCTATCAGGTACCTTTCCACATGTCCAGCACTTTGCAGCGCACTAAGTGATCAGTCTGCAACATGAAGCGACACGGTCGATCATGCCGGACGTCGTCCTTGCTCAGCAGGGTAGCAAGACATGTTATTGCGCCCTTCAATGAACTATGCCGCAATTCACACTAGGCCGCTGGGTGTACTTACGGATCGATCGTTGCTACTCGCACGGAATCCTTCACCATCATCTCCTGCAGCCTCCAGTACCCAAATGCTCGCACATTCGCAATGTCTGCAAACCATATCGGCTAAGTCTGGCCGCCTCGGTTCTGCCCACTGACAAAGTTACTTCTGCCACCGCTGCAAAGACGACTGCTTCCTTGCTACGGACCAGGTTCAGTTGGTCTTCGTGCGCTATTGCTGGGTGCCGCCGTAGAGGCATTTCTGTCTCCAATAAGCTATGCAGCGTGACGAAGGAACTTGGTGAGCGTACCACCTTCAGACTAGCACCACCATCTTGTCTGAAACTCTAATGAGATCTTGGCTTTGAGCCGTGATAAAATGCAGAATAAAGAGCAGTGTTCCAAAACCGTGCTCGTTCATGATGCGGCATTGACCCGCCATTCAGCAGTTACCATTTACAGTAAGTGGCATCCTCCGATACCAGGTCGCAGCAGATGTACTGGGAATTGCTCGCATCATAGTTTGTGACGTCGATGCGGTAGCACTCAAGTCTGCCATGGGCGTGGAATAGACGTGGAGGTCCTGGAAACGGCGACCGTCGCAGGTGCACTGAAAGATCGTAGACAATAGCTTCGAGGTGAAAGCAAAGGGATGGCTTCTTGTCTTCCACGCTCGCTTAAAGTACCGCAATCAAATGCTGAGCGCGCGTTTTGGGTTTGCTGGCAATAAAAGTCCAGGCCAGGAGCAGAATGGATGACACAGGCTAGCAGTTTCCAATGTCGCATTGGCTGCCAGCTCCGGTAGGGCGCAAGAAGCCGTCCTGCTTGACGAGCAGCATGGCTCATGAGAAGAAATTGCGCAGCACGATACGACCATGTGGAAGGTGGAGGAGGAATCGGACTGCATAATCTGGTCTTCTGGCATGTTGCCGGTGTCGTGCGCATGACTGAGTGCACGGATGTGGCTCACCATGGAATGTCAATGCAAGCGGACACGCATTTCATATCAGCAATGCTGACTACTGCAGGCTCGTTCATGAGTTGGGAACATCGAAGTGGGCAGCAGCCTCAGGATTCTATCAGCGGAGACATCAAACTCCGGTGACAGGCATATTGGGCAGTGTGGTTCTTGCAACTTCGTCGTAGCTATGGTCCGGTACGGCGGCCGTTGCTGTCGTAATGCCTACAGAGCGTGACGGTGCCGGAGAAGCAGTGGTCTGCGGGCGGTGATCAACCATGACGGGGATGGAGGGAGTGCTCTACCAGGATGGCCTTGGAGCGAGCGTACAGCCGCATATGCATGTACTGCATAATATTGTAGCGAGCGGTGTTGTGGCGGGAACAGTGTGACAGAACTGTGGATAGGCATGCAGGTGTCACGTGTGACGGCCATTTACCTCGCCTCGAGAATCGCATGAGTCATGACAATCACTGACTCAGATTTCGACTTGTATGGGTGAACTGATGGGCGCGCATTTGCCCGCCTGCAACTACATGCGAACCATCTATGCTCCGAGAGTCCCAACACATGTTGTGTATTAGAACTCTTGATGACTGCCACGCCACGTCCGCTTGACGTTGCAGCGGCAATACGTACCAACCCTCATTAATGGGCAGGAGCTGGAGAGGCAATGCCCTTACCTCTGGCCTGCTCATGCAGCCTTTGTCCGCCCGCTGACCGCCGCTCCGGTAGCAAGAGGTTGTGGTCGCCTTAGCCATCAAGTATGCCTCGCAACAGCTTGACCAACTCATCATTACATTTGAAAGTGTTGGGGGTGCCATCCACCGCTTCCACATAGTATCGAGACGGTACGATTCGTGAGTGGGACAGGAGTATGGTGGCGCCACTCTCGCTTGGCCTCCTCAATACCACCCACAACCAGTGCCAGGCTGCCCTTGCGACAAAGAGCGTACGACATAGCATACGATCGCCGCCGGCAGGCCTGGCCGCCACTGCGGAAATAGCGCGGCCTCCTCTAGCTCCTGACTGGAAAAGGGCACGGGCGTGCGCCACAGTACGCAGCGTCGACGTGGCCGAGGATGGCATCGGCGTGTTTGCCACCGGGAGGATGTACATCTGTGCGTGGACCCACGACGAAGAAGGACCTTCGTCCCGCTCGACAACTTGTGACTGCTCCACGACAAGCGTCTGCTTGGTAACGGTACTGCTTTCTGACTTCTCTGCAATGCTGAGCATTACAATGTTCATACTCTCGCTTACACTCTCTCTTTCGCTGCCTTTATCTTCGATCTTGCACAAGTTACCGGCTACTTTCTGTTACCGTGCGACTGCCTCGTGCTCTATCTTCTACTGCATCTATCCTTTCGCTCACTTGCGTATGCCGGTATAGCACAGCCGCATCTAAGCGTCGCGTCGCCAACAACACAACGCATCCAGCCTCGCTCTTACCCAGCTCTGGCAACGGCCACAGCTCACACAAAGGCCGTATCCCAGTCAAACGCGGCAATCGCTGTGGCAGGCGGCATTGCACACTATCAAGGTTCTCAACATCCTCAGTTCAGTCTACCTTACCCTATTGGACCAGCGTGCCAAATACCCATCGGCGCACTTCGCGGAACTGCCTGAGGCGTGGATATCAGTACCTTGTTGCATCCTGCAGTGTGATGTACATGTTTCTGGCAAAGACTTCGGTAACTGGGAAGGAATGTGGCGGTACGCGATGCACAAAGTTTTCAACGAAGGTGGCATAATTTGCGAGCAGTTGGCTGAGATAAGGTTTGATATCGTTCTGTGAAGTGTATGCGTTCAGGGAGCTAAGCTGACTGCTCGCTGGCGTGCAGGCTAGTTAGCGGCGTAAGGTTACGGCTGTCAAACGAACAAGGCTTCAGGAGATTGCCGCTTCTAAAGCCGGTGCGTACAGGTGGTTGTTCAAGATGGCATAGCATGCTGTAGGCTAACATACGCACGGCATCCTGCCCACTCACCAATTCGCTCAATCACGTTCCCATCTGCAGATCGGAATGGCGCAATGTCTGCGCCGCCAACCGCGATCGCTGGGCAGCTCCGGGCCTGAGGAGCCTGAGCTCCAAATCGGGCGGTGTTTGTAGCGGCGCAGACCCCGGATAGACCCCAGACAGCGTAGACAGCACTCCCTGCACATCACAATAGTGATCTGCAAGCCCAAAGACGCCAAACCAATAGCGATTGTACAGCTTGCCGCAGCATTCCCGCGCCAGCTTCCCAAGAAGGACGTTATCTACGGCATACAGGCTTCTGCGTACGAGCATACCGCAACCTTATCTTGACCGCCGATGTCCAATCTACACGTGAGGATCCATGTCAGAATGACCAACGGTAACAGGGTGTCGATGGCTTCTTAGTCGCACGCCAACGTACAGCTAGACAAACGGCGGCAGTACGAGCGGTTGCTGTCTTGCCTGCTCCGCATAAGGAATCAAACAACCTCTGATACCTGACTGCACCCAAGAATGCGACCTCAACCTTACTGCTCTCCCACTCACTCGTCAGTGTTGGAACGGAAGCCTCTATATACCCTCCTAAGCGGACAATGAATAGCTCCTTACACCAGAATGACGCAGACCAGCAGCCAGCCCAGCACTTGGACGACTCAGTCAAGTGAGATCACTCTCTCGCCCAGAGACCCGATGGGTATACTTCGTCACATTACCCTTTATGCAGGCCTGAACCAGATATTCGGCCGAGCCGACAGATGTTCCAGCCAGCCGGCAAGCAACAACCCAGCCGAGTACTCCATTGTCTCCCGTGAGCATGCCAACCTGCTTTCCACGAGATGGCAAACGAGCAGTTCCCGGTAATCGCTAGGGAAGTTTCGCTCGGGTGATTTCCGCTTTGGTGACAACGTTGTCCGTGCTCGTGACATTGCCGGAGGCGTGGTCGTCCTCTCCAATAGCTCCACTATTGCCTCTGCCAGCCATTCCGTGAACGAAGTATGAGCAAGCACTCAGGCTACACAGTCACATATGCTGACGACGACGACGGCAACTCTTCCAAGGACAACCCCGTCTACTAACAACTACATGAAGATCCTTTGCGTTCGTCTTGGGCCCGTCTACGTAGGAAGATTGAGCTGTGTTGTCGTGCTGAACCCAACCAGCGTTACACGGAACAGCCGAGCAACACTGCCAGCAGTCAAAGAACATGCCCTTGAGTACGACTTGCCAAGGCTGTCAGGAGACTCGTTCCTAAGTGCTATGAGTGGACAATCAAGCGAACGCAGCGGCTGGTAGGGTAGTGCGAAGCCAAAACCATGGCTCGTTGCAACCGATAATGGCTCGTGATGCGCCACGCATCCTAACGAAAGCGACTGCCAATGTATGATGGACCACCGAAGTCCGAGAACCCACGTCCTCAGCCAAATGAGGTTACGCTTGAGATGCAAACTCCACTCACGAGAAACCGGACGAAGCTCCGTTTGCGAGGCCCCAAGGATCCACTATTTCTATGACGAACGACATCAACATGACTTTCGCTTCTACGAATTCGACAATCTCCAGGATGTCACTGCCGGCGAGATTATCGATCTCCACCAACCGAGCTTTCGCAACATCCAGCGTTCTGAACCGGACAGATTTCCTCGCGAAGCACCGAAGGTTGACAGGTTCTGACGGACAAGTCAATCAAGCGCTCACGAAGGAAGATTTGCAGTCGCAGTCCCTCCGCCAACGCCGCTAACCCACTTTCAAGGGCGATTGAAGCTGACCTTAATTTTGCGGATTGGCTGGCGCAATCTTCCAGACCGATGTATGGAGAGATCAGGTAGCCGGAGCCCACGGTCACAGGCGTGCCTGCAAAGTGGGTCCGGTAAGAGGAGCGACTCCGTCAATCGACCGTTCGTGCCGGAGAACTGGCATTAGCGATGACTCCTCCACAAACTCCGCCAAATCACTATGAAGGGCGAATGAAGCTGGTTACGGACGTCCGGACCTGCCAGCGCATGCTTCCGCACAGAGATTAGGCGGGACCGGAATGCTTACTGTGCCCGAGTTGGACGCCAAAGCTGGGTGGGTACGAGCTCACGTTGCAGCTCATATACATAGCGTAGGCGTATCCTAACCCCAATCCTAACCCTAGTCAATTCCGTCGCAATATCCCGGTCAAGCGAGAGCGGGCGATATGACCGGTAGCCAGCCCAGTGGCGGATGGCCAAGCCGTATGCTCTGGCTTGGACTAGTGTCTCGGCAAAGCGCGGAGCTCTGCAAAAGACTCGGCAGAGAACAAGTGTCGGTTATTGTCTCTTGTTGCGCTGTTGAGGCGGTGCAGTGCGGTTTAGCCTAGTCTCGCAGACTGCCTGTGTGGCAGAGGGGATGTACAATGCCAAATATGCGGTAGGGCCAAAGAAATGCTGGCGCTGCAACGAAGCTCTCCATCACTGACTTCCGACGGGCTTCGGCACGTACAGGTATCTCAACGAGGTGCCCGACGCCCATACAGTTCCCAAACGGCTTTTCGTCATTGAAACTGGTAGACGGGAGCGCCGCAGGCGAAGTGGCTGCAGTTTTCTTGCGGCTGGTGTGCTTGCTGCGGTCGGCGAGCGGACTTTCCGAGAACTCTTGGTTGTTGTGGACGACAACCTCCTTCGAGAGCGGAGCCTCCTTACTAGCGCAGGGCCTTGATGCTCCTGGGAGCATGCTCGGAAGCAGCCTTGCGTTGCGCGTCAGCCTGGACGTTTCGCTTTGGCGCTGACCTTGCGTTCCGACTGCGGCTCACCTTCGTCGAGGCTGGCCTCGTCATTCTCCGCGTCCCCTTTGGCAGATGGGATAGAACTCATCAACAGGCTCTACTGATCCAATACGACCATCGTCACGGCGAAGCCGAGTCCTGGCACTCTTGCTGCGGCTGCGACCCAACGGCAGTGCAGCTGCATTGCCACTGCCCTTGAACTCCTCGTCGCTCTCCTCGCTGTCGTCGCTCATCCCCCGAGCCGGGTACCGTATTTGCGCCAGAACTGGAGTCAATGACAGTGGCAGGATTGTCAGAACCAAGAATGGCGCTTATGTTGGGATCCCGTTAACCGTAGCGGGAGTCAAGACGCATCAGCTCCACACTCAGTTGTCTGCAATGGATTCGCTAGCGACTCGCAACATTGGACGTACAATATCTCCCTCCTCCACAGCCGGCAGAATCGTACAACGCATGCTGCCGAACTCGCTTTTCAAGGCCTCGTTGATGGACCCCGGCAATTGCATTACGCCACAACTTTGATTCTAGCCTATGGCCAAGTCGCTGACCGCAAGCCGCTGGCGGTGGGTTACTAAGCGTGAGGTGGAAAGTGCGATGTTGGGCGTGTAAGAGCATGAACGGGTCGTAGCCCCGTATACCAATCGGCTGGAACTCGGTGGTGGCGGCGGCGATTGTTTGTCAGAAGGACGGCCTGCTGCTAGCCAGGTTGTTCAGCCCCGTGATCCAAGTCGGACCATGCCATCATGCTTTCAGTGGTCGCAACAGTCATTCACTCGCGACCAGTACCCAGCTGTTGATGCAATTATGCAGATAGTTCTTGCATTTTCTGGCGGGTAGTACTGGTGCGTTAGCGCGCCGCACTTCAACTCGTCCTGGCTCGGTGGCTGCAGTGCGCCAAGTGTTGTACTCGTAGCAGTGGACGGCGACTCATTGCCGTCTCAATCTTTGTCCGGTCAATCGCCTGCAATCTCAGCATGCAATGACCCTTGATGTGGCAATGCATGTCCCATCTTAGCAAATGATGCAGCACAAGCATAATACACAGCTAAGCATGGACATAGAGCCCTGGCAGAGCGGGCTACGGCTGCATCTGGGAATCCTCAGAACTTCCGGCGATGTATCACGTGATAGCTAGTCACGTGCTCAGGTCCATCCGAACCGCCAAATTCCTCCATCCGAGACTCTGCACCCCTTTCCAATCACGCAAACACACTACAAAAGCAGCTTGTGTTGCAATGGTCCACCCGTATGAGATCTCTTTCTCGTTGAGTGTGTTGCGAGTGCTGCTACTTCCCTCATGTGACACGATCAACTCGGAGGTCTGCGCCCGACTAAGCCTCGCCAACCTTTTCCACAGAGCTACAGATCGAAGTTGAAACCCCATTTACGAGCTGCGTTCATCGACACCTGGCGAACACCGCGAACATACTGCGAAAGATGCTCCCCTCTTGATCTGGCATGGCAGCTCCTGTCCCACGGAAGACCGCATACTTTCCATCTCAGGAGCTGTCAAAGGTTGTCAGGACACCGTGCCGCCGAAGAGCTAAACCCACTCAGTACCCTGCTCGCCGGACGCCACTTGTCTCTGTACGACAGCTATCGTGCCAGATATGATGCTGCTATTCGGGGAAGACTGCCGTGAACATGAAAGGCATTACGGCGTCAGTGCCCTCAGATCAGTATTGCTCAGTCTCTCGACATCGAGACAGCGTCTCCCGGCAACGTTGAGTCCACTGTCCTGCTCCGTCTCGGCCAACCTTCTGGCCTGGGTCTGTCTCTCAACCACAGCCGTAGTGCCAGACACGATTATTTCCATTGCAGTACCCTGCTGCGAGTATGTACCGCAGTCTGGCATTGACTCTTAGCTAAGTACTCGCCCATTCTCTTGTTTGTGTACCTCTGATACATCCACGATCACGCCCCGCTCAATCCTCTCCGATTCCATCGCCGCCTCTCTTTGTCCCACAACCATCTTCCCAGCAGACCTTTTCCCTGCATGAGCCGCAATGCCTACGGTCCACAGTGACGATGCCGACGGCAGCGACAGTGGCACCGAGTCCGAGAGTGACATCGACGATCTCGTCCCAATCTTGGTAGAACCTAACTCGTGCTCAGCTTCTCTGTATGAAGCCCAAGTCTTCGTGCTGCCTCTCTCCTCGCTGACATGCCACCTTCTAGCCGGCCGCTCCCGCATCTCCTGGTCTCCCGAACACAAAACAACCATCTTCGTCCACGGCATCACTAACCGCTACTCCTCTGTCAATCTCCCTAACGAGCATGTCGTCGCCGATCTATACCGTCTCCTGAACGCTCCGACAAGGGGCAAGCGCGTCATTCAGCTCTCGTCACTAAGGTCGTAGGAGCCGTCACCACTACCGTCACTGAAGCAACTTCGCCGGCCTGATCCAGCAGCGCAAAGAGGGCCAGCTCGGCCGTCGCAACGTCTACGGCGTCTCGTTCGCTCGCAGCCTCTACCATATCGTCGCTCAGCCCACCTTTCAGTTCCACCAGCTCCGGGACCGAGACTACATTGACACTACTTTCGAAGCATCTTCGCGAAAATGGGAGATGATTGCGAATGCGGCTTCTACCACACCGAGGCTCAACCTTATTGCCCGTACTACTCGCTTGCTTATTCTCACGCCGCATAGTGTTCAGCTGAACATCCCTCCGGTTATGCGTCATGCTCAGCTGCCGCCGGTCGTCCATATGCCGCCGGTGTCAGTGCCGTCTGCCTACCAGTCGTCTGCGGGCGTCCAGCAACACCGGCAGCAAAACCGCCCGCAAAACCATCACCAGCAGCATTACTCTCAACGGGCGCAGACGCAGTCCGTTCAAGGACAGCGAAATACGGTGCAGCAGGATCAGAACCTTCCTGCACAGGACTATGCACATGCCACGACAATCCTATCTCTCGTTGCGCCCCAGGCCGGTCTTGGCTGCATGTCCGCCTCCTCTGCGCACCATCGCTGGCAGTCCAATCCAGTCCCAACTCTCCGTACCCCGCGAGCCATTCTTGAGCTCCTGTCCGCCACTTCCGCGCAGGACCATGGGCAAGCTATCACGGGCTCGTCTCTCTGCCCCCTCCACCAAGAGGGCCTCAGTCGTGTGCCAACCACCCCTGCGCAGGCCCATGGACAGGGCATCACACACCCGTCTTTCCGCACCCCACAAGGCGGTCGTAGCTCCCTGCCCACCACCCCTGCGCAGGACCGTGGACAGACTAACACGGATCCATCTCTTCGCAACCCACGAGCCAGTCATAGCCGCATGCCCGCTACTCCTACGCAGGACCATAGGCAGGCTACCGTCACTGATTCATCTCTCCGCATGCTGCAAGTGGGTCACAGTCACATGCCCGCCACCGCTACGCACGACCATGGACAGGCTATTGCTGGCCCGTCTCACCGCGCTAACCAAGCCAGTCTCAGCCCTACGCCCAGTCGCGAGCCCACCATCACTCCATTCCCAGACAAATAACCGCCCGCCGCCTCGCCAACGAGTTTGCCGAGCGCGAGGCCTTCGAGATCTACGCCCGAGCCTTCTCCAGCACCCTCGATCACTTCTTGCAGGTCGAGAAAAACGGCGTCGGTGTCTCCACCGTTGAGCGGCAGGCTGCGAAGACCCGATTCGTGCTGGGGTGTCGGTATCGCGCTGATACCCCGTACCGTGCCTGGTACGTCTATCGTTCGTTCCGGGTGGTGTGGTATAAGTTCGTTACTGACGTAATCGTTTCGCGGGTGTAGGGTGCGTGAGAATATGGCTGAGCCGGAGAGTGAGGAGGAATTCTTCTAACCTTTGTTGATCGGCTGCCGTGACTGATGTGCTCCTTCGGATGGCTGACTTGCCCTCCTTGACACGCAACTCGCAACACAGTCATTACTGCAACCATGCTCGCTTGCCTATCAGAACCTCGGCCACCTTCGCCGTCCGATCCTTGGAGAAGATGCCTGCCATTTCTTTATCGACAGCATCATGTTAATCAGCATCACTCACATCTCCTTCTCTACTTCGGGACATTTGTGAGTCGGCCATTAACACGGCTCGCACTCGGCTCCGCCACTCTTGGCGGTTTTGGCCTACATTCGCTGTTGTTGCGTTCACTAACAACGCTAGGACGGTGATGAGCGAAGACGGGCAAGGCTGTACGGTAATAAGGCGTCAATGTGCGGAAGCACAGAAATGGGATGGGGTTGAGCGGCCCCTCTTTGGGTTGCCGTATTATAGCTCAGATCAAATCACTCCTTGCCGGTGTTGCCGTTGATCTTCCCACCCACATTAGGCGAGACGGCGAGTCGGATACACCTTCGCCTTCGCCTTCGCCTCCTTCTGCGTTCTCTGCTAGTTTCACGTCGTTGAGACTAGCCTTGCTTTTCTGTAAGTAGCGTCGAAGCCCAGGTACACGGCAAGATGTAGACAGGTCGGCTGGTTTTATACATCAAGTCTACATAACACAGATATCAAACAATCAGCAGTACAGCCGTAGAGTTCAGGCGCCGCCGGGAGCTACCGAACCGGTCACGATACACTCTCATTAGTACTACCAACCTACTGTGGACGATCCTGGAAATCCTCAGCGGCTATACCGCTCGCATTGGCATAGCCGAGGGCCCACGAATAGCAACATAAGCGACGGAACTGGTCAGAGGGTAATGTGAGCATGACGTGAGCAGTTCCACGACGTTGTGTGACATGCTTGTGACTTACATGGACGGAACACGCATTGATTGCGGCGTAATCGAGCTGGCAAGAAGGCTTCGGCATGAAGCAGTAACCTAACACAACTTTTGCATGCAAGGTTGACCTCGCGGTGCCCATAGCTATCATCGGCATCGTGTTGGTCTTGTGGGTGTGACTCATGGTCGCTCGTCAGCTATATGCATTAGAATCTTCGGCACCGAAGGCATCATAGCCACCCTCCTCATTCACGTCGTATCACATTGGGATATAGACAATATCCATGGCTGCCGCGAACCTTTGTTCCCGTGTATGGTGCTGTTGTCGGATAGACCAGGTTCTGTAGGTGTACGATCCTTGTCATCAATGACATCATACCCGCATGTTGCCGCCGTAGCTGGACTTCGCTAGTTACTCCATTGTATTATGAAAGTACTAGAAGGTCCGGTACCTTTTGATACCCCACAATGAGTCATGAAGTGCTGGTTTGGATAGGAATGCGTGCTCCGCTAGCTGCTCTGGCTTCTGTGGCATACTCAGGAGAGTCGACATCGAGCATAGCTGCGAAGGCGTCGTGGTCTCTTAAAGCCAGGGTCAGTCGTAGAGTACGTGTAAAATGCAAGGTTGGCCAACACCGGCGAGTTCTCTACGGAGATCAATCGCTTCACCGTTGCTCCGGACGATGTCTGAAAGAAGTTGGCTTGGCTTAGGCAAGAGCGGGCGGCCACGAGACGTATGTTGGGGTATTGACGCGGTTCGTCATTTCCCCTGTCTCGACATAGTTGAGCTTAATCAACCCGTATTGGCCGGCTGTCAACGTTATCGGTCGTCTGATCGTCGCCGTAAGCGGACAGGGTGGAAAGTGCACAGAGCAACAAGACGTGACGCAGAAAGCACCGCAGGTGAAAGAATAGTGTAGGCTACAAAAGTGCTATTGGACGCTGAAAGTGGCACAATATTGCGTCGCGTAAGGATGACTTCACTCGACGGACTATGGTGGCTGTATGTAAGCCTGCGCAACACAGATCAGCATGGATCAAGGGCAGCAGCGCGGGCAGACGACTCCTCAAGTTTTCGTGTCCGCCAATCGTTTTCGAACCTCGCTCTCCTGTCACCTCATATCACGCTCCGGGTAAAAGGTACATGTCTGTACCCCGGCCAGCATCAGTCAAGTTCTTTGCGATGCTAACGGCCACAGCTCGTCTTGTGACCAGCACAAGAGCGTAGCCAGCCTCAATCGCCAGCACTATAACCCGCTGGCGCAGCTCATTGTGAGTCACTGGCGTCTCTCGCAATGCCTGTTTGGATGGGTGTGGGTTTTCCAGGTTTCCTTTCGCTGACATGAAGGACTCATCACTAGTCTGTCCTCCTTCTGCAAAATTCTGCTTCGTAGGCACGGGACGAGGCGAGGCTGGTTGTCGCGTAAAGCCACCCTTTGTATTTCCATCTCCCAACTCGACATTGTGGCAGTCTCCGTCTTCGCGTCGTCCTCTGCCACAGTACCGGAGTCAGTGTATTCGGTCTTGCCCACGCACTATGGGCTCCCAATCCGGCTCAGGTGAGAGCCAAGCGGGCAGTACACGCGCCCGCTCTCCCGGCACTTGAAAGTGGATAATGTTGAAGCCCTCCACCGCTTTAGCGCCCATGTGAACCCGAATGTGCACCGCCCTTGACGCTACAAGCAGGCGCAGTCTAAGTCTTCGCTTGTACGCGGTCGACTGAGAAGGCGGCGGCGGCAAAGCTTCGCCTAAGGCTCCCAAGGACGAGTCGAGAAAGCATGCAAACGTCGCAGCGGCCGGCACGGTCGTCTCACTGCTCACTTTGCATGGCAACAGCGGGTGTATGAAGAACGATTACGGTTCGGTGGCGAAGTCCAGCATAAGCGGTGATGGAGGCAGAGAGCGCCGAAAGCCGCAAGGCGTTCGCTGCCTTTAGAACCAAGGTAATTGAAGGCGGAATAGCTGGAGCTCAATATGGGTAGTGGAGAAGTCTCGTGGCCGGAGAGCAACGTCGAAATGGCCGCAGGAGGCGCGAGTTTGGAGTAGGCTTGGCCGCACACAGCGAGGGCACTGAAATGGGTAAAATTAGGTAGGCCGCCAGTCCAGCAGAATAAGAGGGCGTGTAAGCTCGCTTAGGTCGGAGGTGGTGCTCGTGATTTCGTGATCTCGTTGGTTTTGGGCTATAGTACGGTGGTTGATGGTGGCGAGGCTTGTCTGCTATTGAGCTGGCTGGATAGGTCGTTTGAGATCCTCCGTTTGCTTTAAGTTGCGCGGAGAAGTCGTACCGTGCTTCGGTTTGACCAGCGATGAGGTTCTACTCGCACTGTCGAGTAAGGTGGCAGCGCCGGCGGTGAAGTCCGCGACGGTAAAGGCGCGGGTGGGTGTAATGAGGGGGTGCGGCTGCGACATGGGATGGTGCGGCAAAGGAAAGGCGCAGGCAGCAGTCGGTCCCAGCCATCGCGGAGGTGAAGTAAGACTTGTTGCATGCTGCGAAGACCTTTCACCGGCAATGCGAAAGATGCGGTACCGTCAGAGAGTGAGTTGGGGCAGACGTTGCGATGGGTAAGAACAAACGGTGGCAGTCCCCTCGGTTGTCGCCAGGGCATGCACAGCTGGTCAGCGGGAGGCTGCTTTTGAACCATTTCGACTCGTGGTAGACGGCCCAGGAGTAGTGAAGTGGCGGGACTGATGGAGCCGAGACTGATGGTGGTAAACCCGAGACTGACAATGTTGGGACAGATGCTGGCGAGACTGATGGTTGGGAGACTGATATCGGCGAGACGAGTGGTGGCAAGACTGATGCTGGCGAAACCAGTGGTGGCAAGCCCAATGATGGCCAGGCTGATGTTGGCTAGACTAATGTTGGCGAAACGTCCGTTGGCGGAACTGGTATTGGCGGGACTGATGTTGGCGATACTGATGTCGATGAAGACTGATGGCCGCCAAGATGGCGATATCAAATCATGGGGCGAACCATGCTCGCTTCCTCGTGGGTTTGGTACCTCAGAGTTAACATTGTGGTCGGCTATCTTGCTCAGCGTCGGCATGCAGCCATGTGTCTGCGCCATACTCACACGGCATCGGTGGTGGTATTCCATATCGCCCGCCGATGTAGCAACACCGGGACCTGGCTTAGGTCAGGGCCGCAATGTGGCGTATTGGCCGAACTAACGCTGCGTACGCAACCCAGCTTGTGAACTCAGCCGCGCCGCTACCCGCACCAGGCCCAGCTCTCCCGCGGAGACCTCCCTTGCGGTGGACTTGGCGGCGACTGTGGCGATATCTGTGGCGAGCGAGTGAGACGCGTGTCGGGTTGAGATTACAGCGGTTGGGACGGCCGGCGGAATGGGAGAAGGCAGACAGGGGCTGAAAGCTGATACAAGTGGAGAAGCTGCATGTGCAGAGGGGAGGAAGCAAATGTGAGCACGGAAGGAGATGGATGTGGAGCGGGGAGGAGATGATGTGTAGAGAGGATGAGATAAGGCGTGCAGAAGGCGGACGTAGGAGATACTTGACTATGCCGTGCTGCTCGGCCATGTCGATGGACAGGGAAGCGCTTGCCAAGGCGTGAAGTACTGCTGTGTGCGGCGTTGGTGAGTCGCCCTTTCAATTCCTTGGCATGGCCGTGACTGTCCTGTTGCCTTTGTCAGAGACAGTAATGCAAATGTGAGATTGCTGGCAGGGGATTGACGGAGAGAAGCCATGTAAGATTGAAGGCGGCTACAGTGAATGCAGTCAGTCTTTGTCTCGTGTGCATGAGACGGCGATATGCATGTGCCGGCGGCTGGCGCGAACATGGCGCCTCCGTGATTCACGGTCGCCCGAGTCCAAGGTCGAACCCGGTTATGCTTGATCGCTCAATACACCGACAGTAAGTATACTACGCGGTACACTCCGGAGACGTTCGACATCACTAAGCAAGAGTCAAAATTGAGGTGTGCATCTAGCCAGCATAGCGGTGACGACCCAACCCGCTGCGTTGCGCGCGGAGCGAACGAAGAAGCAAAAGGATGATGGCTGTGTCTCGGCGAGAGAAGGCCTCAGCAGATGGTTGCGAGGAACCTCACGAGCGGTTGCGACTGGTGACGGTGAGGAGGTAGGCAAGGTCGAGTCGTAGCAGCAGGCGCTTAGCTTCTACCATTGGCCGTGTCGCCAAGGTTGAAGGTGCGCAGGCCAACAAGGTAGGATTTGTTCACATTCCAGTCGCAGAAGGTGCGAGCGGTGCTCGCGTGGAGGTATTGGGTAAGGGTCCGAAGAGAAGGCGGGGATGTTTATGCGACAATGGCGTGGCCACTCCGCGCTCGACGTGGTTTAGAAGCCCATAAGGTGGAAGTGGATGTGGTAGAGTTTAATGAATAAAGGCGTGATTAGGATAGGTGGTACTGTGCTCGTACGTCCGCCGCTCCGATACCTCGACTTAATAGGTGCAAGGACCAAACTCGTCTTGATCGTGGTGATTGTTTCTGCAAGCGAGTAGCTGCGCCTGAAGAGCGGGAGCCTTCCGCAACACTGCCCAGCCCGGAGCGGCCCGTCGGAAGACACAGCCGCCGATTGGAGGGGAAGAAGTCTTCGCAGCGCCTCGGTCCTTGCTCCTTGGCAAGTAGCAAGCAGAGAAGAGAGTGCAACGCGAAGTACGAAGTAGCGAGACACCCAAACTGCATCGCTTTCTCGCGGCAGCACTTGCTTCGTTGGTAGAATCGATCATTCTACACTGTCCTGCTTGTTTTGGATATTGCGGCGTGCAGTGTATACCGCAGAGCGCCGTACTTGCGCAGTCTCTCGTTCTCATGCACAACCGACTAGACGGTCCTTCGCCTTCTCTGGCTCTTTATGCACAAAACCTGCACTCGCATTGATACGAACAAGTCATTTTGGAATTTCAAGCCTACAAGCGTACTTGACAGCCTTGCTTCTTGTTACTCTTTGCTAGCTGTCTTGTGGAGCTGGCGACAGCGTGGTTGCGCGCAAATTGGGCAAGATGGGTAGACTGCAGCTATCCCAACTCGATTGCTTCAACAATCGGGTGTTGACCCGGTAACAGTTCACCCTACTCACGCTGCATTCGTGGGAACATGAGAGGCGCTTGTATGCTGTCCCGGAGCAGGCAATGAATCTGACAACTCGCTCCGTATGATCTGGAAGCTATACTAATGCTCTCTTGTTGGTGTGTCGCTACCAGACTGGCAATGGGCGGCGGAGGAGTCCGCTACGCCACTGACTGTGATCCCTACCCGTGCTTTCTGCCATGATGTGCGCTTCGGTCTTATGCTCGGCGAACATACTGCGTTCCTGCGCAACGGTTCAATGGTACTGTATGACTGCTTCAGCATTGGGGCATCCGGCAAGACTGGCGATGCCCATCATGTGGCCCGTTTCGCATCTTCGCGGGCTTTATCCAGTAGCATGATCTAGGCATCGTCAAAGACATCTCACTGGAAATGGAGAAGTCACCACGGATGTGCTGACTCCCGAGCGGTCCTGTGGTGACATGGAAGCGCCGACAGACGGAGCTCAGTGTTGATTCGCTTCAACGCACAAGAAGGAGATCAAGCGCCTCCCGTTCTCCACGGCGCGAAACGAGCTCTGCTTCCGCTGGTTGTGACTCAGACTTCTACAGCGCATGCTCAGAACTACGCACAGACATGGCGTTCTCCGGTCACGTCTCAGACTCCCAGACCTCATTTCGCGCTGAGCGGAGTAGCGCGATGGTCGGCTGTGAGCTCACTGCAAGTACAAATACACAGATATTCGCGCCATCTGTGACTGTCTAGCAACCCGAGCATTGACGCGAACGGCAAGGTGAGTGATGAGAAGAATTGCATGCATCTATGTCGAATCGCGTCGGGCACACAGAATGTGGTAAGGATCGACAATGCGATGGCTCTTTAAGGAGCAGTCGTCTCGTAAAGCGTTATAAGTGGTAAGCAAGCGCAGGAGGGAAGTCAGGGGTGGGCTTGATAGAACGTATGCTGTGGAAGATGTCTGGACAGCGTGTTGAAAGGATCTATGCACGTTGGTATGGCTGTCGGTAGGACGGAACAGGTCGCAGCCTTTGCTCCGATTGCGACAATGGTCGAGCGCGGGACTACGACGTTCTGCCATCACTCCTACCGCATATCCACCGTGGCCAGAGTCGCATTGCACGGATCTGATACGGAGATGTCAAAAGACGCAGTGTTTGTTATGCAGGCCTGGGAACTCTTCACAGGTTGTCAAACGCCAAGAGCACTCGTCTCAGCGAAGTCCCTACGGCTGTGTCCACACCCATCAGCCGCTTAGTCAAAGTCTCGACAGCTCGCGAGAACATCGCGACAGCTGCTATGATCGAGACCGTGGGGAGATGCACTTCGCACACCCTGTCGGACAGTCACGCGAAAGTGTCCGTCTCCATGCATCAGAGTCGGCCTCCGTGGGTCATCCTCATCGCGTTCATGGATTGTCGTGAGTTGTCGACGATGTCCGCAGCTGCGGTGCCGTCAACAGTATCCGCACTAGCCTTGCCTGCAGAGGCAGGATCCGAATGAGTGGCAGTGTTGCCGGTGTGGGCCACGACCATTTCGGCTACGCCATCTCGGCTGCGCTATCCGGCAGGCACCTACTGCGGTCAGCCACCAGGCAGATGGATGCCATATGCTGTTTGTTGCGCGGTGTGCTTACGACGTCACAAGGTGGTTCGCACGCTTGAGCTCCGACCACCGCGGTTGTAGACTTGAGTTCACCAGGGTCTGAGACGAGAGCCAGCACCATAAGCGCCGTGTGGACGAATACGGTAAGCTGTGGGAGTACAAGGCGGCCCTGCGCTCGAAGCCTCTCCTTGAGTACGTGAGCCTCTGGAATGGTTGAGCGAGCTGGGAACGGTACTTCGCGACGGGGAAGCAATGGGCCGTGCAATATTCCCCTCACACGTAGCAATTCGCCTGACCGCAATCAACGCAGGCTATCCCGCCTCGAAACACTCCACAGCAACATTGAGAGCAGCAGCGTACCATTGCCCTAAGCCTTCAGCTAGGCTACCACCCTCAGTTGCCTACCAGCGCTGACTGTGACAAACGATCGCAAACCTGCTAACACCAGGCTCTTTCGGGAGTGCTCAGACATAGTCGTAGCCCAGATGCAAGGCCGTAGAAGCGCAGAGTGCAATTTCGCACGCCCCTGTTGCGGGTCGCTAGGTGAAACAGGTCGAGCCAACGAGCGTAGCATGACCGTTCCATCCACAATGTGTTGTGCTCCTTCACATCTCATCAAGCGGTTCAGAGGCCGGGGAGCACGCAGGCGATCGGAACCGGTCTATGTGCACCTGGAACGCTGCACGAAAGCATCGCGTCCCCTGCCGCGGCGGACATGCCAGCACGCCTGGATGAAATCAGCCGAGCCAGTTCGTTGCCATTTGCTGAAGCATGAGTTGAAAGCTTTCGTCACGTGAGAATGTGTGGAATGCTCGCAAAGAGCGCCCCAGTCCAACACTATGCAAAGGACCTGCACAAGGCCGTGGCTATGTGCGCGTGCCTGATTGTGTAGCTGATCGGGTGCCGAAGCTCTTGCTGGTTTGCGATTATCTTGTCACATAAGTCAGGTGCGAAGAACGTGTGGACGCAGGTGGAGGTTACGTCCCTCCGTAAGCTATTGCTCCACTCATGCACGAGGGTGCGGGCTCGATCTTCAGTCTCGACGTCCTCCGTCCGATCCTCGCCAAGTTTGACCTGCGTAGCATGATTCACTACGCTATTGCGAGCATCATCATACTTCTTGCCAGCCGTCGAGAGCGCTGAACACAGGTTCGGGCTGAAATGAACAAGGTTCGCCGCTTGAATGCATTCCTCATCGTCTCCTATACAGTTGGGATGACAGGTGCTGGAGTGATGTCTGCACCAGGCCGTGAGGTCTCTCAGCACCTTGCACGACGCTGCACGAATGCATGAGCTTGGACTGGCGGTGGCACGGGACAAATCGGGTGTGCTGGAATACAAGACATGATCAGGCTGCCGGATCGACGGGCGTGCCAGCGAACCCGATGCCGTTCTTCTCCCCGCGCGGGCTGTGGGTTTTGATCCGAGCGTAAATTCCTAATCGCAGCGGCGAATGTGTGAAGCCTTCTTGATGTTGGCCGTGAGCCTGAGCCGGAGCCTGGCGGGGACGATGAACAAGATCGCACGCGCGACCACGAACTCCACTGCTTCTCCGGGGGAAGGCAATGTACAATCCTGAGCCTTGATCTGGTCTGCGCCCTATGAGTTGAACAGATTGCTCGCCGGTACACTTCTCCCAAGCCTGGCAAGATCACCGTGGTTTTTTTGGACATGATCCGGTCATGTGCTGCTCCAGCTTCGCAGCGTTGCTCGCGACGGTCAATCTGGTCGCTTTGTTCGTTGTGACTTTCTTGGAAACGACGAATGGCGCCAACACGCCGCATGTGAATCGCGCCTTCCGCGATGTTGACCATGTTGCCGGACACGATCCCGGAACCTGCTCGTGGATGCGAACACGATCAAGACGGAGACTCCAAGCTTCCAACTTGCATGCGAGCTTGATACTCTTTACCTATATAGCCACACTCAATGCAGTCCATCTTCGTGTGCGCGCAGCCGCGTTTCGTTGCGCTCCCAGACTGCATCAGGCATTACGCTCATGCGCCCGTGCTCGCCCGTGACTCCGAAAGCAGTCGTCGACCGTTTCTAGAGAAGACTTCGCGACAGCACCATGATGCTGCTCGTGCCGCTGGCCCTGGCAAACGCGTGCTCCAGGATGAGTCACAGAATGAGGTGCAAAACGCCGCATTCTGCACCACGCCTTGGTACCGCTCGATTAGCCATCGGTGCATTTCATCTGTTGTCTCCATGAAAGCGTCCTGAGTTAAACAGCCGTCTTGGGCTTGTCCGCTCGCTTCGGATTCGGTCTCCAATGTAGACTTCCTCGAAGTCTCAGTCATGACGGATGTGATGATCAAAAAAAGCTCCAAGGGCGAAAAGTGGCATCCGAAACCAAATGGTCGGGAGTTGCTTGCGGTGGAAGCACTTCTGTGCACTCAAGCCGGTAGTCAAGAAGCTTGACGTGCCTGTCCGAGATGAACAAACGGTCATCCCAGTGCGGCCAGAGCATGTGGACGTGCTGTAGCACTGCTGCGTTGTCTTGTGCTGTCTGCGGCAACGAGATGTGCTTCTTCATGCGGCAGCACGTCTAGCACCGGAAACTGGCGAAGAAGTAGCTGCTCTCGAACGATCTCCATCTTCGAGCATCGCTCGAGTCGCCGAAGATGAAGCGGCCTTCTCAACCTTTCCCTCTGACCCTGCCATTCTTCTCTATCGCCTGCTGCAGGAAGCCATTCTAGCGATTGGCGTAGACACCTTGCCCGTGCTGGCACCAAGGCGCATATGAAGAATGGGTTTCCGGCCCGTGAGTAGCGGTGCAGTATGAAGTGTTCATATGGCGTTGTTGTTGTCACATACGTTGCAAAGCGTGCAAAGTGCGGAGGGACGGAAAGCTACTTCATGGCAACCGGATGGGCTCCTCGCACGTGACACAAAGTCTCAGGCTGCGGCAGATCGGTACGCCAAGTTACAACGCCTGTAGTACCGTAGAATCGATGTGTTGTGAGGAACATCCAGAGACTACCGCAAGCTGCAGACATAAGAAGAGCTGGAAGCTCATAGTGTTGACGGCGGACCGAGCATAACAACAAAGCTCGCCGGTACTGTGCCTGAACCTGGGGCACTTGTGACCGGAAAAGCGGTTCGGAACACCACTTCTGCCCGCAAACGCCTCTTTTGCCTGCCCCGCCACTTCCGCCCAAAGCGGTCCACTATTGTGATGGATAGTTGATGGTGGAGGCGAAGGTATCTGACGAGTACTGCAAAAGCCAGAATACTGTTAACAGAGTCAGTCAGCATTACAGCGTGCTTGCTCTCTTACTCTCTTGACCCCAGAGAGTACCAAGCGCAGCAGTGCGAAATTAGGCAAAAGCGTCGAGAGTCAACGTCACAGATCACTGCAGGGCTTGTCACCTCCATCATCCCAACCGCCTGCTCAAGCCTCCCATACATCTCAGGAGAGCCGCGTTGTCGGTCCTACCACATAGGCACAGTTGTATGAAGCGGTCGCTGCTCCCACCGAAAGATAATGCTGTACTTCGGCCACGCTGCGTCCCTGTCCTGCACCTCAGGTTTGAGCTGCCAGCGAGTGCCGTTACGGTATGGTATCGATTGTCGTACACACTTACCACAGCGGTGGTGACCCCGGAGGCTTGCTCCAGCACACCCTGCAGCTTGTACAGAGCTAAGCTCTGCTCTTTGGGCGATGTGTGGCAAAAGCGTGACGGGTCTGTGGGTAGGCCCGATGGTCTAGCGACCACATTGACGACGGTCTCCACGAGGCCTGCCAAGATTATCGCTTCGTTGGCTGGATGTCTATGAGAGAGGCATGGCGGTATGAAGTGGTACTCACAAAGCCAACCTCGCTTGAATATGGTTGTAAAGCGTTTCTCCTCCCAACTTTTACTACGTCTTCGAGCTGCGCGAGCATGATGTTCAGCGTTTCGAGGATGTTACTGTACGAGTTGCAGGCGCCGGAGGCTTTTAAAGCAACTGCTTGGAAGTCGCCGGCGGCCCGCTGAGCGAGCTGATCGTAGGTTGCACCCAAGCGGCCTGCGTCGCTATACGTATGCATGTACGGAACGTGCTGATCGGCGAAGTGAGAGATGGCCGCCTGCCACCCGCGAGAGGGGAATAGATCTTTCTGCGAGACCACGAAGAAGCGAGCGATATCTTGGCGAAGAATCAGCGGACGGCGAAACAGAGAGTCGCAACCTGACTACCTGCTGCGGAGGAGCTTGGCACGTATCAAATCCTTGAACACCTTGAAGCCGAGCCTCTCACCATAGGAGATCTTCATCCTTGTGAAGGCGGTTCACGAGGGCGCTAATCTCCGGCGCGTGGAGATGTTTGGAACAACTTCCAGCATGGAGCATGACCCCAACGATAGGTCCATGAGCATCTGGCAGACGCTTCAGCAGCTCACCATTTGCGAGTTGCTGATGATGTTCACTAGATTCTCAAGTACGCTGGGCATTACGGCAGTGCCGTTGGTGGAGGATAAGGGCATGGGGCAGCGGAGGTGGGAGAAGACGCTTAGGGGATTTTTGCGTCTGTCCAGAGTGGCACATACGTCCAGAAGGTGTATAAGACGCACTCAGGCGCTCCCGAATCACTTCTAGATATGTAAATATATAGACTCGTCATAGTCGGCACATATGAGTGAGGATCTTGTATTGCTTGCGAAATAACTTCTAAGGGACACTCCATGGCCGTAAAGAGAGAGCCACAAACACCCGCCCCGATGATTGCCCGCAAAATCCGTGGGACACTTTGTCCCACACGAACACAGCGCGTAGCCGCATTCGGCTGCTTACATCTTGCGGTCGCTTGCCTCAACATCCATACGTTCATCTGAATTCGTTGTACTACTGTTAAGGAGCGCTATGAACTTCAAAAGTACATATGCAAAGCTATGCGAAGCGGCCCCTTCTTGCTCGAGCATTCCCGTCATTTCAAGGTGGACATGCGACGCTCAAGAAGAAGCTTAGCCTGCCCAGTGTCGCAGGATCGCATAGTGAGGTAGATCTATACACAGCTTCCGTGTATAGTCTGCAAATGCATATGCAGTAGGTGCGTCGGCTGCAGTGACGGTGTAAGAGGGTTGCCATGTTAAAGTACAGCAGCAAAGCAAGACCGCATGCAGCCGCGCACGCTTATATCTCTTCCACAAAACGGGGAACGCCACATCAGGATAAACAGTGTCGAGGTCAGCTTTGCACCATAGTCTGCTCTGTGAGGGGTCAGTCGACCGCCATAGAGCAAGGAAAGCCGTCGGCACGGACACTGTGCTAGTCGCAAGTAGCCATGTTGCGCTCCGAATGCCCGGTTCAGTCCAGCTGATATGGTGTTAGGGGATGAATTGGCCCTGCTCCTTCGCCTCTGTGTGTTCGGATGGCAGCATTAGTACACAATGGAGGAGTTGAGGATGATCCCGCTGTTTGTGCCTCGCGTGCAGAGCAGGGGCCCGCGAACGCCAACGGCGAGAAAGTGGGCGGGCAGCTACGCGGCTGTTCCATTTGACTGCATCGTATCGTTCTCTATCATCGTTTCCAAGCACTGTGAAGATGCTGGTGCTCGAAATTTCAATTTGACGGCCATAGTAGAGAGACGCTTCTACGTCAACCTACAGCATGGCAGTTCCAGGGTACATGATCGAAACGGTAAGTCGAGTTGATACCTTCGGAGAGGGTTCAGCGGAGCTCGATCCTAAGTCTCTGCCTTCCGCCGTCGCATACCTATATAGATAGTTCCACGGCATCCATTCTACCGACAACAACGCGAACAAGTGCAGGCCATTTACCCAGGATGAGCTTTTTAGCACCGAAGAAGACCCCTTTCATCTCTACAACTGGCAGAAGAACAGGATCTACGAGCGAGCCATGGCCGAAGGACTCAATCTCGGTCAGTTCGACGCGCTTGATGACGGGAGTATGGCCCGCTTCATGTTGTTCGTATGGAATCGGTCAGCGTTCAACAAGGAAGAAGCCGCAGTGGCCACCACGCACTTCAAGAGCTGGATCGGCAACAACACCGCGCCAAAAGTGTATTCTACGGCCAAGTATCCGGACCCGCGCAAGGTGAAAGGGAGGGGTAAAGTCAATCAGCCGGCTCTAGAGTCAGCAGCCACGGCAGCAAGCACCCGCGAACATGCCGAAAGTGGACGCGCGCGTGATGTCGCTAGTCCTGCTGCTGCTGCTGCTGATGATCCATCTACTCCCTTTCATTCGATCGAACGCCCACGCGCGAGCCGCGACTTGGATTCCCCATACATCACCCCAGTCGAGCCATTCGCCACGACATCCGACACCGCAATGCCTCCGCCAGGCCCTTCCACAGGGACGGTCATGTACCCTCCTTCGCTTCCTAAGGATCAAAGCGGAGCCTGAGGGCCGCAACTCAGCCGGCATTCCGAACACCAAAGACAAGATTCAAGTCAGCCAGCGAGCAGATACGAGCGCCGTACCAGCGAGCAGCGCCGTACCGTCCGCATCACCCATCTCATCTCGCCCTCCCGCGGAAATGCCTACACACGTGCCCTACGCGGACACGCTGCAGAGGCTCACGCAAGAACGGGCGGCGAATTGGCAGAGGATGCAGGAGATTGAGCGGCAGTTGGCAAGCATGAGGACGTGCGAGACTGAGCAGGGTTCGGGGGAGGTGAAAAGGGGTTCGCCAGGCATGGGATTGTGATGTGATGATGGAGGAGGCGGAGCATTCCACATACATCGTAGCATGACTGCTGCAGTAATCCACTCGGTTGTTACACCGTCGCTGCGATGCTGCAAGTGGGCTTCTGTACGAAGCCGGTTGAGACCTGGTCAAGACTCGCTGCCACCGTCATTCAGGGGCAGTGTTATCGATCAACGTGGCGCACATGTGACGCTGTCTCCACTCGAGATCACCTACCTCGAACGACGCTGGTGCCACAATTTCCGGCTCTGCTGGTATTCGTGCAGCAGGGGCTACATGGCGAGCACTCCCTGCCAGCCTGCTGTAACGCCCAAAGACTCACTCGTACCGTTTTGGCAGGCTTGTTCGTACTGGGTGGTCACTCATTCTTTGTCCATAGGCAGGCCGATATTGCTAGAGAGACAGACATTGGCCAGCCTATTAATGCTGGCTGCGTTACTCATCCTTCAGTCCCGCCAGCCTGTCTTGCTGTCAGCCAGTGCCTGCGCTAATCGGCCAGCCCTATCTTGGCATCATTAACTTGTGCTCGCTTTCATTTGCCGGCTGTTTTTGATAGACTACGTCATACCTGCTTTGCCTTCCAGCATGTCTCTTCCATGCCTTCTCTGCCTGCAGCTATTAGACTGCTTGAATGCGGGTTACTGACAAGCTTCTAGGCCGGTCTCAGTCTGATTCAGTCAGCATTACCTCAATTATCTGCCTAGGATCAGTTGGCGCTTTCTTCGAGCGACCCTGTCTGTAGCTGAACCGCTATCTTCTCTTCGACCGCCGCGTCCATACCCGAGCAGCTATTCGAATCTCCTCCATCCTGTCTGGCTGCTCGCTTCTCAACATTGCCCGCACGCCCAATGTTCCTCTTCCTCGTGCGAGCCGAGTACTCCGAAAAGCCTCTGACATTGTCTTTCATTTGTCGTGGGAACTCGTGAACTCATGACAGCATCAAAACCAGTATGGAAATCTCTCCATTCCAATCCCGGAACGATGCGCTGCGAGGAACTCTGCAGCTGCTCTCCGGACAAGATCCGACCACACACATCAACACTGAAAAATTTCAAGAGATTGATAAGTGCGCTTTTGTCAATCCAAAATCGAAGAAGGTTCCCGCTCGTAGCTACGGAAAGTGGTACGTCTGCATCGCCGGCGACCTTCGACACTCATCGCACATCTCGGTCTTCACGCCGTCACTTCGCATAAGACTATTCGCTGGTTGGTGAAGATGGCACAGCTCGTCGGCGCCCTTGCCAATGCGCTGCCCGATCTGCAGTTGGCTGCTCGATCGTCCAAGGGTGGTCAGGGAGTGTTTCGGCCTCAGGCTGCGAAGACTGCACTTCAGCTTTGGCAAGCAAGACAAGGCTCCGCACGTGATGGAGCCACGAGCGATGATAATGAAATCTACCTGGCAAGCAGTTACGTTCGCTATCAGGGGTGGCTGTACATGACGCTGTGGCAAGCGGCCGCGCTGGGAGAAGCATAAAGACAGAAATGATGTTGACGGCAGCGGGGGCGGCCACAATGGCTTGCAGCACTCTCGCGTAACGACCACCCTCCCATTGATAATTTCGACAGGCGAAGCACCGAAACCCACCACATTGCCACCGGTGCCGGCCTCAGCACCAACGAAAGCCTCCTCGCTGCTGATCCGCGGCAGCAAGCCAGTTATGCCCGCCAGCACGTCGACTCAACCACACCCGAACGTCGCCGACACGTGAGTATGTTGGTCGATACCAGAGCAAAATAGATGTCGTGAAGGACTTCGTAGCTCCACAAAGGCGTAGCGCTCAGGCCATTGTGATCACTACGGTCTGAGCGCCGCGGCTCGGAGTTCGGCTCGGAAAAGCGGCCCGCGCCTTGCAAGCAGTCTGCGGGAATGCGTGTGAGTTTGATGGCACATATGATGAGCGCTATGTAGCTTCGAACATGGCAATGGAGATACCATTACCCCATCCGCAAACCATACGCATGGCTGGCTTCTCCGCATTCTCTAAATCGGTGCACGTGTGGACGTTGAAGGGGCAACTTATGTTGTCCTTCTCACCGTGGCTACCCGCAGGCATGGAGCCGGCGGCGGAGAGACACTGTCGTTTGTCTCCTTCCCACCACTCCTCCCGGCTCTCTCAGTCCTGCAGCGAAGCCGACAGCATGATTTGAGGTGTTGTTACCCTCCGCCATCTTCGCCACTATGACGGATCAACACCACCAACTTCCACCCCGCACTCGTGTGGAAGAGTACGAAGAGCCGCGGCCGAACAACGGCATCTATCGATTCCGTTGCAGGACCACGACCACACCCTCCACAGCTGCTGGTATACATCGCGTGATCGACGAGCAGGTGATCGAAGAGACCGTGCGCTGGCCAAACAACGAGCAGCGCCGGCGTAAGGAAAGATGCGCAACGATACAGCAAAGTCTGGACGCAGTAACGCTTTCATTTACACTCAGAGTTGCCGCGGAAGAGTGCGCGCTGGGGCAGGAACCAAGGACGCATTACGATGATGTGTTTTCCTTTGACTACGACGTCAACGACGCCCTCCGCCACATCAGCGGGTGGGAGGACGAGCATGCGCAGGCGGAAGTGTTGCCCGCGGTGCCGCAGCCGCTCGTGCTGCTTCCGCCCGCTCAAATCACTACTACCCGAGGGAGCGCGGCGAACCTTCGGCCCCGCTTAGCGCCACCTCCTCCTTCTCCTCTCCGTCCTCCGGTGCACGAGCCTCGACCGGCGCTGAGTGGCTCCCTGAGAACGACAACACCAGCTGCGACTGGAGACAGTAGTGGCGCAAGATTCGTGGACCTCGGCAGCTACCGCGTCGGCGAAGCAGCAGGAGCTCAGCAGCGGCGGCAATCGGCTCGACGCCAGCGAATTACACCCATCTACGTGGATGACGATGATGGCAACGAGGATGACAGCCTGTTCATGCCCAAGTAGGAGGAGCATCGGAGATGAAGTTCTGGGTATAAGCACGAAGGCTACGCAGGATCAGCCGTCCGGCTTCCCAACAACACCATCGATGGTGTTCAGAGAGGTCGTGGAAGTTGGAGATCAGACAGGGTGCAGGATCGGTCGCTCGTCAGCGAAGAGGCAGCGCGCACAGCAAAGCCTCCTCACAGCCGCAGGTACGGCAGAGCATTTAAGCATATGATGTATCGACCCTATCAGTAGCAAAGATCGATCCTTCGTCACGTTCAAATCGGCCGTATCTCCGTCCGGGAATCCCTGGAATGCGCGATAGCACAGAATGTCGCGTGATGTGTTGTCACGTGTCTGGAGCAATCCGGGGCCAAGGAGTGGATTTGCTTCGGTCTGAACATTGCACCGCTTTCAATGTATGCTATAACAACACCATAGACTCAGCTTGTCCTGCAGTCTTGTTCACGGTAGAAAAGTCGTACCCTATGGAGGGTGATGTGTGTGCCACCTCGATTACTTGATTCAAGGTAAGCGGCATCCCACCTTCTGTATGGATGCGCGGGGACAGAAGGCTACTTAAGTGAACCGACTGTCGTGGTACTTGACCACCCCACGATGTGATATACGCCTCGTCGACGCAATGGGAAGACTTCATCTCATATGTATGAACACCTAACAGACACGAATTCCCATAGACATCAATGCAAAGACTACTGGTGCCGTGTAAGGGCGCTCCATATCTGGCCATCGTCATCTGCCCTCTTCCTCCGGCTGATCCCGACTTCGTCAACATGCACCTTCCTCCAAGCGTGCCCGTTGCGAAGCGCTCCTCCTTGATCGAAGACCTGGCTCCGATACTCGCTTATGCGTCGCTATTTCGAACGCCTCACCTGCTCTAACGAAGCTGCTCCGGCCTTACCAGTCCTGCATGAGTGCAAATAGTGTACAGACGCTGCACTCTATCAAACCGTTCAATGCCACCATGCCCGGTCCATCTCCGGTAAAAACACTGACGGCTTGCCGGTTGCTATCAGGCCGCCTCAGGACCTGACATTGTGTCAGCCTCCGGGCTCCCGAACCTGCCTGCCCTGCTCCAGCGATGCGAGAGGACGCACTTTCATGCAGCCTCGAGAAAGGTAGGCGAGGAGCCACTGATTCAGACCAGGCAGCAACCTCAGTCGAGCGGCTACCTCCGACTGTAGTGCATGCACGACTACCCGTTGAGAATCACTTCAAACATCCAGCCGAGCGGCGCTGTGTGTGGTGGACCAACCTCAAAGGCCGAGAAGTAGGCATGTCTCCCACTACCCTGCAAACAGTAGATAAGGCGAGCCTCAAGCTCGAAGCAAGTGGTTCGACCAACGGACTCAGCACGTATGGCCGTTTTTACCCATTCCTACTGTGGTGGCAACCTCAATCTACTCAAAGATACCATAGAGCACTTCGCAGGAAGCGAGCTCCACAGTCAAGATCGTTACAGTCTTGCATGACGCGAAACATCCTGCCGCACCGACTAGAAGCGTTGACGCATTACTAGCTCAGGCCGGGAACGGTAAGCTGTAGACATCCATCCATGTCACTGCTCCAACGCGGTCCAGTTCGGGAATGGCCGCCTTCTCCGTGCAACCTTCAGAAGGTTCGTTCATGGGCTGCACTCAGCACCCGTCACCAGTGCCAAGCATATCACAATCAACACCTGCGCAGAGAAATGAGACTGAGGTCATACCCACCGGACCAATCCATTAAGAGCTTTCCTGTCTTCACGTCCGTGTTGTTCACACACACTATAACCAGATCATTAGCCTTGTTCTCAGCAGAAAGCCCACCTCTTCTCCGGTCGCTCGTTACAGACCTCAACCGCTTTCACTCCGGTGCATGGCCCTCTTCGGCAGTACCAACCGTCTTAGCGAGGTAGCTTTGACCCGCTTTCCTGCCTTCGCGAGGGCTATCGACTACCGTTCCGTCTACGGCAGCAGCAGATCCGCTGGACTCGCACGACAGCTCTCCTCATTGTATCGCAATCCCTTGGCCATTAGAAGTCGAGACGCCTGCTGCAGCCTTGCAGTTCATCTTTGCGCGTTTGTTCTCTTACTATCACGTTCCTCATGGGGAGCGGCTGTCAAACACTATGCGGTGCAGTAGGCAAGGTGTCAGTTAAGGCCCTTTGCATGGTGAGCCCCTCAGTAGCTCCTTGGCAATAGTCTGACATGCATAGGCAAAAAGGAGATATCGATCACTTCGTCCGGGAGAACGACAAGCTCAGCTAACACCTCGCTGTCAGTATGCGTCGACTTGGCCAAACTCCGCAAATGGCTTGCCACCACGCAGTATGAGAGGGGAGGGGTGGAAAATGCCATCGCCATCAACCTTTTGGTTGACAGAGACAACGAATCCTCCCCGTAGCTCGTTGCGAAAAACTTTGCGCTCGATATAGAAGATGATCGTACGTTCGACGGAAACAACGAAGCTCCTGAACCACAATAGTATGCTTGCGGTAGCTCTTGAACCAGAGATCTACGAGGAAGTCCCCAATGTTGATAGGCTGTAGGACGAAGTCGCCTAGCGTCGACGAGCAAGCTCGCAGCGATAGACGGCAAACGTACGGAAGAGAATGCTGTGTAGAGGGCTGTCGAGGCGGTTGATGTCAAGACAGAGATGGCTGCGGTGGTGAGACACTGCGACAGGTTTGCAGAGCAGAAGCTGCCTTTTTTGGCAGAGTACAATGCAATCGAGACGGAACTCGACATGCTTGGTCCACCTGCGGAAGATACCTGTCTTAACGAAAACTCATCACCGGCTCCATACGATCCTCACGGGCTGGCTTACGGTGGTCTTGTGGACGACCCGTTCTTGCTTCTCACTTGCTTCTCGGTGACTCACTTTGAGGGCCAAGCCAGGGTGATGGCATTGCATTGGGTTCTCAACGCCGTTCCAAAACTTATCGAATAAGAGGTCTGCGGGTCCCAAGGAGGAGAATGACGCTGCGCCACTCGAGAGGGTCTGGAGAGGATCGTCAGGCGGACTCGACCTGGACAGCCGCAGCAGTGGAAGTGGATGGTGCTTGCTGCTTGTGCATGCTGCATTCAGAAAGTTCATGGTACTAGTAAGTCCATGTTGGCGCACGCGAGCGCAAAGCTGTGGTAACTGCGCTAGGACCCTTGAGCGCAGGAGACCTCAAGTAAGGAGCAGGAACAAGAGGAAATTGATACACCCGAGATCCGCGTTACGGTGCACAGCGCTCGTAATCCTGCTGGCGACTTTTCTTTGGATCCACATATCACGTGGTGTCGTGCAATTCACCTGACCTACGCGCCCCGCGTAATACCCCTCAACGCGCGCTATTCAAGCGAACGCGAAGTCGCACACGAAAATGTATGAGCTTAAGGCCAGCTTCAGTAAATGTCATACCAACATCCGACCGACTGCATTGCAGCATTTGCCCGACCACGCCGCAACATCCGACCGCCGACAGGATACCCAAGCTTTTACAGTGCTGCAAGTACGGCCAGCATAAGGATAGCAATAGACATGTTCAACAGCCTCTTGGGCGTGGCAGTCACTGCCACCAACGCTATCGACCGCACAGTAGTCGCTATCATCTACGCCGCTACCAACTGCATCTTCTACGCAGCGGTTTACGGCGAAGACAAGACGCTAATAACCATTGACTACCTCAGCGTGCCAGAGCTCCCCACCGAGTACATGCGCCTCTGGCATGGCATAGCACTCATCGTAGCCGTCGTGCTCTTCTTGGCTAGCGCTACTGCCCTCTTTTACCTCATTCACATCCTCTCTGAGCTCCATCGTCGTATGTATCCGGCTCTTGCACCGTCTCGCCCGTTTGCGCTAATTCTATCCCACAATAGGACCACGCATCATTGTCATTGACGATTTGGCTGCGACGACAACCCTGGCCGTGACCCGACTGCTGGCGCATGCTACCATGTGGCACAAATGAATCACGCAGTTGCTCGCAGCGTACATGACATTCTTCGTCGCAGCCTAATGTAATGTTTCCAGGACGATCTCTTGTCTCTGCCTGCAAGTGAACGCGAAGAAGCTCGCCCGGGCACGTCGACGAGCTCGCCTAATGGGACTGGAGATGCGGCAGCATTGGCTAGCGACGGAGTAGCACGTGAACGAGTGTCTTCAAGCCGTGGGAGCGACGAAACAAAGTCGTGGCAAATCGCTTGTGGGTATGTCTATCAATGTGACCCGTGGTGTAAATGAAGGCTTGCTGATACAGGATAGGGAGGTCTCGGCAAGATCTACAAACGTGGTCACAGCAGTGGAAATGTGAGGGTATGTTGTTTCATGCACGCAAGCGAATCCGCACGAGAGATGCGGCGCAGAAAGCACGCTCGAGCGGGCTGACCGATGCGAACTCTCACATTGGGCATGAGCGTGGCAGCCCTCATCTATGCTGTTCTGTCAAACCTCCTGGTCTGCACTATCGATGGGCCAATGTCAATCGCACTAAAGTCTTTCAAGACGCCTCCGTATCGGGATTCCCTCTCACGTCCGGCACTTTCGCCAAGGTTCTAGAAAGCAGCCTTGCACAGCGTCACGGAAGCTGCTTTAACCCTCCTAGAGCAGCACCGAGGGTCGGACTGTCTAGCACCAGCACATCGTGTTGTGTAATGCTCATCCAGATCGCAGGTTGCCCGGGGCAAGAGTAACATGATGGACCAGAGTAAGCCGAGTATTATCCGTCTCGCGCACGCTGATTCATCGTAAGGACATGAAGACAGCGCAGATAAGCTCTATCCGGCAACACCTTGCGAAGCCAAGCTACGCATCCGCGTCGAGGCCTGTTGCATGAGCTACAGCGACGTAGAGCTTGAACACTGACACAATGTCTAAGTTGGGGTGGAGCATATTCACCGTACGGAAGAGTGTGATGCCCCCAGCTGCACACAACCGGTCCCGTCACTTGACATTCAGGCATCCCCGTGGCCATGATGGGGTGGTGCCGTGTTATGCGATACCGAAGACTGATTCCCTCGTAGCGCAGGCCTCTGTACTCATGGATAGTCAGTCATAGTGGAGCGTGCATCCGACGGAATGCAAGATGCAAGATCCAATGCAAGGGGTGCAGCCTACGTTCGCGGCTTTTTTATTGCCACATACCTCATCATGTACTCGTCACCGGCAGCCACGCCTGATAGGTCAGACGCAAATATGGACACCATCAGCATAGAGGCAGTCTGCAAGTCACATTCCTTGAAGCTGCAGCGGTTCATTCCTGTCGACTGCACGCGCACCGCCAATGCATCCTTCCGATAGCCGGAGCAGTTGGTCTTGCCGCTACCCTCCTAAAGCAATGTGGCAGTCCAATAGAGCGGAGAGACTCGATGCGTGCAGATGTACATAGTAGATTCCGTTCTTGTGTTCGTTTCCTTTCTTTCAGCCCTCATCTCACGTACTATCACGGCTACTTCTCGTACCCTCTGGCCCCTACCTGGTACAGGATATCCTTCCTTCCGACTCTCGAAGACGCTCTAGACCCAATCCCTGTCGGTCTACTCGTCTGTCTGTTCGTCGGTTCTCTGTCCCTCGGTCCCTGTCACCCCTCGCCTGTCGTTATCCGTAAGATAGCGGCTGCTCTTCCGCGCCTTGACTGACAACGGTTAGTAGCAAGCAAAATCTCCGCGATGTGTCCAAGCGATAACTGGCATCATTTCTACGACTGTTTGCCCTCCGAGTCAGGCCCATACACCTTCGGCATGAGGTTGCGTGGGCTTCGCGTTGCTTGCGACAGAAGTGAGGAGGACACGGTGCCTTCCAGTCGCGAGTACGCGGCACAGTGCTATGCACATTGTGTCAGGTGCACGAGCTGCGACGGAGGGGAACCTGGTCGGACCGACGTGGGACTAGGGCTGGCGGATCTGTAACCCGACGTTGTAGATGTCTTTGTACAGAACCTCGGAGCACAGAATTTACAGGACTTGCTGCAATTGTCGTAGTTGGTGGCCTTTGGATGGCAGGCTACATTAATGATTGGTACGGCCAAAGAATCACCGAGTGATGGCACATTCGAGCGACGTAGGTATCTTGCAATCCGCTGCTCTCCCGCTCCGCCTCGCTTTGGAAATGTCATGCTTTCGGCACTTTCCCCTCCCGATTGTCGAATCTGTGCAGCGCTTTGTGAACATAGTCGTTGAAATGGTCGGTGTCGCAAGAGCTCCTGGTATTGACGCCACGGGCAGCATTGAAGTCGTGCTCGCTCTCTTGCCGCTAAACATGATGATCAACGGTCTGTCAGCGCTGCCAACGTCGTCAGCGCTATCAACGTTGCGCAATGGCCAGCTCCATCTCAGGCAAAGCCGTCCAGATCCACGACAGCCATGGTGGTATCGGTGCCATCGTGTAGGAATCTGACTCAAGACATCATGCGCGGCTTGTACGGCCGTTTCCCAATGCAGCTCCCGTTTGCCTGCCCGATATCTGATTGCGAAGGTCAGGCCCTACACCTCATGATCCTGCTGCTCGAGCATCTCACTCCTTGCTGCGGTGTTCACTGGGCTTGCGCGGTGGTCACTGGGCTTGCGCGGTGGTCACTGGGCTTGCGCGGTGGAGACTGCGCGAACTGCTTTCCCTGGGCGAACATTAAACCCATCGCTTTTCGGGTGAATATGGTTACGAACACCACGCAGATTCCGGGACAGGAAGTCCATCACTGTCTCCTGCGCTTCGACATTTGGTGGGCCTTCTTAGCGATACTTAAGGCTCCTGATTCTGGCATAGGCGTGTTCTGCTTCGAAGGGCTGACGACCAACCTAAGCCATGCGGCATCGGCAAGAGTGCTTGACGAGCAGCGCATACAGGTACTGCGCGTAACTAGCATTGCTCATGGAGTGCTTGTTATTGTCGCGAAGGACCGTTTGTTGCACATGCCGGCAAAATCAATGTCGGCTGGCGTGGGTGTTGATTGGACAGCGGAAGTTGCGGGACAATCTGATCCACGCACACCAAGCGGGTGCGACGTGGAGCTGCTTGCACTGACGACTCCACTGCCACACGCTCGGTACTAAAATGGTCATATATCCAGATAGTGCTGTTTATATACACCTACAGTCGGATGGAAAGCGACATGAACCGCTGTTACGGTGTTATCTATTACGGGAGGTGCTCGCAGTTCAGGACACCAAGCTTGCCAAGAGCGGCATGACGAGTCGTTCGTCCCACAGCAACCCGGAGAATTTGAGCATGCACAAGACATGACTGGATACATCGACGCTCTCATAAAGAGCGACTGATACATACCGGGAATAGACGAGCTCGTTGCAACTCTTCGCACGTCGACTTTAGACCATGTGGGCACGGCTACAGTTTTGCTGTATTCGTGCGATTCAGCAGGCGTGGGACTGAAACTCCCACATTGCACGGTAAATGAGTCATCGAGCCATCTCTGATTGTCCGATGTCTAGCGGCTTACCGACTGGGCGGTGTGGAGCCACCTGCCTGTTAATCCTCCTGAGTATGATGCCGCAGGCGTCTGGTGTCGGCCACTGTGCTTCCTCACGCCATGCTTCCCACGCAATGGATTGGCCGTGCAGATGGCGCGAAGCTTGACTGCACCGTCGTAAGAAGAAGTCGCGTTCATGTTCCACTCTTGATGCGTCCATCTGCTACGGCCGTTCCGGTATGCTTGAGCATTGAGCCACGAACGTTCAAGCCCCACCTCAGGCAATAGTATGGCTACAACCATATCCCAAGCCACCAAGCTTGGCTGGCGACCAGAGCCAGCCAGTGGCGATTAGGTACGCTTGGTCATCGCCCATTCGTTCGGCACCGCTCCGCTTCGCACCAGTCGTGCAAGCGGTGCAAGCATTTGGGCTCTGAAGCAAACGACCTTATCTTCGCATTGTACACTGGCATAAGAACCAAAGTGCAGCGTGTGAGGTGCCGAAAGACGCAGGTTTGCAGACCACAAAGTAACCGGCCTCAGATTGCCTAGTCAAGGGAGCTTCAAGCAAATAGCGGCAGTAGAATGGGGACAGCGTGGCCCGATATACTAGCGCTTAGAACGAGCAAGCGATCGTCATGTTGATACCTTACGTGATAGCTCCGAGACGTTGACGATATGGCACTGCTGCGTAAGCACATAGAATCAATGATAAGATTCAGGGCACCAATACAAAGCAGATGTTTCTCACGGCGGATGTGTAGACAGCGAAAAAGGAGGGACCTACGCTTATCCTCAAACTGTCGCCTGCCCGGGGGCTCCCAGAGATAACAAGCGCGCTCGCCTGCTCCATCCTACAGCGTTGGTGCGTGTCTAATGCCACTGACATGATTGTCATTGAAAATCACATGATGCTGCGCAGCAATCAACCTCACCATCAGTGATCATGCCATTTCCGTGACCCTGCATGCCCGGTGATGCGTATATTTCAACCTGTACCAGCCGCGCCACATATTCGACTATGTCATGTAATGGGAGATGGAGGCGGTTTCGGCAAGACAGTAAAGAGCGGCGAGGAAGCAAGAAGATGGTTTGACAGGATGCTCGTGATACTTTAAGAGCCGCAGCACACCGCTGACGTATAGTAACTTGAGTCGATTATGCAGCCAGATGGGTGCGACAGCAGCGGGTGTTGCCTTGAGGTTTCTGACCAACCCTGTCTGGATGCTGCATGTTTGCGGTTAGCGCAATTTACAGCGCGTGGGACTGTGAGTCTCACGCTATGACGATTTGCCACACATATTTTTCGAGTATTGGTTGACAAGCAGCTCTCGTACCACCTGCCACCCCTCGGGAACCATACGTCTCTGGACGTGCTTCGGCATGATCCGACTGCTGTTTTCGACAAAGATGTTGTAATAAGCTTGTAGCTTGAATAAATCCTTGTGAATAGGGTCGTTGTGGTGTCTAAAGGTCCCAACTGCCCACGCGGCCTAATTCTTTCCACTTCGCGCCCTTGACATCTTCCAATTGACGACTCCTGCCAACTCAACAGCACACCCTTTCATCAGCTTTCCACTGTCGAACTGATGCATGCAGCACCCTATGACTTCCGAGGAGACGAGGCAGCGCTTAGCTGCATTCATCGCCAAATGCACGCCACGCCTTGACGAATTCCTGAAACTGTGTGAATCACTGCGCGGAGAACTCGGTGCCGGCGTTCCGCTTGACCAACATCTCTCACTTCAGGCTTGCGACGCTGTTGACGCACTGGTTGAAGCTGACGTCGCCGCGAAACACGACAAAAATGTTCTCGGCTCGCTTCATGCGCTCAAGAAAGGTCGGCTGAGTGGCAGCCGAGAGCTCGCCGCCTCCGTGCGCCCTTGCCAAATCGCCTTCGACTTCGGCCTACCATCGCGCCGTTTGCTGAGTGAGATCGTCGATTCCTTATCCTCCGATGTGCAGTACATCGATCTGTTGAATGAACTGCGCCGAAGCGGGATATCGAGGCCGTGGCGACCGAAGGACGTCCAAAAGGCGAAGGTGACCATCCAAGAGCGTCAAGGTAGCGGCAAAGTCCTTGCCAATCGACCAAATACGCGACGAGTGGCACGCGACATCGCACCAAACTCCATGGATCTGTCTACCTCCTTGCCCGTGCCCAAAGAGCACGCGAAGCATGGAGATAGCTCCCGGCGTGCAGAATCTGTGTACAACCTACCCCAATCTACCTCTGGAGTGCCGTTAAACCGGGCCATGTCCATGGGCAATGAGAAGGATGAGGTTGCCTTACTGCGTGCGGCATCTGCGCCCATGACACCTCCGCCCACCGTTAAGATGCCTTCCAATCACAGTGGACCCCGTCAAGCGCACAAGTCCTTTGCGTTGTCTGTCAAGCAAGGCAGGGATCCACCTAACCCTTCATTTGGCTTGGACCAAACATCGCCTCTTATTGCGGGTTCCAGCACTAAGTCTGCAGTCTCTGATAACAGTAATGATGGCTGTGAGGAGACGGAGAAGCAGCGCGACCACGACCAGGACTATAACCACGACTACGACCCTGACCAAGACCACGCTCACGACTTTGACCAACACCATAACCACGACCATAGCTACGTCAATACGGGATCAGTTAACGTCGACGCTGACGACCCAGGGACCAATCCTACCACTGACCCGGACGGTGAACGCGACGTGATGGACGACATTGATCCCGTTACTGAGCAAGAAGGTACACTCGAGCACTTGAGCACAGTTTCCGGCCGGAGGAAGCTGTCCGGCGAGTCGCGCCGTTTACCCCAGTTCGACGGAACTCATGAAGCAAGTACCGAAGTACCGCACCAAGTTGCGACACCACCGTCCACACTGAATGACCACGGAACGTCGCACAAGAGGTCGTATAGCGTACAAAGTGACGACATAACCGTAACCACGAGCAAGAGTTCAAAGCGCACAAGACTGTCTCCGCAACCGGACTCGTCGAGGAGCGGCCACACAGGTGCGTTGCTGCAACGCTTGCGCGGTGACGCATGGCTCTCGGATACGGCTCTTGACTCGGTGCTACGCGCCTTCATCGGGTCGTTAAAAGATACACTGGTTGTAGAGATCGGCTACATCAGACCTGGTCACCTTTTGGAATCTGGCCGTGTTCTAAGAACTCTCCGTACCGATCACGCGACAATTGTTGTGCCCTTTTCGCTCGGCAGTCACTTTACCATTGCTGTTCTGGACCCCACCAAGACTCGAGTGGACTTGTACGACCCTCTCCACAAGCCGGAAACTCTTGAAGCGATGCGAGTCAGTATGCAAGACTTCGTCCATAATAACCTCAAGTCTGTAGCCTTGGAGACAGTGGTCTACGCCACAGATACTTGGAGCTTCGTACAGCAAGATCTCTCAAGCTGCGGCATCCTCTGCATCATCTTCGCCTTGTGCCGAGCGACCAACACCACTCTCCCCACGGATGTCAACAGCCATCTATGGCGCCGCAGTTTTGCCGCGGCACTTCTGCTTGCAGAACCAGCAGAGCCGGACACTAGCGTCGACACCTCCTTGAAGGACTTTCCACTTGTCATGCCAGAGGCCAGCCTGACGCCGGAGGCGGTTGACCTTGCGGCCTCGGTCTCAAGCCGGCGTAACAACGAGAGAGTACACAAACTCTACCACGCCACTCGTAAGGCCCCGCTGCATAGGATGCAGCAGCTGACTTCCTGTCTCGAGCAGCTGGAGATTCTTCGGAGCGTTGTCGACTTCGTACGCCAACGCGCTTCAGCCGAGTCGGCACGCAAACAGCGCGCTCTCGACGTCCTCAACCAGATGGAGCGGGACGTCCTTGTGTGGCGCGAGTGGGAGCCGGCGTACCCCTTCCAGAAACCATCCGCTTTGATTGCCGCGCAGCGTCCACCGGGCGAGGACTTTGCCAACGGCTTTTCGAGCTTCTGCGAGCAGATGGCTGTCGCTCTACGTGACGCTCACCAGCAGAACCAGCTCGTGCTTCGGCAAATCGATGAGAGTTTCCAGGAGGAATGCCAGCAACTGTTGCGAGAAATTTGGGGAAAGACTTATGATGCTACTTGAGAAGGCTGGCGAAGGAGCAATGCGATTATGGCCCTCTGTCTAGTGTGTTAAGGCGAAGGATGGAGCAGCATAAGTACGAAGAAGACTCGAGAAGCGCAGCATTACGTTCTCGTGGGGCAGTGTGGTAATGCGTTGGTTGTGTTGCCGACATCTCAGAACATGCCCGCTAAGATCGCGAGCGCGGAGAAGAAGCAGAGAGCACTGTATCAGCAGTCATGGTCTCTTGCCAATCCACGAGTTTTTAAGACAAGCTTCTGTTTCAGTGTCTTCCGCTCATCGAGAGCATCGTGGTGCGATTCGGCATGGCACACTCCGCAGACCGTGCTTGTTGCTCATCGGCAGCCGTTGAGGTCGGTTCTTCTGCGCCTCAAAATCTCGAGCTTAGCACAAGCCGTGTCTGTGATGCTGCGCCTTAAGGGTTGGCTGATGTGGTACTCGTATTGCGGACGTCAATTCTAAGTCCGGAGATAGCTCAGAGCGCTTCACGCCGGGTACTGGTGCAATGTGGTGCTATTTACCTGTCAAAAAGCTCGACGTGAAGTCCAGCAATGATGGATGCCACCAAACTCTGCGCTGCTTTTCTTGCTAGAAGCATGTCCTTCACGACCGACTTCGTGCACGGCGCACGATATGGAGCACGGCCACCAACGAAAAGCCATAATGAGGAAGAGCAGGTTGGCAAGGTGGATGCAGTGGAGGTGTACAAGCGTGAGGCCAACTACATTGACAAGACTGACAATGTCAGCACGGCCGGTGAGGTTGGTGAGGTTGGCAAGACCTGCGAGAGGGGCGAGGGCAGCAAGAAGAGCGACAATAGCGAGCATAGCGAGAATAGCGTGAATAGCGGGAAGAGCGAGACCGGCGAGACCAGCGAAACCAGCGAGGACAGCGATAAGTGCTCTATATTTGCCGCGCCAATCTACAGACGAGGCGGGCTAACAGACCAGTGATGTCAGGCGAGAATGTTGCCCTGATCAGGCTGCTTGTGGCAGCATCGCTTCTTCGGAATACGCCTCGGTGGATCTGCCTTCCAAGGTCTCTCGCTCGCACAAACCACCGAGTATCGCATGTTCCACCGCGCAAAGAGCTGAGAAGCCGCGAACCTTAGATGGCAGTACAAGTCTGAGTATCAACACAGCCTCCTCCTCCGAACCAAATTAAGTTGGAAAGGCGGTGCCGGACATGCTAGGTCGGAGGGAGTGGAACCAAGGGTGAATCGGACGCGCGACCTTAGACATGCTGTCGCTATGTAAGTGCCTCTCTCCCACTCTTGGATCAGGATGGGAAGGCAAAGCTCTGGCGGTAATGGCCAAACGACGATATGGGTGAGACATCGTATAGGATCACACTCTGTGGGACAAACTGTCTCAAGGACTGGCCCCACTTCCCGCAACTTATTGCAAGGGCGTATTTCAGGAAGACATCCAGCAGTCATTTCTTGCCTGCCCCGAGCGTTTGCGGCGATATATCAGAGCCCTCTCACAACGCGATGACTTTTGGATACGCTACCAGTGCAGGTGCCGCCAAACCGAGCGGAACGGCTCCCAAGGACAAGTTGCAACTGTCGAAATGTCATATGTGCGGGCAAGCGAGGACGTCCTCGCTTCGATCTACGGCACTGTGTGCCTGCTTCGCATCCCAGGCTTAGCGTAGTGAGAGGTGCTCCCTAGTTTGAGCTATGGACTTCACCATTTCGTGCTCCTGACGTACATGGGTTATCTAATCAGCTCGCCGTCCCCGGTGAACCTCATCATCGCTGCAACGCTGGCTGCACCAACATTCGAAAGACGATGACGACGAAGAAGACGAAGTCTAGCACATCCACAGGGCCGAGATACCTCGTTGGCTGATCAAGGGTGTTGTTGTCCGGCCAGCGAATGCTTCCTGGCGTCGCAGTTGCGCTTGAGCAGCGATACACACCCAGCATCGGCGTTGCGTCATCGGAGTCGTATACACTCACACCAGCCGTGTCCTTCCGTCGATGCGGAAGACTGCACTTGTTGCAATGCGTGAAGAGGACTGCCCCCAAACGCTATCCTCCTGTCTCTGCGTCCTTTCGTAGCCTTCCGTATGGAAACGCTAACCGCGAGAGAATGTTCGGCACGCTCAAGGAAAGCCCAACAGTGTGCATTCCTTCAGATCTTTAGGATGGAAGATGATGGCGACTAGCGCGCCGATTGTTCAAGCAACAGCATTTTGCGCGCTACGGCGTTTACCTTCGCCTATACTCACCTGCTCCTTCCCGCCCGGGATCTGCCACAGGCTACCCTTAACATCCAGCAGAACAGGTCCGCATACCCGCCTAGACCCCAGCAATGGACCTCGTTTGCCCATTCCCTTAGCTCGTTTACCATTCCCGCGTTGTGGATCTGCGTGCGCTGTTGAGGATATATAGTACACACCGGCTATGCTTACCCCAGTATGGACGAGTCCATGCCGCTTCATGCTGCTACTGCTTTGCGATGAAGCGTGATCGTTGTCGCGTGCGGATTGGGAAGAGATAGTTTGGGTGGAAATGGTAATAGGGTGTTGTCGCTTTTGGCGTGCAAGGCTTGTTAAACGCTTGAGGTCGCGATCGGCGGTCCTTCGCTGCGAAGCTTTGATATGTCCAGAAACTGCAGACATGGCGTTGTAGGTCGATCCCCTATGCCGAAGGCATGCGGTGGCTGTTGAGTCGGTAGTAGGAGGAAGAGAGTGGTGAAGCGGGAGACCCACGCCATCCTTGGGCCGCCCTATGCATGAGCTCCTGCATAGTTTTTACGGTTCGTCGGCTCTCCTCTTCGTCGGCACGCGCTGTCGCTTCTTCCCCAACACCATTGCCATCGCTATTGCCGTAGTGCTTCTGTGCGAAATCATCGTCATAGTCATTCGTGTTGCGCAGAACAATCCTATCGCCCCGGTGTCGACCGGCTGTGCAGAAGACTGCAAATCGGGCAAGGATTCAGATAGCGAGTGCGAACGTGGATACTGTAGACGCAGAATGATATGAGGACGGTACGGAGACGTTGGAAAAACCACAACTGCATCAAATGTAGGTCAACCTTACATCCTTTCCATACTTCCCTTGCTCTCATTACGCGGCTCCCTCTTCGATCCTTCATCGTGGATAAAACCCTGTCTTGCTTGTCTGGACGTTCTGAAGTCGACTCTTGCGGAGCTTGGAGCCTTTGTGTAAGAGTGAACAAGAACTTTGAAGGGGATCATACCAATCTGAGTCACGGCTGACATGAGATCTACATCGGATTTCATCTATGTAGCCAGCACACTATAGATACTGCCATCGTAGCAACAAGAATACTGCGCGCCTTCGGCACTCCCGAGCCTGAGCTTGGCGCCGCAGCATGCCCGCCCGTTGCCTCAGAGCCGCTCATCGATCCAGCAGCCGGCAACGCAATACTGTGTGATGCGGTTTGTAACGTCACCGAGCCTGCGGAAAGTTGTTGTGTGCTGCCATCCACCACAACTGCGCCTAAGGTAGTCGGTACGCTCAGGCTTACGCCATCGAAGGCGGTCTGCTGTCCCAGTGTCAGCGTAGCGGTCTGAGTCGCATCGGCCAGTACGATGTCCGAGCCGGCGTTCGTCACAGTCACGGCCGTGCTGCCGACTGACACGATCACTCCAGATTCTTGCCTCACAATTGTTTTGCTCGCTGAAGCGGCATGTACGGTGGACAGCGCAATCATCGCTCCTCCAATGAATACAGCTCCTAAAGCGATACTCGTCGGTACGCTGATATCTACTCCGTCAACGACAGTCGCTGCACCATTGACCAAAGGCAGAGTACGATGACCGTTCATTATGACAAACGCTGTGCCTTGCTGGACGACAGTCTCCGTATCCCCATTCGCGCCCGTGAAGACAGCAGCACTCGAGAACGTTGCTTGAGTTGCCGCGACTGGCACTGTGGTTGTGGAGCTTCCATCAGCAACCACGAGTCCTGAACTGTCGAGCGTGAACGTCTGGCCCAAGAGAGTAGCTGCTGGGCCTCCAACTATTAGGGTGATTCCACCAACAAGCACTGTATTCGGACTGCCTTGCTCGACCGCTGTGACGATACTCCGGGCAGCTGTGAGTGTCACGGCGTTCGTCCCAGTCAATGCTCCGCCTGGAGCTGATACCGAGGTGGTACGGCTTATTGCAGCTGCGACATCTGTCACACCAACGCCAACCATCGATGCAGCTTGATCAACGGGGACCGTGGTGGTCATGGTACCTTGTTCGAGGAGTACTGATGCCGAGTTCATCGAGAACATGGTCACCGCCTGACCGTTGAATGCAGCTATGCCTCCGTCGCTCAAGGTCTGCGTCGCGACAAGGATAGCGCCGCTTTGAGTGCTGTATACGATCGCCGAATTGCCAGTAATGATCTGCCCGACTGGCTGGGAACTAGACGACTGACTTGCTTGCGCAGGATCGGTGTTCACCGCTGACACTGGCAGGTAGCTGAACAACAGAGGCATTGTAGTATCTGTAGTAGCGGAGAAGGTAGCCTTGGCAGCTGATAGTACTGCGAGTGCGTTTACCGATCCAGAAGCAGCTTGCTGAGCAGAGGTTGCCAGATTCGGAGGGAGCGAAGGGGGTGTGCTCTGAGCGACGACACTGAATGTGGCCGGACCGACAACAGCATATGAACTCACAGTCTGCGCAGTGACCTGTGAGCTGCCACCATTCGCACTCGGGTCCTCGCCGGATGTCACTTGATCGACCATAGCATCTGGACTGACAGTTTGCGCCGTGACCTGCAAGGCCCCGTTTGGCGCACTGAAGTCTTTCGTGGAGCTAACCTGCACGCCACTGGCATCGCTCGTAGTAGCTTGAACAATCGGCGATGTCGATACTGCTCCAGTCGTAGGCTTATTGAGAGGAACGGCAGGGTCCGTGCTTTGGGAAGATGACAGTATACCCGGCGGCGCAGACGTTGACACTGCGCTGGAAGGCGTAACTTCTTGCGCTGGCGTTGCACTGACGGAGTGCGTAAGAGCAGTAGTCGGCATAGCAGCCGCACTAGCTGGCGAGAGGGCGGTTGGTGGATCGTACAGGCCGCGTATGTCACCATGGCATGTCGACCAAGCATCATCGATACCTACATAAATCGAAGACGGCACGACTAAAATGGGCTCGTAAGGTCTGAGCGAAGGACACGGCCAAGTCCCGTTGCTGATAGCATTCGCGTTGTGTTGTACCGCCCAAGTTCCGCACCATGGTTGCGATGTGTAGATGGACGGATACGCGATGGCGTAGAGATCCGAGATCTCGAATGACGCCGTAAAGATCGACACCGGCGCCTTCATGTCACCCATTGCGCCGCCCCCTGGGACATACGGTGACCCCCACTGACTGCTCAAGTCTGCGGAATGAGGGATTGGAATGATGGAGTTGTAGTGCGTGCCTCCAACGCCACTGCAGCCATTAGAAGCATAGAGCTCGCTGTAAGATATATAGAGCGTAGGACTTGTCAGCGTCGAGTTGGCCACGATGGCAATGACAGATGTTCCAGACCCAACAGTGACGTGGTTCGCTGTCTGCGGCCAGTACAGCAGCTGAACAGAGTTGCCAGTGATTGCACAGCGGCCACATCCGACCGAACAGCCAGGGCCCAATACGGAGCTCGTTGGCCATACCCATCTGGTCGAGCCTAGAAGCGACCCGACTAACACACCATCACCCTCTGGGTGATTAATGGCTGTCTGACCCAGCCAGCCAGCCGACCACACGGCGTTCGCCGAGCCCTGCCTCAATACGGTATCTACGAGCCAATAGTTGGAAGAGCTGTACGCATCAACAAGGCTCGAGCACTGAGCACGCCCGATTACGGCGTTTGTACAGGTAGGTGGTCCGATGTAAGGCGCTGACGTGACTAATTGACCTTGAACCCACTCGTTTAATAATTCTTGGCATCCAGATGCCGACAGTGGCAAAGAGCAGGTCGGACGCTGCAAGGCAGGATTGGTTGATGTGTGTACGCTCTGTACATGTGTAACAATGATGGTGCTGGTAATCGTTGTATCAGCGACCGAGGAATAAGTTATTAACCCACCTCCGACGATGGTCTCAGTGGTGACTATAAATTGGTTGTCCACGAGCGTGCTCGTGTACGTATAGTATGCGGCGGTCACTGTAGTCGCTGGCGAGCCAAATTCAGTAACAGTTTCTGTCCACGTTGACGTCACGGTTTCGGTGGTCCAGCCATCGCTCTTTTTCTCGGTCGCGTTGCCGTTGTAATACATGCTCCATTGGCTAAGACATAGCAGGTCTCTAAAGTAAGTCGAGCCCAGCGAAGGGTTGGACTTGCTAGAGTTTGTGGAAGTCTGTGATACACCGGTAGATCCGACTCCCGACGGGCTAGAGGTGCTGTTTCCACGGCTCGAGCTGGATGGCCAGGTACTGCTCAGACCGCTGCTTGGGCTGCTTAGAAGTGTCGAACTCAACTTCGTGTCGCTAGAGCTACTTAATCCCAGACCCGCTGCGATATAGTCTCCAAGAGCGACGATGCTGCTGCTGGGGCCGACACTGATTACATGCGTGCTTCGGACATCCGTATCCGATTCAAACAAGCTCGTACGTGTAAGTGAGGTCGAAGACGGCCTCGTCCTTATCAAGCTCGGGGAGGAGGGGCCACTCATCGTACTCGCGCTTGCGTGTGAAGACAAGGGTGAAGGCGTAGGAAACGAGTAGGATCCGTTTAGCGAGCTGCTTGAGGGCAGTATTGAAGCGCTAGTCAATGACGCAAGGAGAACGGCCCACCACATGGCGACTTCGCAG